AGCATTGTAATACGATGGGATTGGTATCAAGTCCAGCCATCTTATGCATGGGTAGCCTAGCTCATCTCAAGGAAAGCTTGGTTAGGCGATATCTCATCTGTACACTGGACAAGTACCCTTCGTATGGATCTTTGTAAAAACACAGTGTCAACTGTCAATAATAAATGAAGTAGATATGTATTTATCTACTCGTAGAGGGTTAGAGATGGGTTCCAACCAAAACGAACCGTTTGGAGCGATTATACTGAACATGGTTAGACGCTGGAAAATAGCCTTAATGCCTAGGGCTTCCGGGGATCACAAGATTGTTCTAGGTAGTAGCCTGTAGGAAGTAAGTCTAGGTTGTAAGTGTTGTTCTAGAGAGTACGAAGAAGGTATTTTACTCCAGCATACAGATACGCAAGTAAGTAAGTAAGTAAGTAATGCTCTGCACTTTTTAGGGTGCACCCTAGTCATCCTCTGTACGGAGTACAGATACTCATCATCCCGTCGTACCAATTAATTTTCGTCCCCTGAACCGTTCCGCTTTCACAGGGGAAAAAAAAAAAAACCACGCGACAGAATCGATGCGAATCGAGATGAGCCTAAGCGGAGAACTTTGGGTTAATTCGGATCCATCCGTGTGTTCCTGGCCCACCCCAATATGCGCGAAGCCTGTCCGTCGTGTCCGAAGAATCGGTTCCTGCTTCTACGGAGTAAGTATCCAGCTCTACGGAGTATGTAGGGCGAGTGGAGAGCTCGGTTTTTTTTTTTTTTTCTTTCTTTTCTTTTTGGTTTCCATGACGCCGTACAGGAAAGGAGCCTACCTCCCTCAGTTGCTCAGTCGACCTGGATAATCCGGAGCTGACTACAGTCTACACACCATCTTTGAATCAGGAGGAAGGGGTTCATCCTTGCTAGTGGTCTCTGGGTTATTTGCGAGGTCCAAACAGGATTCAGTTGAGAGATCCATCGATAGGCGGAGGAAGGGGGGGGGGGAAGTGACAGGTGATAAACTGGCCGAGTGGTTTCAACAAAGAGAAGGAGGTTGGGTGAGTGACATGTGGGCGAGACCTTGATAAATAGACAATCCCAAGCTTTAATAGATTATTATTATGACCTGATCAAATGATCTGAGATGTGTCGGGAAAGTACTTACTACATACACAGTATATGTACTCCGTACTGATACTCAAAATGTGGAAGTAAGGCAAAAAATAATGATAGTTCGGAATAATATCAGGGAGCAAAAAAAGGGTCAAATAACAAATTATTTAGGCACCTAGCTAGTTACCAAGTTAGGATCAAGCTGTACTGTACCGTTTTGTCAAAACGTTGGGACTTGGGAGCTGCTGAGTTGGTGATGGGCATGGAAAGCCCCTAACTCTAAGAAAGGGGGATTCGCACATCCACAGCGTCGCGTACCTGACCTTCGGGACAAGGAACGGGGACAGCCGCCTAATAGATAATACTTGAGTTGACTACAACTACTATACTACTAGTAAAGCAGTTCTCTATGGTGGACGCATGCTAGACAGAGAAGCTCTATGTACCGTATAGTCTTAGTAGTAGTAGTATGTATTAATAGTTAGTAGCACTTACTTACATGCCTCCTTCCTGAACCTTTTTCCGTTTCTTCTGTTTTTCTTTTCTGGATCTAGTCTTATTTCCTTTTTTCCCTTTTTTTAATTTTTATTTTATACATTGTTCATTTTATTTTTCAATAATTAAAATCAAAATATAATAATAATAATAATAATTATCATCATCATCTTTATTATTATTATTATTATTTACTGTTTTACCACCGGATTTCAGAGGAGACAACAACAACAACAAAAAAAAAAAATCTATTATAATAATAAAAATAAACAGGCTCTCATATTAAGTACGACTGGATAAGATCCATCCATACCTACCTAGGTACCTACTAGGTATATATCAAGATCACGGAACCCCCTTCATCCATCCTACTAGTAAATTCTTCATTCATTCCTCATTCAATCACCCTGTCCTCCTCCTCCTCCTCTTCTTTCTCCTGTCGCCTTTCTCCCTACGTCGTCCCCCCTCTCATTCCATCTTCTGTACTTCCTAACCACTCGCAACCCTACCTATCATCTATCCCCCTTTCGGTGACGTTTACCAAAGCGCATTTCACCCTTCCTTGCGATACGTCCAATCGCCTTTTCCATTTTCCTTGACCCGGATCAAACGACCCTGCTTCCGCGGCACTACGGCCTGCAGTCTTTCTTCGAAGATCGACCTCCTTGCCGTCTGTTGCATTAGTCCGTCCCGTTTGGCCGGCGACTGGTTCTGATCAGATCGCGCTCGAAGTAATCGACACCTGATTTCATACGCCTGCTGCAGACCTTCGGACATTAGAAAGGGGAGGGAAGAAGCAAAGAACAAAAGAGAAGAAGGCAGAAGAGAAGAAAAATACCAATAAAAACAAGCCACCGTCCTTTTCGACAGTCCATACCGAACACCTCAGCATCTCCATCGCAAGGAGCACCCAGAAGAGAGGGAGAAATTCATAACAAAAAGGAATAATATCCAATTCGACCTGTCGATTCGAATTTGGGCTCCACCTTTGCCTCATTCTTACGGTCCAATTTCTCGGATCGTCAGCGTCGCATTCCTGCCCTACAGCGCTGCTTTTCGCCGCTGCATCAACAAGCTACCTATTCCCAAGCTCCCGAGTCTAGAGTCGGGGATATCTTAATAAGAGATTGTTTTTCCAATCTCATCTGCAGCTGTATCGTCATTACCATCACCGCCTCTTCTTGCTGAGCAATCTGTTCGATACATCGCGATATTTGCTATAGACGCACATAATTATCAATCCTTGAGGGATATATTTATCCTTCGACTGAATCCTCTTATTTTATATTTAATCATCCCGTGAGTTCTCCTTTCTCCCAAATCCTGCCTGGAATTCGTTCACCTTACGTGCCTTCTATCAACAACCAGTGACATTACGTCTGACCATGGCTCTTTGCGCAGAATCCACAATGATTCTCCGGGATCTGTCAGCCTTCAACATGGGGAGAGGCGCATATGATACTACAGGAGTGAAGAAGCCTGGTGCCCCTCCACCGCCACCATCCACCCGTTGAGACGTCAAAAAGCGCGCTTGTTACCACATGATACGGTTGCTTCTACCTTCCAGAGGACAAGAAGCTTCTTGTGGTTCCAATTCCGCTGCCCCCCTGGCGCCAATGGCAGTTTTGGGTTCACGTGTCTGCTACAATGTTGGTTGATCTTGGGTAAGTTGTCCCGCGTGGCACTCTTGCTGCTGTTTCATCACTGACAGACTCCTACCTAGACCTTGTAACACTACCTCTTGATACATTTCTCCTTTGCCGACTACCTCCGTTCTTCAGCTCTCGCATCCTTTTTTTTATTCTCTCCAATACCCTTCGACTTTGCTCGAATCCAGCGTTGGCGTTCTTTTCGACATTAGAAACCGTTGAACTTCTGTTTCTCCGCCAAATCATTTCGATCTATCTACAACTTTTAATCTGGCCGACACGAACAATTTCAGGTCCATGATCTGTACCATTAAAAGTGCTTTGTGTGTTTTTTTTTGTCCCTTTTCTTTTCGCGGTTCCATTTGTTTCAGGCGTTTGGCATAGACGGGAAGGATATTACATGGGATACATGGATTGATACCAAGACTAGATCTGACGACCTCGCGGTCACATTTCTTTTTCTCTTTTTGTTTTCTTTTGTCTCGCTTTTGTCTTTTTGCTTTCACTCAAATTGGATTTAGCATCATTGTGGGGCTCTGTGAATTTGTCTTTGCTCATGTACAATATGGACAGCACCTTTTTTTGGGAATAGAAGCAAGTGTGCCTTGTGTGTCTTTGGAATCCAGTGTATTCTGCGTGGAAGTCTCAGGATAAACTTGATTGTTTCGAGCTTTGACAATTTACCGTACTCTGAAAGTTGATTGATTCGTCCCTGAGTATCTACAAGCTGTTTGACGGCAGCATGCAGACCTATCTGCAGTCTGATTTGCCTGACTGATGTCCTCCATGCATTATCTTAGATTGTGAGTGGATCATTGGACCCTAGTCGAAAGTCAAGGTATTCGTCGTGCATGTGCTTCTGTGTCTTGGGCAGCTACCAGCATCTCTGGACGAATCATGCTGTGCAACGTTGGCATTCTGGAGATGACTGGGCGCTATACCACGGGGTATTTGCTATCTGGCAATGCTTTCAGGTGTTATTGGTGAGCTATGGCACGTCACTCCTGGGCTAGGTAGGTAGGCTGGTAGCCTGACCTTGTCCGGTAGTTGGAGAAGTAGGTACTTTCTACTTCGTGACTGTGTAGGTACCTGGGTATCTAAGATTGGGTAGGAGGTGAGTACTTGGCATGACCGTTTAGCTTCTAGCCAATTGCAATAGAAACTGTTGACTCTCCTTGACGGCATCTCCATGAATAGGTAGACGTTACCCACAGACACCAATGAGCCGGATACCCAAGAAGAAACATCCGGCCAGGCCATACTTACCTAATGTTAGGTAGGGGTGCCTGAGGTGTATGCAAAGGACCTGAGGCAGAGATATCCCGTGACTGCTCGAGCCGCTGGATGACTGCCGCTAAACCCAGTTTGGACCCTGGAGTGCCTCAACTCCATCATCGCTGACGATGGATGTCTCTCCGCCTCTCTGGGTACATACATTTGGAGGTTATCCACCAATCTGCCGGCCAACTGCTAGTTCCTGGACGACTCTGGCAATTGTATATTTGTCCCACCGCCTTTTCAGTTTGCTCACCACATTGCATCCTTATCATCAAAGCACACACTGCCAGGATTGGATCCCCTGCGACTCGGCTTATGTGCTTCAGGCAGCTCTGATTAATTACCATCTTACTCCCCAGTATTGCCGACCATAGCCGCCCGTTGCGAGCTGATTTCATCGATCGTTCAGCGTTCGAGAACCAGAATCCGTGTGCGAAAAAAAAGCACTCCTGCAAGAAGACCTAATAGCCCAATCGTTGGGCTCTACAAACCATGTCTGACTCAACGAGCGCAAATACCCCCAAGCCGAGCAGCAGCGTCAAGCTCGTCCTGCTCGGCGAGGCAGCTGTTGGAAAGGTATGGCGTGGGATTCTGTCCTTCCCATCCTTCATGCCCCCTCTCTCTGTTGTACACGGGTAACCCAGAGGACTGACTGTGTGCTCAACCGGCCGGGGTCAACAGTCATCACTCGTTTTACGATTTGTCAACAATGACTTCCAGGAGAACAAAGAGCCCACCATTGGAGGTAAGCAAGTGGACCTGAATGTGTTCGTTTTGGCAAATCTCTCCACGCTCATCACTAATGTCATGATTCTGCGGCATCAGCTGCATTTCTTACCCAGAAATGTTCCCTGCCTACCCGCACAATCAAGTTCGAAATCTGGGATACTGCCGGCCAGGAACGTTTTGCCTCTCTGGCTCCCATGTACTACCGTAACGCCCAGGCGGCGCTGGTAGTCTACGATGTTACAAAACCATCCTCCCTCACAAAGGCCAAGCACTGGGTTGCCGAGCTCCAACGCCAGGCAAGTCCCGGGATCGTGATTGCCCTCGTGGGTAACAAGCTGGACTTGACGAACGACGGCGGGGAGGCTACGGAGCAACCGCAGGCTGAGGTTGAACAGGAGCCTTCTGGTGCTGAGGGCGAGGAGACCGCCGGGGACAACCATGAGGAGCAGGAGACTACCCCTGGAGATGCCCGCAAGGTCTCAACACGGGAGGCGAGCGCTTATGCAGAGGAGGAAAGCCTGCTGTTTTTCGAGACCAGTGCAAAGACCGGCACGAATGTCGCTGAAGTCTTCACTGCAATCGCCAACGCGATCCCGGAGAGCAGCCTGAAGAGCGGACGCGGAGCCGGCGCGGGGACAGGCCAGACTGCTCTGGGAGCTGGCCGTCCGGCCGACGAGACGCGGGTCAATCTTGGGGATCGAGCAACTGCTACGGCCAAGGAGGGCTGCGCCTGTTGATCGGCCCGGATATGCTTACCCGCTCTGTAGTTTCTTCTTTTACGTCAATACCTTATTCTTGTTTAGAACGCAACTCAGCCTTCCGCATGATCGGCATACTTCCAAAGCATGCACTTGTTCTTCTAGTTCAGGGCGTCTATTTTCCTGTATTACTTAGTGATTGCTTCCCTATTTTTCAGCTTTGTTTGTTAGTCCTGTGTTGGTCTTGCGATCCACGACGTTCATTGTGATTCCTAGCGTGCGAACCAGTCTCTTGCCTTGAGTTAGGAATCTTGTATGGAGTACTTCGTGCTGCTGTGTTATTGAATGCGCATATTTGATATTTTTCTCTGGGGTTTTTAGCAGCGTACTGTCCATCATGATTAGGCCTACGTCCAAGGCATTTCCTACTTGCTACCAGTAGTAGATTGTCTTTTGACGTTGGATGATGATAATGATGCCTCAGGCGCCAAGGGCGAACAAAGTCACGGGATACGCGTTCCCCTAAGAGGGCAGAGGCGCTAATCCCACAACGGCTAGAGACAACACCGCTAAGCGAGGCGCCGAGACTCCGATCCCACACCCGCACGACCAAGCGCAAATTGTAGGGTAGGAACTCCGTTCAACCTCGATTATTTTCCCCCTCGACGACCAACTCCCCTCGCGACAAGGAACCAGCAGCACCAGCAGCACAGCCAGCTACCCGTCGCTCGTCTGCAATCATGGCTGCCATCAACAAGATCGCCCACAACTCGCCATCGAGGCAGAACCCCTCCGAGCTGGAGACTGCGATCGCCGGCGCTCTCTTCGACTTGGAGAGCAACACACAGGACCTGAAGGCCACCCTCAGGCCCCTGCAGTTCGTCTCTGCCCGTGAGGTAAGACTCGCCTGATTGCTTTGTGTTCCAAATCGCGTTCTGTGCCGTGTCAATTGCACCGCAAATCATATATTTCTCGAAGCGAAGAGTGAAACTGCCGGGCCTGGAGATGAGTGGTATATCTACATGTTTGGTGGTGATTTTTCTGTGCGGGAAATCAAATCAAATCATCCTTGGATGCGCGAATGAGATCCCCTGCCTATCTGAGAAAAAGAAGAGGAAACTGGAACTGGAAGAGTTGGGAATAAGGATACTGGTGTACCGGGCACTCGACACTGGATATTTTTATTTTTTATTTTTGATCGCGATTGACTTCATGCTTAAACTATGCCGGGTTATCTGACATGTATGGACTCTTTGACAGGTTGAGGTCGGCCACGGCAAGAAGGCCGTTATCATCTTCGTCCCCGTCCCTCTCCTCCAGGGCTTCCACAAGATCCAGCAGCGGTACGATTGAAAACCCACTCCGCAGCATTCGACGAATGCAGATACCTTCCCTCCTGCGGGATGAACCAGCCGAAACTGACAATGCATTCCAGCCTGACCCGTGAGCTCGAGAAGAAGTTCTCCGACCGCCACGTCCTCTTCGTTGCTCAGCGCCGCATCCTGCCCCGCCCCAAGCGCTCTGTCAACTCCCGCACCAACCAGAAGCAGAAGCGTCCTCGCTCCCGCACCCTGACTGCCGTTCACGACGCCATCCTCACCGACCTCGTCTACCCCGTCGAGATCGTCGGCAAGCGCACCCGCACCAAGGAGGACGGCTCCAAGACCCTCAAGGTCGTCCTTGACGAGAAGGAGCGTGGCGGTGTTGACCACAGACTCGATGCCTACGGCGAGGTCTACCGCCGTTTAACCGGCCGCTCCGTTGTCTTCGAGTTCCCCCAGAGCAGCGCTGCTGAGTACTAGATTTTATTTTCCTGTGTCAAAACCTCTTCTTCATGATCATGTGGTTTGGTTTAGGTAAATAAGCGAGTGCTTTGCAGAGGGGTCTGGTAGGATTCGTGTTGGGGGCGGGTTCATGAGAGAGAGAAGAGTGAGAGAAAGCAAGGAATGAGAACGGTGCTTCGTGTTCTACTTTTTTTTTCTTCCCACACGAAATCTGCCTTGATCATGATCCCTCTGCGATGGGGTAGCTTGGTCTGGTTCTCGGGTATCAAGGTTCCGGAAATGAAAGGTTGCGATGTGATAATAAAAAAAATCATGATCTACTGGTTCCGGGCTTTTTTTTATCTTTCCGGCGTGGTCAAAAAATACTCTTCCTTTTTTTTTCTTCATTCTTCTCGCCCGTGGCCCCGTACAAGACAGAAATCGTATCAGATTACCTTCGCGATATCTTTCATATATCCCCTCAATTCCTTAGGACACTGGGATGTAGTCTATTTACTTCGGGATAACCTAGCTCAAGTCCCGAATATACAGTAGAAAACAACAATCAAGCACATGAGCAAAACATGGTATCTATATGAAAGCAGCAAACTGGTACGGCCCCGACCTGCGAGCGCGGCCACACACAACTACGGCGCAAAATCGCCAGTAATCCTCCCCACCCCCAACACCATCCAATATGCCAACTCCCGCTTGACAGTGTCAGAGCCCTGCGACTTGCTCACGGACTGCTCCATCTGGTTCTCCGAGTCCCATTCCATGCGCACAAACACGGGGATCTCGAGGACGTCCTCGTCTGGCTGCAGCTGGTTCCTGGGATCCGAGGCTTTCCCGCTCCAATCCAGTTTCGTAGCGGGCTTGCCATTATTCTCGTCGTTATCACTGTCGCTGTTCTGATCATCACTGTCGTCGCTGTCGACATCGTGGGCTCGCTGTTTTCTGGCTCCCGTGGTACCCCCTGGTAACGTCCCTGGCACAACCTCCAGCACGACGGTCGTCCAGTTCCGTCCCTTGTCCCAGACCTTGCCTGCCTCGGCGACTTTCTCGGATCCGAGGTTGAATCCCCCGGAGCGAGACGAGCGCTGGTCTCCCGCCGCCGTGCCCTGCAGGGCTTCGTCCCAGACATCGCTGTTGGCTCCGATGTCGAATTGCGGGCAGAGGATGGTGACTTTGGTGGCGACTCGGCCTGGTGTTACCGACGGCGTGGCAAGCGTCACCCGGACGGGGTCGAACATGTGGTTTTTGAGCGTGAGAAGGAGCTGTATTGGCTTCAGTGGGGAGAGGGCGTCGAGGTTGGGGCCTCCAAGTGAGGTTGTGGATGAGGTTGATGGAAGGCCTGTCGCTGGTCCTAGAGGAAGGGGCTTGAGCGTCGGAAGAGGTATGTAGCTGAGGGCGATAAGTCGGATCCGGAATCGGGTCGACTGCGGCTTGAATTCGGGCTTGACGAGGATATGCTTGCATGATTTGCAGCGCTTTGAGCGTTTAGTGCGGAGTAGCACTGGCAGAGGCAGAAGGTCCTCCACAAATCGAGCATCGGGGGACTGGAACATGCGTTGCTCAATCGACGCGACGCCGTCCCAGCCACAATCTTCTGAGGCCATCCGCTCGATGATGGTTTCTTCTGTATCAGGAGCGGGCACCTTGAGGCCCTCGCTGGTGGTCAGAGCTTCTCTCATGACTGGAGGCTTCGACTTAGGTTTCTTGTTGGCTCCATAAAGATTATTCAGTCTTGACGACGCTGCATAAAGCGACATGATACGGTTCAGAGCACCAGGGGAGGCGAACCCGGGTCCGAAATCGGCCCCAAAGGGGTCTGCGGGTGATGTGGACGTTGCGGCTATCTGATCTTTGTAGAATGCCTTGAGTGCAGAAAATCTCGCATCGAAATTCAGAGGAGCCGCGGGCTGCTCGTTAGATGTCGTAGATTGACCGTCTCGGCTCTCCTCAGGTGTCGGGAATTGGTCATCGACCGAGGAGTATATGGACAGCGGGGACTTGAGCTCGCCCACGGTTTTGGACATTTGTCTCCCCCTGGAAGAAGGGTCCGTCATTTTTGAAAGCTGGGTACGGATGTTCGTAGGTTTATCGAATTTGATGCCGATATCCAAGGTTGTCCACATGCAGTATGCACAGGACAGCACCCAGGGCCCCTGCTGGCTTTCACCTCCTGTGACATTCTCGAGAGTGGTGACCGCAAGGGGCGCAGTGCATGCAGGGCAATTGAAGCAATTCCTAGCACATCTAATAGCAGAAGAGCTCTTTAGCAGGGGATCTTCGACTAACAAAAGGTCAAACGCGGGGCCAAAGTCCGCTCACCGATTATTCTCGCTCCGAACCATGCTGCTCGGTGTTTCGAACAGGCAATTGGGGCAATACCAACATACAGTCTCTTCCGTAATGCATCGTGGGCATTTGATCTGATGGCAATCTTCACAGTAGAGTAGCTGTTCCGGGGGGTACAGGGAGAAGTTGGAGCGTGGGGATCGGGGATCGAATGTCTGTTCCTCGTCGTCGCTATCCTCAGCTCTTAATGGAGCTGTTTGCTCTGCCTTGCCCTTCTGCGGTGATTCGCGCGATCTCCTTTTTCTGGACGGATCAGGGATGGGCGTATCCGCACACGGGCACGAGATGTAGGTATAGGGGAAAGGACGCGACATGTTTAGGATAGCAGGGGTGTGTGTGTGTGTTTGTGTGTATCGGGGCGCTCGAGAGGATGTCGTTTACCCTGAGGCTATCCTATACAGGAAATAATATCATAACATCATTCAAGAAACACCTTCGTTGTATGCCGACCCGAGTCTAGGCGACAATTATCTGTCAGTGTTGGGCAAACAACGAAGAGTCCAGGGACGCACTCACGGTTGATTGACAACGCTCTCGGTAGACGAGCCTCTTTCAATGATTCCTTCCAGTCAGTGATACCAAAACCTGTGAGAATCCTCAGATCCAGATTTCTTCAGTCAACACAATGGTCGCTGAAGGGTCTCGTGGAGATGGTGATGTTTTTATCGCCAACGCGAAATTGCGGAGACTCCGCGGGATGGAAAATCCAATCGACGTCACCTGTGGATGAGCTCTGCATTGCACATCTGCTCGTCCTGACTCTCTCTTGGCCTAATTGCGGTTTGTGAAGCTACTTTCAAGGCCAAAGAATGCTCTAGAGCTCTAATCAATCTCTAACCATTCTCAACCCATCATGTCACTCCGCCATCTGTCCCGTCGAGTGGCACTGGCCCAGCCCTCATACATTGCATCGAGGACCTTCGCCAGCCAAACTCCAGGAAACCCAGTCTTTGAGGTGTTCAACCGCAAAGTGAAACATCTCCAGAAAGATCGCGCAGCTCGCAATGTGGAAGAAAGCCGAAAGACAGACTACATCAAAGATGAGGTGGCCATGCGGTTGTGTGAACGGTTACTGGCAAGCTCTTCTTCTCCGCTTACTCCCCTCTCATCTGTAGCTAACCTTCAGTTACGAACAGGATATCAAGCGGGATTTCCCCAAAGTCCTCGATCTAGGCGCGAACAGCTGCAACATCGCCCGTGCTCTGACAACGCCCAACCCCGACCCCAGCACACCAACATCTCCACCGCTAGCAGACAAAATCTCGCAACTGACCTGCATCGACACCTCGGAAGCGCTCCTCTACCGGGACGCCGATGAGCCCGTCACCAGCGGAATGAATGTGGAGCGGCAGGTCGTCCCGAATCTCGAGAGTCTGCCCTTCGAGCCTAACACCTTCGACGCCGTGCTCTCCTCCCTCTCGATGCACTGGGTCAACGATCTCCCATCTCTGCTGGCACAGGTGAACACGATCCTGAAACCAGACTGCCCGTTCATCGCGGCCATGTTCGGCGGCGACACGCTGTTTGAGCTGCGCACGTCGCTGCAGCTGGCGGACCTTGAGCGGCGGGGCGGCGTCAGTCCGCATGTGTCGCCGCTGGCGGACGTGCGGGATGTCGGCGGGCTACTGAACAAGGCCGGGTTCAAGATGCTCACGGTGGACGTGGAGGATATCGTTGTGGAGTTCCCGGATACGTTTGCGCTTATGCAGGACTTGCAGGCGATGGGCGAAAGCAATGCCATCTTGCATCGGGAGCTGGGACCCATCTCTCGCGATGTGCTCTTAGCGAACGAGGCGATATATCGGGAACTGCACAAGGAGGAAGGGTCGAGAGGGATCCCGGCTACGTTCCGGTTGATCTATATGATTGGGTGGAAGGAAGGCGAGGGGCAGGCTCAGCCATTGCAGAGAGGCAGTGGAGAGATCAATCTGAAAGACATCCTTGGGGGTGGATCATTCGAGAGACCATAAGATGCCCTTCTGCCTGGAAGATCATTTATCAAGCAATATGTATGATATGAAGGTTGCGTAAAATCTAAAATGGATATTCGCACAGCGCAATGTAAAGTAAGCTGAACGCCCAGCTCGGAGCCCCTAGTTCGCTGCAATCCCTAGAAGAGATAGGGAACCACTATGGCTCCTCCAAGTCAATCCGAACGTCCTCCCCAGTCCCACACCACACTAGACCGTTCTCCGATCCGTCATGACTCGAACAATCGACCCGGTACCCGCAATCTCAACCAATTTCTCATGCCAGCTCAGAAGCACACTCATCTGCTGACCGCCACCTCCCTCGCCGAGATTACGCGCCTGGATCTGCGAGAATCCAGTGCTCTGCGGCGACATCGACTTATGGGGCGACTGCACGCCGCTACCGGGGCCTGGAGCAGCCATCCCCTTGTACCTGTGACCCGTCAGCAACTCCCCCCCCCTCAAATCGTCCCGCACGATAGAACCGCAGCCATTAACGTACAGATACTTCATCAGGCAGTCCGCTCTCTCCGACCCGCCGGCCCCGCCGCACACCCCCTCCAACACGCGGGTCATCTCCCCCTGCCGGATCCCCTGCAGCACATCCACAACGGTAGCCATGTGCACCTCCTTGGCGCGATCGTCTCCGCCCAGCGGCGCGGTGTCGAGCACATGCCGCAGGGCGCCTTCGGGGTCGCCTCCGCGGAGCAGCTGGCGAACTTGGGTTGCGACGTTGGCGGCGTCGGAGGATGTCTCGGGTGGGGGCAGGGTGGAGGGGAGGAGGGTGTCCATGGGGAAGCTCACGGATGACTCCGGATCGAGGACATCGATGTTGATTGTGCGGTAATTGAGTTGGGCCATGGTGTGCGGTGGTGCGGTCGTTGTGGACACGGGGTAGTGGTTGGTGAATTCAACAAGGAGAGGACCTCCGGGGAGCTATTGATCAGCTTCTAGCAATCGGGAGATAGATTGAATAGTCAGGGACTATGTGCTAGCGCAAAGTATGTCATTATTTGCGAGATCTGTAAAGTGTCGGGTGGGATAAATACCCAGTCCAGCGCCCACGGGAGGGAAGCGGGGAGAAGCTTGAGAGTGACGTGATGCGAAGAATGGGATACAGGAGAGATATGGATGCGCCTCCCTAGAATGAAGTCGAAAACAGACCGTGTAATTAGATTGGAATATGCGTGAATCAAAGACAAAGGAGGAATTGAGCGACACAGAGGGAACTAGCAGGCAAGATGAAGTTGACGCCTGTCAACGATGGGAGATGATGCGGCGGTGCGGAGAATCGGCCTTGGAGCCTAAGGCAGGAATCAGCCCCTTATGATTGTCTTTAACTTCCTCTGTTACTACTACACTACTACTTACTCATAAACAACATCTTGAAAATCTTGGTTGAATAAGTACAGAGCTGCAACCTTGCACTCATTTTGCTCTTTTACTCTCATACAGGCCTTCTATAAAGTCACAAATCGCTCAAAATAACAAACAGCCAACAACGCCGGTCATCTGTCTTAAGAACAGACGATGCAGTATGGAGACAGGAAACAACAGTAATCCTCCCATATGTACAAAGTGTATGCTGATAAATAGAATCATGTCGTTGTTCACGTATATGGTGCGAGGCCGTATCCCAGAAACAAACCGGGGAGCGGCCGAAGTTCGTATAATAAAATCATTAAGAGGTCGTAATAGTGATTGGAGGCACCACGACTGGTGTTGGTGGTGCCTTGGACGTATGCTGTTGCTCTAGATCGGTCCAGGGAGATTCATCCTCGTCCGGATTGGAGTCGTCTTGCTTTCCGTTCCGGCGAAAGATACGCCGGCTGAAACGTTTCGCAGGTCGGACCATCGAAGAAACCATTCTCTTGATGACGCTGAAAAGTTTGCCAACGGGCCGCAGGATAACCAAAACGACTCGGACAACGACATCAATCGCGATCTCCACTGGCCGGTCGGGCGTCAATCGCAATACCACGGCCCATGGTAGACAAGCAATGGCGCAGATGATACAAACACCCCACTGAAGACCATCGAGGCGAGTGACACCGAAGGCTGCACCGCCGACGTAGATGATCATGACCTGGCCTGCTATCATGATGCAGTTGATGCCCAGAAACCAGTAGTTTCGGAACATTCCCTCGAAGATATTCAGCTTGTTATCAAGCCTCCGGTTGTTAAATTCGTTGAAGATCTGCATCCACACGAAAGTGTTGAAGACGATGGTGTCAAGCTTCAGTTGAGCATTGTCGCCCAGATGGCCACTAAGGATTTTGTCACCCACAAAATAGAGCATGAAGGTAACGGCGAGCTGGTAAATAGCTTGTCCAATGATCATCTTCCACATGATCACGGTGAACAGCGATGCGCTCTTCGGGACAGGTTTGCGGTCGAGGATCTTCTCTGTGGGAGCATCAGTCGCAAGTGCCAGGGCCGCAAAGGTGTCCATGATCAGGTTGACCCAAAGCAGCTGGACTGCTGTCAAGACACTTCTGTTGTCTTTGCTGTAAAGGGAGGAAACAAAAGTCAGGACGACGGCGGTGATGTTGACGGTGATCTGAAACTGGAGGAATTTGGCGACGGCATCATTGACGGCTCTGCCCCAGGCAATTGCCGTGACGATAGACTTGAAGTTATCATCAAGGAGGATAATGGAGCTGGCCTCCTTGGCGACTTCGGTGCCAGCAATTCCCATCGAAAAACCAACGTCGGCAGTCTTCAGAGCTGGACCATCGTTGGTGCCATCTCCAGTGACGGCAACGGTTTCGCCCAACTTTTTGAGCCGTGCGACCAAGATCCGTTTATCTTCAGGCGAAGAACGGGCAAGGACTTGTAGGCGGGGAATGACCTCGTCCATCTCACTGTCGGACAGCTGACGGAACTTGGGACCCTCCATGACAATGCCGTCCTCGGTTTTGATGCCGCAAGACGATGCAATAGCCGTGGCTGTTGCAATGTTATCACCAGTGACCATCTTGACCTGCACACCTGCCATATGGCACTTCTGAATTGCAGCAGGCACCTCAGGTCTCAAAGGATCCTGGATTCCGACAATACCGACCCAGGTCATGTCGCAGAAGACATCTTCAAAACGAGCAGCCGACGAGTCATCATCTGCTAATCGAGCACCCTTTGGTGGCCAGCTGGGGAAGTCTCGGTACACAAGGCCAATAGTCCGAAGAGACTTCTCTGCATATGAATCAACGGTACCGAGCATCTTCATCCGGTCTTTCTCGGAGAAGGACTCTGTCATGACGCCACCTGTGGACGAACTCAGATCAACGATCTTTGATGAGCACGCGGAAACCATAATCTCGGCGGCTCCCTTGACAAGAAGACGATAGCCAGCGGTATGATCACGGCAAACGACACCCATGCACTTGCGGGAAGAGTCGAACGGGATGAGCTGGACGATCTCCGCAGAGGCACGCTCCGTAGTCACATCCATGCCAAGGAAGTCCTTGGCCATCTGTAGTAGTGCCACCTCCGTTTTGCTGCCAATGAATTCCTTGGCACCATCTTTCTCTTCTTCGAAAGCGGTGGAGTTCAGCGCAATGCTCTTGATGATCAGGTCGCGGATGGTGGTTGAGCATTGTTTGAAGAGCTCGGCTACGGTTGTCGAATCGTCGTCATCTTCCGTTCTGTCCTGACTGAAACGTTGCCCGGTACCAAAGGTACCTGCGACGACAGTCATCTTGTTTTGAGTCAGAGTACCCGTCTTATCGGAGCAGATCACGGTTGCATTGCCCATGGTCTCGCAAGCACGAAGCACACGGACAAGGTTGTTCTCCTTGACCATCCGCGTCGTGGCGAAGGCGAGAGCAAGTGTCACGGCCAACGGAAGGCCCTCTGAGGGAGTGCTTAGCTAGATGCAGGTGCATGCGACAGGATAAGGTACGAACCAGGGATTGCCACAACGATCACAGTGACCGCAACGATCAGAATGTCGACGAATTCTTTGCCCTTGACGGCAGGACTGCCAGGGTTGTTCGAGAGATTAGCGACAAATCTAAAGAACAAGGCGAAGAATAAGACGATTGCCGCGCTGATGATCATTAGTAAGAATTTTGTATCTGAAAGCGATGATGCTTACCTGGAACCAAGCCATCCGATCCAATTGGCAAGCTTTCCCAGCTTCACCTGGAGAGGGGTAGGGTCATTCGTCTCTTGCAGAGAAAGCAAGATGCGTCCATAGGACGAATACGGTCCGACACTGGTCACTAGGTATGTTCCCACGCCCTCGAGGACTTTACTGCCTGAGATCATGAAGGGGTCGAGTTTCCTCGAGCCATTTCCGTTTACAAGGCGCTGCCAGACTTCGTCTCCATTGATCTTCTTCATCTGGTCCGATTCTCCAGTGGCGGAAGACTCGTCGCATTTGATACCATGGCCAGAGATGAGAATGCCATCTGCTGGGACGGAATCTCCTGGTTCCAGATGGAGGACATCACCGACCGTGATATCGAAGATGGAGATCATAGCCACTTTTCCAGAGCGGACAGCTTTGACTTCCCGGTCGTTATTCTGTAAGCGGATTAGGATATTATTCATGGATATCAGACTGGATCACCTACCCTCTTGTTCAGCTTGGCAAACTGGCGCTCCTTTTGCCAGTCATTTGCGGCGGTCACGACCGTCACAATCAAAATGGCCACACAGATAGCGACACCCTCAATCCAGTCCACTCCATGTCCAGCATCGACAGTCTCGTAGATGCCTAGAGACAGAGAGACGATAGCGGCGATTGTGAGCAGAATGATAATTTTGTCGTTGTAAGCCTGCCAGAGTAGCTTCAGAAACCCAGTAGACTTTCGAGCAGGTAGCCTATTTTGGCTGAAGATGCGTATGCGATCTTCAAATCTCGACCCACCATTTGCTGCTGTCGTTGCATCCTGTGTATGGGAAAGTCCCTTGTCGGAGGGAATCGCTTGCTGGAAATCGATCGAGCCATCTAAGAGCGTCTCGTCCTCCGAAAGACCAGACGTCAAATTCGTCCGCAGACCCCTTTCTAACCCACGCAGGCCTCCTAGCGCCTGGAAAGCGGCCAGGGACTTGGGGTTCAGCATCTTGTTCAGCTGGCCCGGCGAGAAGGCAAATTTGTTGTTTTTGACAAGGAAATCTTGCTCATTTCGAGGATCCGGGGTCAGGGCACCAGAGAGAGGTACATCATCGTAGGCTTCCCTCGACACCAGCATGGTCACATCCGACCCGGCACGGGATCTTGTGATCGTATCTGAAGCTGAGGCGAAGGACTCAGATCGCGGACGTAAGGTGTCCCCATCGATCGAGCTCGGGGTTCGAGGGACTTCATGTTGCACCCTCAGCCGGTTTGCATCCACTGATAGGGGGATATCCAGCGATAGCGAAGGTTGCTCTGAATGTAGAGAGGAAGAACGCGATCGCTGTCAGTGTGTCAGCATGTGTGTCTTCACCACGAGGCTGGAATGCCGGACTGTATACCTCTCCATGTGGACCGACTGCCTGAGGGCTCAATAGCCCGTCCTGGCGGTTTCCACCTGGCGTCAGCATGGTTGGGCCGACACGCGTCTCAGGTTAGCAGAAAGGTATGGATAGTAGTATGAAGGTCATGAATTTAGATATGAACAGTGCAATGAAAGAGGGGCCCTCGTCATTTTATCGTTGGGGATCGTTCAACCTCTCTATATTGAGCCAATCACGGATCAAGAATCAGACACAGCCACCTTTTGGGAAAGATTGATAAACCATCACTCAAACTCCCCCATTTTACTACAACTGTTCAATGGGAAACTTCTGACTACCTGGAGCCTGCCTGCTCTCAAGGCATGTGGGTTCAGAATGAGGTGACTTTGATCGATGCCCAGGGATTTGGCCCAGCACAGCCTGCCTTGGTCAAACCAAGACAAAAATCAATAGGAGGAACCTTGTCTCGGCCGCTATAATACAGAAACAAGAAGGGTAAATACTCTGTTCGAAACTTCAGGCCAAAACATGCTCCATAGTCCCTCAGTCCGCATCCGGTGCCACGGACGAGTAAGTCGAGCGGTATAGACGCCAGGGGTTTCACACATCCACACCTCCCCCAACCGCAAATGCAGCACTCATCGGCGCCTACGAAACAATCCCAAACGCTCGAACATCGAGACGAGTGTATGGCCGAGGCAAGAATCTTGATGCAATGAAGGACCAGTGACGCGCAAAGCGGTGCGAAGCATATGACCGGTTCGTCAAATCAGCTCATATCGTCAAGAGCCAATCCCTGGAGCGATGGGCAAATTCCAGACAATTCACCCTTCGGGGATGATGAGCGCATCTGGATTGCTTCTGGAGCTCTAAGTGGATCGATCTCTGCCGCCAATTCACTATTGCTTGCTGCGCCTCTCTTGGCTCACTGCTGCTGCTGCCCTCCATCGCGCAGATGGAAGAAACTTGAACGACCTTCTCGTCTAGGCATTGGAGACTAGGTTCTGCATAATTTGCATTCCGCAGGCGACAACTAATCATCATTTTCGCTGTTCTTCAGTAGTGCTGACTTGACCTGGCGGCTCGCTCGATCTGTTGCCAGTTGACATCCGGATCAGTAACTATCGAGGGGGGTGGCGCTGAACGCCACACTTCAGTGACCATGGGACTCTCTGTGGCTGATGGCCTCATGGAGATACCCGTGGACGGCTGGGTTCGATAACCTGCTCAAACGTTAATTAATTAGTTAGATAGGATTGACTGGTAGGTTATCTCGAACTTGCAAGGGGAGAGCAAACCGCTCAGCTTAGCGCTCGCAGCATCGCAAATTACTCAGGGACCCAAGTGGATCGATCTGTGGCGCAGATGTGGCGGTGGTGGCTGGTGACTATCATAGTGGTAATAGTGAGAGTCAGAACTATGAGGTGATGAGGCTTAAGAATCACAAGATTTGAGCTTGTGTGGGACTGAATAATAATGGCGATGATAGTGGAGAGAGCAAGGGGGGATAGAAACCAGGATAGATAAATGGAAAAGAATTCAGAAGCAGAGGACGAAGTAAGGTATGAGAGACTTTACTTCTGTCGGTCCTCCAGGCAGCATCATTATTCTTTGGTGCTGTATGTGTAAGGTATTGTCATATACCACCAAGAATACACTTTGTTGGATAGGCTGTAGCAGTGTTATTTTGGTATTACAAATACAGACTGCATCTTGAGTACATCTCACCGCAACCTCGCTCCGAAAGGTACTTAAGAAGATCACCTGTGCCCTGCACCAGACTTAGTATACCGGAACTGGATAGCAGCTTAGACAGCTGCATGCAGACTACCTAGTTGGTTCTATCATGCAGGCGAGTCTTATTCCAGCCTCTGATGAGGACTCTCATGACTAAATGTTTATAGTTTTGATTATATCTCCAAGCCACCACTAGCTAGCTGCGTGGTCGTACAAAGTATACATAACTAAATCCTCGGTACCCGTCAGCAGGGTGACTGATGAGAGCCTCAACGCCGCACCAAAAGGGTGCATTGGAGTTAAATTCCTAGCCGCATAAGCCATAAAGCTCAGAAGCAAACGAATTGCCGCCACTGAGAGATGCTGGATCTCATAAACAGTCAAAGTCATTGTCCGCATCAGCATGCACCGACAGCTCGGCATATCGATTACCCAGACCACAGAAACACTGTCTTGACCGTCCAACCTCATCATCTTCCGCCTCCTTCCGGCCCAGAACGTCTTCCATAGCCCACGCAATACGCTCAGCCCCCAGCCTCGCTCCTTCGAGGTTAGGCGCTGCAGGGCCGAGACGAAGAGAAGCCAGCCTCCCCGTCACGAACAGCGGCACACCGGGTTGCCACATGAGGTCGTCCGTGATGCATGGCAGCCCCTGCTTCGTCTCGATGGGGTAATCACGGTGCATCCGCTGCAGCAGCGGCATCTCCTGGACATCGCACTTCATCCCCGTTGCGAAGTAGATGTAGTCGATGGGAGGGAGGTCTGGGATCGGGGGGTCGGTGGTGAGCCGCCACGTCTGGGTCAAGGGGCAGTACTCCTTGTCGCAGATGACGGTGCGCGTGTGGATGGACACGCGGTTTCGGGCTGCGTGCTGCTTCACGATCTTCTGGTACCGGGGCGTGATGCTGCCGCCGTTTCGGGCAACCTTGATCATCTCGAGACGTTCTGGCGCGGTCAGTCAGCATTGAATGTATGTTCCAAAGCGGCAATATTGGGCAGCGAGGACTGACCATCGTCGGTGTCGGCGGACCAGAAAGCGGCCTTTTCGTAGTTCTTGAACTTGCCCACCCAGGTCAATCCGAAGTCAAAGTGTTTCACTACGCTGGTTAGCATCATGTGCAGTATCCATCTGCTCGCCCCAGTGGACACTCGTACCTTTGAAATCCGACCTCATAATAAACCACACCTTGGTCACACCCTTCCGGACAGCCATATCTACGATTTGCGCAGACGACAGCCCCCCTCCCACGACAACGACGTTTGTCTCCTCCCTCTGCTGCATCTTCCTCTTCACATTGGGACTAGGGAATGCGCGAATCTCGGTACTATGGCAGGCGCCCATCCGCTCGTCTGCGGACAGCTCAAAGGGCAGCATCTTCGTCTTCCCCGGCCCGATAGCCAGCACGACAGCCCGACTATAGAACCTCGATCCATCGCTCGCAGTAACAGTGAAGATCTTCTCGTACGGTGAGATCTCATCATCGTAATCGTACTGGATATCCCCAACCTCCCGCTGGAGGATCATCCCCGGCGCATTCAGCCCGTACCGCTCAACGATACTCGCACAATAATCCGCGAAAAGCCCCGTCGACGGCGAGAAGTAATCCTTGCGATCTCGCTCATCGATCTCGGTCTCCCCCATGGCTCTGTATCCATCAGCCCACTCTCCTTCCCACTCCGCTCCCACAAAAAGGGGGGGGGGGGAAAGTAGAAGATAAAGAGAAGGATACTCACACAGCCCTCGCCCTCATCCTCTTCTTCCTCTTATGCTTGCTCACTTCCTTCCCCACACACCCACCAATCTCCCACAGATCCGCCTCGCGGCCCGTCTCCCGCGCATACGCAAGCATCCCGTCGCGGTCCCCGGGATCCACATGGAAGAACATCGGACTGCGCAGCTGCGCAATCTCAAGCGTCCGGAACGCAGTCTCCCACCGCTGCATCCACCGCTCGCCTGTCCCGTCGAGCACGAGCACAGAGACGCCAGACTCACGCCGGGCACCCAGCCGCTTCTCCCCGCTCATGTCCGTATCCATGTCCACCGAGGATGGAGACAGGGATGACGCCAGCGACGGCACAGAAGACGCCGCCGATATTGATGCTGGTGCTCCGCTCGCGCTCGACGAGTCGCTAGTTCTGCGCTTCGACGCGTGCGCACGCCACGGCTCCGCCCTCACGCCGTTCAGCTTCCGTCGCTGCGCCTGGACGAGTGCCATCCGGCCGCTGTGCTTGTTGATCCAGTGGTAGCGCTGGTGTTCTTCGTCGGTGAACATGGCGGATGGGGTTGGTTCGTGGAGGCGCGCGGCGACGGCGAGAGCGCAGGGGCCGGCACCGATGATGAGGACGTCGTGGAGGGGGGGCATTCTTGGGTTGGTTGTATGGGGATGAAGGTGTAAGGTTGTTGGTGTTTGATAAAATGGATGGAGGAGAGTAAGTTGGTGAGGTAGTGTATGTGGATGGCCATGATGGGGTGTGCTGTTCTCGTGGATCATATATGTATGAAGTTGGTTGTGGTGGTTGCTGGTATTGTCCACCCAGGTACTTGGATCCCAAGGTCCTTGTTGTGCCGCTTGTGCCTGTGAGGGGGAGGAGGATCATGATGATGATGATAATGATGTGCCTTCATACGGGGACCCTGGGGGTGATAAGAGGGACTCAAGCGACATTGGCTATTGTGAAGATCGCTGGAGGACTTATCGACAGGATGAGCTGCTCTTTTCTCATAACTATAATGATGGTGGTCAGTCTAGCTACCATTTTATCACTCAGGCAAGACATATCAGAAGTAGAAATTACATTACTATAGTCATAGATACAATGAATTCTAGTGTCAATACATCACTTGTGCCATTTCTTCTGCTTCTCCCCCGTTGAATTGGCTCGGTGTCGGGGTACGCCTCCTCCCTCGCGCCGATGCCAGGCGTCTTGCGGCCACACCCAGCCCCGAACTCGCTTTGCGTCCCGCCGCTCGCCAATCTGTGGCTCGGGAATCCATTTGTCCTTTCCCTCCGGCAGGATGCGCTGCCGGGTCAGTGCACCGGGTCCACCCACGTTGAGGTGAGCAGAGGGCTGAGACGGCAGGGGCACCGATTTGGACAGCATGAGCAGAAAGTACAGAGCCAGGCTGGCCGTCATCGGTACGTTGAGACCATCTGTCAAGTGCAGAGAGTCAGAGTCCGACGCGGGTGAGAGACGGTCATGGGACGGTGCCGGGGAATGTGGTTGGGTGAAGGAACCCGGCCGTAGTCCGAGTTGTTCGACATCCGCGGCTATGTTGGTGGGAATGGGTGCGGAGACCTCTAGGAAACCAAAGTACGGTACATCGTCGCCTTCATCGCATCCTGCTCTCACGCAGACAAGCTCGATCTCAGTGATGATGAAGCCGTACCGGCATGAATGCTCCCGCATGCAGCGCTGCAGATGAGCCAGTCCGTTGAGGTATTCCACCCGGCGATGGGGCGCTTCAAGGCGCATGCCCGTGTTCCAGCGATCGAAGCTCTTGACAATGCCCACTAGCCGGCCACGGGGCATACCTGAGCTAGTTTTCTCGGTGTCGGACGCATAGTTGGCCAGGAAATGTGGTCCCCCGGTGTTCTTGCTGTTCGAGGCGCGGGCGTTGGGTGCAGTGTAGAGCTTCAGATGCTCCGGTCCCTGGGACACTGCCAGCGCCGCATTGACCCGTGGCGCATACATGTCTCGAACAAGACTGACTAATGCAGATTCAGACTCTGGAGCAAGCCGAGAGCCTGGCACTACGACTGGCGGAGTCAGATGCGAGGGGATTGCGGTTTTCAAGAGCTTGGTAAGACCATTGATCGAATTGAATGTGGGCAGCGTGAACGACGTCCAGCTACGCAAATTCCTGATGTCCCACCAGAAGTAATCGTGCATACCGCGAGTAGGCACCACGCTGACGTGACGAACAAGGTTAATCGCCTGCACCGAAGAGGTCAGGTAGGAAAGTAAAGTCGTGGATTGAACGGCCACTCCCTCTGCGTGATGGGCCACCCTGACCGGCGATGGCTGCGCGCTCGGGACCTGAGCGTAGCCGTACGGCGAATTCGGAAGCACCAGCGCCGCATGGCTCTGATGGTGAACCGGCGACCGAGACCTGTCAATAGGGGGGGACTCGGGGTAGGACGGATAGACTACAATGTTTGGAGTCACGGGGGTCACAGGCGCAGATGGAGAAGTGTACTTTGGAAGGTGTCTATAGGTCGGGTAGCCATAACGAGACAGAGTGGCTTCATCAATGCTGGACACTGAGCCAGACCGAGAGTGTCCGCCAGAGATTTTGCGCTTGTGCGAGGGCGTGATGCTCACAGGAGATGCCAGCGCAGAGCCATTGTGAGAGCCGTACATGGGCGAGGTTGAGGCTGGCGACACCAATGGTAGGCAATCCGCCATCTCGATGACATTGCGCTGGATGATCTCGCGACGCCTGGGAGGGTATGGCAAGAAACCCGGTGGGTTTCGTGTATTGGATAGAACGCGCCGTTGGCGCTGGGGTCCGGGAGCCGGCGCAGGCTCAATCACAACGTCCTGCGATCTGATCTTTGGAAGTAGAGCGGGGCCATGCTGATGTCTAGGAGGAGAGTCGTCCCGTGGACTGGTTCCGGCAGTCATTGCAGACCATGGCGAGGAGTCATTGGAGTAGATGGACGAATCGGACGCGTTGCGGTTGTGAGAAGCTCCAATGGGCTCCACCAACTGCAGTCGAGGAGGCGTCATCGGCTGATAATAGGGATAGTCGAGAGACATGGTGTCGATATCCAATGAGGGAAAATAGAAGCAAGGTTCTTTTGTCTTCGCAACGAGTGATCAACAGATGGGTGTACGGAAGAGCCAGCTTCCTGAGACACGTCAAAGAGCAATGTGCAATGTCCACCAACGAACTGAAGGACGGAGGGAAGAAGAAGAAGAAGTGAGAAGAGAATGATGAACACTTGTTTCAGAGCGAAGGGCTAACACAGTCGAGTCATAATCTATCTGAGTTGAGGAGTTCTTGAAGCATTGAGACGGAGAATGTTTGGACATTAAATGCTCTTCGATCAGGAACCATCCGGTCCATGTATAAAAAAAGCATCCGACAGACAGATCCAGAATAGAACAACCTGAAACATGGAGGAGGCTCCAAGTTGACGCCAGAGAAGTAGCCATATTGGGTACTGAGGACTGCCAAAAGTGAGGATCTCGCAACACGGATTGCCGAATCTGCCAGTGAAGATGCACGAAACAGGCGAGATCATGGAGCCGTCCCGGCCAGGAACAGTGTTTCATCTGGCAGTCGCGCGTCAAAATGTTACTAATTTTTGCATCTGCTTCATTTCTTCAGGACTTGAACATGATCCTCACACATTCCTTGTAGGGAATGGCGCGACGTCGACTTGGAAGAAAAAGATCTATAATCGGCAACACTTGTGTTTCGTGCTATTCTCGGTAATTATAGCTAATTTAATGAAGAAAGTCGTTGCAGAGGGACGAGCGTAACGCCTGGACATTCGTCAGTGGGCGGCAAACAGATACAGAGTCAGGTACAATCGACTGGTGATACCTTTGGGGTGCGTGGCTCCTTGTGATGTACTGGTCTGAGTCCTCGAAGCGCCGGAGAGGAGCAGTAATTGCAACGGAAACAGCTGTTCGTGACACACAAGAACCATTTCGGAAGTGCCTCGATCGTCCACGTCGACATGTCCTGGTTTCAGGATCTATCGATCTTGCTCTTTTCTAAGAATACCCTCTTCTCTAGAGAGTTGCTGGTGAAGCCGAGAGCAGTGGATGTGGTCGCAGTAGGCGCCGGGCCATCCTTCACCTCGGCGTCAAGCTCGCTGAGTGGTTCACCCCTGAAGATGTGTGCAGATGAGCTAGAATGCCATTCTGGAATAGACAAATCAGCTGCTAGTAAAAAGAGAAATGAATCAAGTTTAATCAACAGTGTATTTTGAGATCGGGAGGGACAGTAGTAGTGGGATATTAAGGGAAGGAAGAGGAGCGCGGACCGCGAAGGTAGAGAGAAATGCAACACGGAGTATAGTAATCGCGAAGTGCATGCCATCCTACCCTACAGTGCGTACAGGGATGCGTAATCAATAGCACAAGGAACAGTTAGACATCGCCGTCAGAAACTAGGTTGTGGGTGATGAACAGGTATGCCGCCCATATGGATGGTAGAGTTATGATCAATGTTTGTCATCAAAAAGAACATGGCATTGTAGAGGTCGTAATAGCTCAATTAGAAGATATTATGGACAAAAATAAAAAAAATAAAATAAAAAAAAAAAGCCATCGCATCTGTTCATAAACCCGGAAGCATTCCAGTGCTGTCGGATGGCAAATCCCACTCGGATAGTATGATCCTTTCCCCTAATTTTCTGGGGGAATGGCGAATCCCAAAACGTGGTATTAAGATAAAAAAAAAAAGGCCAGCAGGATCGTCTGCTGCAGAACTCTATCAAGGTGCTGTATCAACACACCGTGTGCTGCCCGAGGGAAACAAGTAAACCGTCTAAAACTTTGGACATATCCAATAGAGAAGAGCGCAAATTCGGAGAAAGAAGAAAGTGGAGAGAAGGAAAATCATCACGTGGCAACAAGGATCTAGGCCTTGATTTCGTACTTTCGTCGGAACATGTCATCAACTTCGGTCAGGTAGTAGGTGCCGGGGAAGAGCGAGTCAGTGTTGCCGGAAGGCTTGAAATTCTTCTTCAAGTGGGCGTGTTCACGCAGAAGACAGACCTAAGAGAATCATGGTTAGTCAAGTTCGATAGCTGGAACGGGCGAGGGAAAGAAAAGTCTCACATCATCATAAGCCTGGGGGGGCAGGACAGCTCTGGCGTTCAGACGGTTGTGCAGATCCAGCTTCTCAACCATCTGAGAGACATCACCAACGATCTTCGCGCTGAACAAGGAGCTGGCAAGACCACTGCCGTACGAGAAGAGGCCAATGCGCTTGGGCTGGCTGGGGTCGAAGGTAACATTGCTGAGCAAGCTGGCCAGACCAGCATAGACGGTGGCAGTGTACATGTTACCGCACAGGGTGGCAACATCGAGACCAGGGCGCACACGCTCGGCGAAGCGCTTCTTGGTGAGACCCATAAAGGTCTTCTCAACGGTCTTGTCAGAGAAGGACTTCTCGTAGTCTACATCACGCACTTCAGGGGCCACTTCGGCGAAGGCAGGGTGGTCGGGGTTGGTGAGGTAATCATTGTAGAGCATGCGGCCGTACGACTTCTGCACCAGCTTGCAGGTAGGGGCGTGAAACAGGATGTAGTCAAAACGGTCCAGAGCAGTCTTAGTCTCATCGATTTCGACTCCGTTGGTGCCATTCTGAGCCTTCTCCTTGAGCACCTTCTCACGAGCGGCATAAGCCTTGTAGCAAGCATCGACGGCCTCGGTGTAGCACTTGAGGGAGAAGTGACCATCAACGACGGGGTACTCGCTAGTGAGATCAGGCTTGTAGAAGTCATAAGCGTGGGTGAGGTAGCTGCCACGGAGACCAGGCTCGAACACGATGGGGGCATCAGGACCAATCAGCATGGCAACAGCACCAGCACCACCGGTAGGACGGGCAGCGCCCTTGGCATAAAGCGCAATGTCTCCACAGACGACGATGGCATCTCTGCCATCCCAAGCGGACGACTCGACCCAGTTGATGCTGTTGAAGACAGCGTTGGTACCACCGTAGCAAGCATTGACAGTATCGATACCCTCGATGTTGGTGTTCCCATGAGGAGCGAACAGCTGCATCAGCACCGACTTGACGGACTTGGACTTGTCAAGAAGAGTCTCTGTGCCGACCTCCAGACGACCAATGGACTTGGGGTCAATGTTGTACTTGTTGAGGAGGGAGGAGAGGGTGGTCAAGGCGACGGAGTAGATGTCTAAAAAGCAAGAAGGATGATTAGCTCATGTGTTTCTTTGAGAGAGAGGAGGATCATACCTTCGCGATCATCACAGAAGCTCATCTTAGTCTGTCCCAGACCAATTGTGTACTTCCCCTCGCTCACGCCATCGAACTTCTCCAGCTCCGCCTGGTCAACACACTATCCGCATTGTCAGTATCTTGAGCAGGCATGAGGTTGATAGACAACCAAAGAACAAGAATTGGAAATGGTGACATACCTGGCTGGGGAAGTAGACCTCAATGGCCTTGATACCGATATTCTGGGGACGAGCAGACATGGTGGCGGTGTGTTTGTTTAAAGGGGACGATGTATTAAGATATGGAAGGTTTAGCACAGAAAGGGTAGTTTCTCACGCGCAATATGAAAATAGACAATTGAATAGAGAGAGAAAGTGAGTAGCTGGTGAAGAAACAACACAGAGAAGTGAAGCCTGGGGAATGAGAGAAGAAAAAGAGAAAGGGAGATGGAGAAGAAGAGAGGTACAGCGTACCCTTTTAAGTAGAAATACTGCTCGTAGATAATAATAATCGAAGCAAACGGCCGGATCGCCAGACCCCTCGAGAGGCACTTTTCTTTTTCTTTTCTTTTTTTTTTTTTTCTTTTTTTTTTAATTTTCCGCCGAGGCAAAACTGTAACTAATCCTTCTTAGGATTAGCGTCAGAGGAAGAAACAGCGCCAACTGGGTCCCCTTCCGCCACTATCCCCAAAACAGACTAACGGTGTGGGTCTTTTGCTGCTGCTTCACTGGAGGGGTACCTGTCGGTGCCTGAGGTTTCCAGGCTTAACAGTGGGCAGACTCTCAGTAACCACTGCGGGAGTGGTTAAGGCATCAACAGGGACAAACAACAGACAGAGGGGAGGAAGTATACCTACAGAGTACATACGCTGTATTCTCAAGATGCCCCTGATGGGAAATCGACAGGAAGGAGGAGGGAAAATAATATCCGCAGGATTCCAATTAGATGCAGAGGAAAAGGGGCTAAAGATGATTACAGCCTTCCGCTTGTCCGTTAAAAATCACTCTGCCTGATCAACCAACAAGTTCTTGTTCTCTTCATGATTCCATCCAAAAACCTCACATTCTGAAGTGTAGACAACCGGGCAGAGCTGGACACGTATACACACCCAAACTCCTCCAGTCACCCTTCGAATTCTTTTCAAATCAATCGCTTGTCGGTGTTCAATTCTTCGGTCTCTCATCACTGCATTTTTTATTATTTCATTGAGTTTGGTCATGCAGTGGTGAGCAAGGACTGCTCTAATTGAGGAGTAGTGTACTCATGTTTTCGCCGAACAATAGAGCACAGCTCCTCTTCTCGAGTCCCGGCTCCCGACAACCACCATGGCTATGCCCCCTGGATTCTGGTTCCAAGTGGGACGATTCTTTGTTTCAATTCAACTAGATAGCAGTAAATAATAACAATAATTCAGCTCGGATTACGCAAGTCGTGGCTGCCAACATGGATTATTTGGGTGTCTTCGTCACCATCAAGTACTTTGTAGATACACATCGATAAGATACCTAGCTCTTGACATCACGCATCTAGTACCGTAGTAGTCAGCCAATACCTAATGCATATCGCTCCATTTCTCCAACCGTATTCTGTCTATTTCCCTGCGCTACGATCCATGACTGCCGGGCTGCATACCTAGACTGCGTGTCCTGCCAAGCATGTTGATGTCCGAATATTTTCCTATCATCTTTCACTTTCAACAGCACACCTTTGGCTTCGAACATGCGACAACGGATTCTGATTGGGAGCATTACTCCTAGTAGGACTCCATCGTCTTCCAACTGTTATCACATGGCGGCAGTCTCGGAAGTCTGGAATGACAGGAAAGACAGGAAAGATGGGAAACGAATTATCAATCTTATCTTGTGGATCGATCCAGTCTATGCCTTTCCTTTAGCCTTCACAAAGCCACTCCATTTCCTCTGAGACTTTCCCTCGTTAACTCCAAGATGAGAACAAAGTGGGGATTCGTATTATTTGCTCGGAGGGATGCTGTAGGTTGTGAGTGGCACTCACTATGTCCAACAGTGATACACTGACGGGCGTCCTCTTCACTACCAAGGACATCCTCTAGGCCCCAGAGACACCTGCGACACATCTAAACCGCAGGGACGCATCATGTGACGATATTCCGTCGCATACTAGGTCCTCTCTAGGACATAGCATCGTCTCATTATTTCTTCGACTCACAATTGCAATTGAGGCCGGTGCCAAAGGGATACAACCCTATTCTAGGCTGAGCGTGGTTACTTCCACCCGGCTAGCCAGGCGCCTGTCAGTCTGATCGAGCTAGGGGATCTGTACGCGGACTCCGCGGAAGGCTATTGTTGTCTGTCCTGACTCCTGAGGGGTACTAGAAGAGGAGGGAATGTGCAGATTGTGTGCAAGAAGTTTGGGTTTGAGATGGTAGATGATGTTGGTCAGCTGAGAGAGGCGGTTATGAGGAGGACGTTCTATAGCGATCCATGTCCAGACTGTAGACAGGTCGAAGTATGCAGTCACTCTCGAGTGTTCCTGAAAATGTCTTGCTACGAATCTCGTATTATTTGAATTCACCTTCGCTAAGAAGTAAATAAATGATATATCGCCATTTCAGGGCGATGATATATAGTGGATAGCTGTACCAACCTCGTAGGAGCCTAATAAGAGCTCATAACTGAACCTCAACGAGAAGCGAAGCATAGACATGATGCACGGTTATAGGATCTTCTCAGTTGTGAGCTTTCAGCAACCAAACTCTTCGGAGACACTCCAATGTGTGAGTCCTCCGAATCCTCTGGATGCAGAAAACGTGTAGAAAATTGGTGGACATCAGGCGGGATGAGTGGCTTGCTGGCTCCATTCAGATGCTCAACACGAGCTCTGACAACAATCCCTTTCTCCAGATACGTCGTACGCGAGTTTCTCAAGAAGTTACAGTTGCTGATGTTAGCTGACGACCAGTGACTCCTGATTCCCATTATGAGATAGATAGAGCCTAGAAAGTGCCTGTGCTAAGAAAAGAGATCATACGCTGTTACCCCGGATTCTGTAGATGGAGCTTGCTCAGATAAACACTGGCAGGTAGGTGGGACTGTTTACCAATTCAGCCCTGGAATGAGTGCCTGTGAATGCTGAAGAATTGGAAATGACTCGGAAGAAGATAATAATGAAATAATGAGGTGATGATGAGTGTCAATTTGAATTGTTCTGCCTGCTTACCAAGGCATGCCGAGCGTGGGTCGCTGTCGCCTGCGCCACACTTCAGGACAGACAGTCTGGGGAAACTAAAAGGCCGATAGTCACTCCTTTTCCTCCCATCTATCTATCGATCGATCGATCTTCAACTCTGGATCTCTATCTTCATTTTTCATCCTTTTCTGTTGTTGTTCTTTCCCTGACCTATCATTATCTAACTTGTTTCCTCTTCAAATCCCTCCCGACGTAGGGGAGAATGTTGGTTACTGTCGCTCCTTTCCCATCCAGATCATGATCCCGCTGCGTCCGGCATCCGCGACGCTGTCCTTCTCCCACGGTTCTCTAGAGCCCCAGACATTCTTCAGCCATGACCAACGATAAGAAGTTCGATTACGAAGCACTCCCCATACCCACCTACGACGAAGCCGTTTCCTCCCGCCCAGGTTCCTCCCGCTCTCACCTCGGTCCAGATGAAGCCAGCGATGACGCGGAGCGACAGGGCCTGCTGCACGATGCCGATGGTAACAGCCACAGCGCAACCGGCAATGGAAGTCAGCGATCTCGACCTCATGGATACCGTCCGCCCACAGTCGAGTCCGTCCGTAATAGCCTAGATGACCTTGCCTCGTCGGACGGGGATTCCGCTCGAGGTTCGCTTGAGGACCTACAGCGGGAACTTGCTCAGATGGACGTCGAGGACGCAGGGCAACAATCGACATCGCAACGCTCCCGGTTGGGACAACAGTTCTCAAAGCGCTTCAATACCCTGAGTCGGACGCTCTCTTCGATTAAACTTCCCTTTCGCCGCTGGCTGCCGAATTTCCGATTCACGATCAATCTTGGCGAAGTTCGCCCGCACTTCAAGGACCAAGGATGCATCGTCCTGCTACGGGTGTTTGGTGTACTCTTGGTGGTCACCATTGTATATGTATTCTTCTTTTCGAATATCTTTGGCTTGAATTCGCGATTCACGATGGGCCAATCGTACAGTGCTGCCTCGGTGCAGAATTTCCTCCAGGGCCATATCAATGAAACGAATATTGCGGAGAATTTGCGAAAGGTGACAAAGTTCCCTCATATGGCCGGAACGGAGGGCAGCTATGTGCTAGCGGAATGGATCGAGCAGGAGTTCAAGAACGCCGCCCTTGACGAGGTGGAGATGGAGGAATTCCAGGTATATCTAAATTATCCCACCCAAGACGGAAGGAGAGTGGCAATTGTCGATCCGCCCGAGCTTGCTTGGGAAGCTGCCCTCGAAGAGAGGAACGAACAGACACCGGTGTTCCACGGTCACTCCAAATCGGGTAATGTGACAGGCCATCTGGTCTACGCGAATTTCGGCTCCCGGGAGGATTTTCAAGTTTTGGCCGACAAAGGGATCGATTTACATGGCGCCATAGTCCTGGTACGATACTACGGCACCGAGTCCGATCGAGCGCTCAAAATCAAGTTGGCGGAGATGGCCGGTGCAGCTGGGTGTATCATCTACTCCGACCCGGGTGAAGATGGCTTTCGCAAAGGTCCGGCATTTCCGGACGGACGATTCATGCCAGACGATGGTGTCCAAAGAGGTGCGGTAAGCTTAATGTCATGGGTCGTCGGTGATGTTCTATCCCCGGGATTCGCATCGACTCCCGAAGAAAAGAAACGGCTTTCGGTTGAAGAAAGCCCGGGATTGCTGGGCATCCCTAGTATTCCCATCGCCTGGCGCGATGCTCAGAGACTCTTGCAGGTTCTCGAGGGTCATGGTGCACCAGTCCCCGAAAAATGGCATGGTGGCGTTCCAAGGGTGAAGGAATGGTGGACGGGTGACGGGTCTTCTCCCAAGGTCAATTTGATGAATCTTCAGGATGAGGTGGAACGACAGCCTATCTACAACGTATTCGGCCGCATCATTGGGTTGGAACAACCCGAAAAGAAGATCATCGTCGGCAATCACCGCGATTCGTGGTGCCTAGGAAGTGCAGACCCCGGCAGTGGCACCGCTGTTTTCCTGGAAGTTGTGCGCGTCTTCGGTGAGCTGCGGACCTTTGGCTGGCGTCCTCTGCGTACGATTGAGTTCGTCAGCTGGGATGCGGAAGAATACAACATGATCGGGTCTACAGAGCATGTGGAAAAAAACATCGAACCCCTCCGGGATCATGCGTATGCTTATCTGAACGTCGACGTAGGGGTCAGCGGCAACGAATTCACCGCTTCGGGATCGCCACTTTTTCAACGGATTGTGATGCAGATTCTCAGTCGTATCGCGGATCCCATCACTAATGAAACGCTCAAGGATATTTGGGAGAAAGCTCAGAAAACATTCGACTCTCTTGGTTCCGGAAGCGATTATGTCGCCTTCCAGGACATAGCGGGGACCTCGAGCGTGGACTTTGGATTTACCGGCCAGGCCTTCCCCTACCACAGCTGCTACGAGAACTACGACTGGATGACCAAGTTTGGCGACCCCGGGTTTCAGTATCACAAAGCACTGGGCCAATTCTGGGCTTTGCTCCTCATCGATCTGGCGGACAATCCTATCCTGCAATACGATTTGCAAGCGTATGCGGACCACATGCAGACCTATGTCGCCGACCTCGTGGCTTATGCAAAGACCCAGAATGTCCCGGTGGCCCCTCCGCCATCGGAGGGTCATGCCATCCGCGAAACGTCTGTCAGCTTCCAGCCCCTGTTTGATGCGGCGGCCAAGCTCAAGAGCGACGCGGACGAATTTGAGAAATGGGCTCAACTATGGCGCACCACAGTCTGGGACGCTGGCGGTTTTGAAAACAACGTGATGGCTATCCAGCGATTGCGCCACAATGCTCGTCTGGGTGGCTTCGATGCACAGCTTCTGGACCGCGAGCAAGGCGGCGGAGTAAGTTGCCCTTCTCTTTCCCCTATTTCCCCTGTCTATATTCCCTTGACTAAAATATTTCTCAATCAGATCCCCAATCGCACGCAGTTCAAGCACGTCGTCTTCGGCCCTCAGCTCTGGTCCGGCTACGACGCCGCCACCTTCCCCGCCATCCGCGACACTATCGACACGGGCAACTGGACCCTGACCCAGGAATGGATCGATCGTGTCTCCCAGATTATCCAAGACGCGAGCAGTAGCCTGTTGCGTCATTAGCATTCCCTCCTTTCTCCCTACTTCCCTTTCTTCCTTCCTTCCTTCCTTCAGGTTTCCTTATTCCTCTCTTATGGAGAACCTAGACATCCATCTCTCTCTTCCAACCTTTCTACCTCTGCACCATCGACCATTTCACTTTGTACCTATACCTACTTTTCGATATCTATCTGCCTCCGTACATACTCAGCATGCCCATCTACAGGCGTTTACCCTTCCTACACCCGCCTCATCAGCAGGTATCGCAAATATATTTCTCAAGTCTAGCAACACCAGATGTCTCCATCTTCCATCTTCCAGATCCTGGCTCTTCACTTCTTCTTCTACATAACCCCCTCGGCCCCAGAAACCAAGATCCAGACAATCCTGATTCATCTGCACGGTTGTCATTCGTCCCCAAGTGACATACTCTCTTGTACTGTACATACGCACATCCATACATACTTGTTTTGGCATTGGCATTCTATAGCTTGTTTCTTATTTCTTTTACTGTTACTGTTAACTGCTACTGTTCCTTTTCTTTCTTTCTTTCTTTTCTTTTTCTTTGAGCCATATTTCTGGCCCATGGCGCAATCCAGATTCCAGCTCTCCGTCAGCCTCGACATCAAGGCTTTTCTTTTCCTTCCTTTTTCTTCTCTATGATACGTTTAGTTTTCTTTCTACGGGGCGAAGATAGTGGGACTCAATACTCAAATCCATAAGATTTCAGCTCTCCTGATTCCGGATCATGACTGATTCTGACCCTTCCCTTCCATTCCCCATTGACAATGTCCAAAAGAATTATGCTACAATCCAGCCAACGCGATCCAAATGCGAGAAGAAAGAAAAAGGACGAACGAGAAAAGGTCAAATGCTATTATGGTCAAAACCCCCCGTCTAAGGAAAGAGAGCGGAAGGTGACGAACAGAGACAAAAACAGAGAAAACAAGAAAAGAGACATGCTTCCACCCAAGCGCCCTGTAATATGTATGAATCCAATGTTATATATACAAAACCGGCCCCCAATAAAAAAAAACGTAGTAGTGCAACATCATTAGAATATGCTTTGTCCTCCGAGGCTCGTCGGTTCATGAAAAGCCTTCGGCTTTAGACGAGGAGGACACGAAAAAAGACAAGGAAAAAGAGAAAGAAGCTGCGATGCGTACCCAACATGTCCTTAGGATAAGGGGGAATTATCGTAGAGATAGGGGGAAAAGAAAAGAAAAAAGAAAAGCGCAACGAATAGTCATGCAGGACAGATGGAAGTGTTGCCTCACTTTCGGAAGCTTTCAACGCCCAGCGTTGGAGTTTCAACCATCCGGTCAGAGGGGACACCCTCATCGCGTCTTCTGGCAAAGAAACTATCACACTCGGTGACGATCTGTGCCCATTCGGCAAGCGCGCGCCCTATGTACTTGCTGGCCACGACCTCGTCGCTCGCCAAGGACTTGATATTCCGTCGGTCAAGTGTGTGAGACATTTTCATGCATGCTTCCGTTGACAGATCCCCGTGATATCCATTAGTTTTGGTGATATCTTCGGGACCGAGTGCAGATGCATAATCCGATATGGTACCGTCCTCATCCGAGTTGTCCAGATATCCCCGAAGTTGTAAGTGCAGCTGAGCCCCCACAGGCAGGCAGGGGATGTAAAGTCGCTTGTTCTTGCTCGGCCATTGCGGTCGGTCCATCCATTCCAGTGAAAACCGGAAAGAGTATGGCTGGTGTGGGGTCTTTGGCCGAGCTGGCTCCCCGGTACCATTCTGAAGTTGCCCCCGGCCATCAGAAACTGTAGTGTCGGAGCTTTTCGAATCCGAGTCCTCGGAGCCACTGCTCGTAGGTGATGCATCGTCGCTCGATTTGGAGCTGGAAGAGCTTCCAAACATCACCTTCAAAAGATTCCATCTTCTCTTCGGAGTTGGCTGAGTCTCGGAGGAGACCTCTTCCTTCTTTGAGCCCGCCGTTTGCTGAAGAGGTGCAGGAGGTACGACGCGGTCGAAAGAGACAAAGAGATTCGTCGGCGTGATGTGATTATCACACCGTATAATGATGATTCTGCGCCCCGGCGCCGGCGTACAGGGTGCGGAAGATAAAGGTGCCCTGAGCTCCTTTTCAGCGCTTGATTGGAACTCGCGGTAGTATAGCCATAACCGTTGCAAACGACTCCATAATGTCTCGTAGATTATGCTATACAGTTCAAGCGATTAGCATTTCCACGGATAAGTAGCATGAGACCCGACCGAAGGGGGTTTTTGTACTTACGAATCAAGTGGTGTTGGTTCTCCATTGAACCTACTTAGTCTCCAACACAGAAGACGCTGGAAGAACGCGCGTACCATCGGACTCCAATGGCTGAAGTAATGATAAAACAAAGACTCGTCAAGCAGGAATTCCAGACAAAGATCGACTTTTCTCTCCTCGGAAGCAGTCCAGGTGCCCCAGACGCAGAAAAGAAACGAAAACACCCTGACTTCGGTCAGAGAATTATGGCTCTGCATCATCTGACGACAGACCAATAGCCAGAATTTCCAGTCAAACAACTCCAGATCCACGGTCTGAGAGTACCGCGTGAGGATTGGAATGATCTCCTCGACGAAATCGCACAACAAGAAGCAAGCATTATGATCGAAGAGCGATGTCCTCTGCGCGGCGGTTTTCATGATCATGCAGAAGGACTCCGCGTAGAGTAGCCGTGCGCGATGAGGTTCCAATGAGGACTCCGAGAGAAAATCCCGCAGAAGGATGACCAGCCGATTCTCCGCCATTGAACGGTGGCTGTTCGCGGAACCTAGAGGAAGAGCGGAAACCGATGCGTCGGCGCCCTCGATCAAGTCGTCGAACGTGATTGCGGCGGCGGTATGAGTATTCTCAGGCATCTGTGGAGTCGACTGTTTGTAGAGAGTATCCTCCAAAACTACAAGGATCTGCGCATGCACCAGCAACAGGCCTGGTGCCAGGATACGGTTGGGTTTCTCTACATCCGTCGGCAGTGCATCAGCATAGAGAATATGGATATACTTGGCGAAAACAAAGAAAAGGTCCGTGTCCCGACCACACCATCTCGAGGCCCAAGGGCTCTGCCACTGGATCTGAGAGATACTTAGAGGAACATCAGGTTTCTGTCGGAGATATCGAACCAAGGGCGTATGGGAATGGAATGAGAGCGTGCGGAGAGCCTTTGGAAAGTTCAGGGCGAGATCCTGCGTGAAAGCGCGGAGGTTCTTGCTTCGGTCTACGCCTGATTCGGCCAGAATTCGTCGGAAGATAGTGGCGGGGGTATTCCATAAGCGTACGAGGATATCTGCCACACCTGGGCAGAAAAAGAATGCGTATGCACAAGCCTTTCCACAGAAGGCCACCAAGCTGGCCGGAGCATGCCTCATGGACATTCTTTCTACCACAAAAGCCATCTGAGACAGCAGATTCTGTACAAAGATATTTCTGATGTTGTGGTGGATGGACTCAATGAGAAAGTCGGAGCCGGAAGAGTCCGAGCTTTCGGAAATCGAGGTCGGGGCATGCTGCAATGAACTCGGTGAGTCGTCCCTAAATGGGGGCATGGGAAAGGGAATCCTCCATTCCGGTCGTTTCATGATTCCGACCACTGCCTCCAGAAACACTGGCCGGTCAGTACCCGATATGGATTGGTTGTTCTTGCCATTCAGCATCTCCAGTAGTCCAGTCCACCACTTATTCAGGATATTGACGCGACGATCGAGGTCTTCCGCCCTCAACGATTTGTATGACGAAGGCGGATAGTTGCGATTCAAGAATGGTAGTAATGAAGAACGAATGACGTTCACTTTCAAAGCACTCGACTTGGATTGGAACCTGAAACGGTCAGTCAGTTGGTTCGGTTCGGACTGGTCCTTTGCGGGATCCTTCCGCGGCATCAGGCACACCAAGCCTACTCACTTCTGGCAATCGGCTTCCAGCCCACGAAACACGCCCCATAATTCATCCTTCTTTCGGGGAAGATCTATGTTTCCGGCGAAATTCCCCGCCGCCATGGCTGCTCCTTTGGGCATGGGTGGCAGAATGGGAGTCGACACACGAAGAGAGGCCGCAAGCCGTTCCAGTGAATGCTTGGTCCGTAGCGAATGTGGCGATCCACTGCTAGGCGTACTTGGGCTGTCATCCTGGCTCTGGGTAACGACAGCCACCATGGGACGCCGGGGGCGTTTGTTGAGGAGTGTGCGCCTGCGGGAAGGAAGAGTCGAATCCGTCTCGGTGGCGGAGTCCAATTTTGAGCCGGGCTTGGTCGGCGTGTTTTGCGACTTTGATACGGGCTGATCGTCGGCACGACCGGTCCGATATCTGGATGTTTTGAGGGGTGGGGACGGCGACCGAGATCGAGTGTTCGAGGACCCCCACGGTTTCCGAGCTAGATTGACTAGTCTGCCGGACATGGAACGGGCCTTGGACGGGCGCGCAACAGGCTCCGGGGCCTTTGTCTCGGGATATTTCGTAGGAGCGGGTCTGGACGACGCTCCCGCGGGCGCTGGAGCAGGAACAGCGGCATCGTTCAAATCCTCGGCGGACAACGTAAAGCGAGAGATGGCGACGGTTTGTTTCTCCTTGGCCCGACGTAGGGAGGTCCGCCGCAGAATGTCCTTCCCCGCAGCCACATCCTCCTTTGACGGCGAACCCGAATCACTCTGGACAGCCAGATCCGAGAATGTTCTCCGCAACGCGGGCGAACCGGGCTCGGACACGGGAATATCGGTGAGATTGTTGTAACTGGCGGCACGCGAAAGAAAGGTGTGTTCGTCATCGATGGGGTTTCTCGGGATCTGAACAGAGGGAGAAGCCATGATCAATGGTAGTCAATGGCTGACTAGAGGTCCGCGAGAAGGAATCGTCCTCAAGGTGTGTACATCGCACCCAACCGGGGAGTTGAATAGCAACTTATCTTGGCGTTGGATGAGACCAGCTCTTCCAAGTACAAGAAAGAGGAATCAGGAAGAGGAAAGGAGACGATAGTGCGAGGAGGTTAGAGTCTATCGCATCGGGTCGGGTTCCTTTTTCTTCTTTTTCTCTCTCTCTTTCTCTCTCTCTCTCTCTCTCTCTCTCTCTCTTTTTTTTTTTTTTACCTCTTTCTGGCTGGATATGTTTCAAGGGTCGGTGGGGGAGCTAGGAAGGAGACACAGCCCAGGCTAAGCAGGAAGGCAGTAGGCAGGCAGGTAGACAACCAAAGGACTAGCGAGTGAACACGTCAAGACCAGGACAGCGCGAATTGACCAGAATTGCTGTTTCTTCTTTCTCTTTTTTTTTTCCTCTTTATTTAGCTGCAGTGCTCAAATATCTGTCATGCGTCCAAAGCGAGTGAGACGAGAACGGAAATGGAGCGAGAGTTTGGGGCGCTGCGGGCTTTTTCCAACGAAGGAGGCTGCGCGGTTATCGAACGATCAATAAAAGGAAGAATCGGGATGGGGAGAGGATAAATGGATAGATTGGTAGATAGAGGAAGTTGGAAGCGAAAGACTCAAGAGAACAAGCAAACGAAACGAAGGACGAGGGGGGATGAAGGTCCCCCTTTTCTTATTGTTTTTTTTTTTTTCTATTTGTGACTTCTCGTTTTCTTGTCGAGGAATTTGGAAGAGGAAGAGGAAGAGGAAGAGGAAGAAGGGAGAAGGGGAGGAACGAGGAAGAGGGAGGAGAGGATGGAGGATGATAGAAGAGGAGTATCTTGTTTCTATTCTAGTGTTCTTGGTTGTATGGAATAGATGGATTCAATAGGCCTCTTTCGTAGGTGGTTTCCGCGTACCAGAGGGTTGGGATGTTTAATTAGTTAGTTAGTTAGTTGGCGACTGACTAGCTTGCGATTTTAAGAGATAAACTGGTTCGATGGATGGAGATGATGACGGAGACAGAGAGACAAAGAAACAGAAAAAAAAAAAAGAGGAAGAGACAATGTCCTTCTTGTAGATGTTGGAACTCTTGGAGCCTCACAATAGATCCCAATCATAAGTAGTTAATATAATAGTCTGACAACTATAGATAAGGAAGTAACTCTTATTTATTTATTCTTCTTTTTTCTTCTTCCTTTCTTTTCATCTTGTTCATCCCAAGCGATTTGATTCAACTCGATTCCATGCCATTAATATTATTTTCATCATTTCCAGTATCTCCGGTGATAGCGTCATAACCTTACGGAGTATTTGTTCCGTCCGCTGGGTACAGAGGAACTAATTATTAATTACCTTACCATCAGTCCATCACACACCTAAGACACAAGGTAATTTATGCAGGCATAAAAAAAAACAAAAACAAAAAAAAATGACAACACCCATGTTTTTGTCACAGTAATAACATGCAGCAGACATACATACATACATACATACATACATACATTATACATACATACATACACACATACATTCACAGTTCATTTGTGCATATTGGTGCCTTAAAAAATACTCGCACTGGCTGAGCGGGCTGAGCGCCTGAGCCACCTTTGTTGTCGCTAGGTCTCGTATTCCGATGACTTGTACATCTAAAAAAAGAGGTAAGATCGATTGCGGCGGCAAGGCTGAGATGGATCAATAATCAATAGTCCCATTGTTCCGTAGTCTATCTGAAGCCACTGGCCTGAGATCAAGAGCATCCGTTCCGGGCACGAATAACCTCGCAGCGGAATTGGTTCAAATTCGATTTGACTCAATAATCATCATCATTAACCAAGCCTCTGTGGGCTGTACCCCTGTAAAGGACTGAGGCAGACTTCATGCCAATGCCAACATACCTGTAACTTCAACCCCTACATAGTACAGAATGTCTGGTAATCTATCTACAGAGTCACAGAGTAAGTGCACTGGAAAGAGTACAACAAGAGCCGTTGATGATTACACAGCATTGTACACCTCAAGCTTCTCACTCCCTACAACCGAATCAGGCACCACCAACTGGATCTATCATCCTATCCTCCTGAGTGACTGCTGGCTGAGGTGCTGACGGGAATATTCCCTAAATCTCAGTACATATAATATAAGGAGAAAATCATCAACGTCGTGATGGCCCGAAAAAAAAAAATCCCACGATCATTACACCTGGCTGACAGCAGCAACCTCTCTCATCTACGGATATCGATTCCGTCTCTCATCGACACAACACGATATATACCCGCCCTGCTTGACATCCCAGCGCATACCTGCCATGCCGTGCTACCTGCGTACCTCAAACCGGCAGATCTTGCTGGATCTGACATGAAGAATGCCCGTTGAAACTTGAATGCTCCCAGGACATTCCAATCGTGCCCCCGTCCTTGGAAATCCGGCCGCTGTGCTGGAACCTTTCGGCCGTGACGAATCTCTGTCTGAGCTGACGTTGCGACACACATGTTCCTCCTGCTCAACTGAATATACAGTATTTCCCTCAACAGTACTCGAGTACCGTAGTGGGTGACTTGGTAGTTGGGACCTCCCATACCGCAGGGACTCGCCCCATGCGTCTCCTTGATAGCCTTCCCGGGGGGGGGGGGGATGACGGGGGAATGGATTTGTCTACAGTCCAGGCACCCAACAGAACCGAGAGAGCCTTCCCTCCCCCCCCAAGTCCTAGGGAAGCCAGGGGATGGGATGAACCAAATTCAGAGAGTCAAGAAAGTTCTGGCGGTCTGACACAAATCAAAAATTTTCTTTGATACTATTAAGAGCTGTCATATTCATCTCAGTACCCCCTGCATTCAAATGCAAGTCTCCAATGAAGAAATTTCCAACTCAAACTTTGTACATAACGACTAATGCCAATGATGCATTCCTCCTGACGATGGCGGACACGTTATTGATATAAGTAAGTATATGCGGTGGATATTGTTGCATGTCTTGTTGGCACGGACTCGGATACGTATCTGTCCGGCCTTGGTGCTCACTGCTCTAGCATTCCCATGAATCAGCTCTTTCTTTTGTGTACCAGGATAGTCAGTTCGTTCAAATAGGTATGTTTTAAGATGCCAAATCTCCATTGATCGCGAGTAAAGAGGAAACACGCAATTCTCGGGTACAGGGAGGTCTGCTTCTCCCCACGTAATCTACATCATAGAACTAGTCGGACAGCTTATGCCATCTAACTCTCCATACTAAATCCCATTGGAACCAAGCGAAAGAGAGAGAGAGAGAGAGGAAAAAAAGGAAGAACAAGTTCGTATGCTCCAAGTAGGCTTAATTTACAAGATCTCCTCAGAACTCAACAGGTAGCTTCCTCTCGAAAGATCTATCCCATTGCCCATCAGTCCTGAACGCTTTCCCAGACTTTGCCAGCAAGCAATAAACCTAGTGGTGAGCGGTCTCCTCCTCGGGCTCCTCCTCGAACCAGCTCTCCTCAACAGGAGCAGCCTCGCCGGCGGCGGCCTGGCCCTCGACCTCAACCTCCTGGCTCTCGTAGGCCTTCAGCTCATTGGCAAGGTTGGCCTCCTCGGGGGATTGGGGCGCGGCGGGAGCGGCGAACTTCTGGACGTGGGCCTCAGCGTCACCGGCCTTGATGGGGGTGGGCTTGTAGGCCTGCAGTTGGCGCAGGTAGAGGTCCTGGACGGGGTCGGCTGGAAGGAAACATCCGATGTTAGACACAGGTTCTCAGGGCTCGGTCAAATGCATTGAAGCCACTTTTCTCATTCGATTTCCAAAGGGAGATCGGGGGTTCACATACCCTGACGGACAGCGGAGGTCAGGAAGGAGCGGCGGGAGACAGAAGAAACCTGTTGCCGAGAGACGCGGGAGAGCAAGGAGCGCTTGAGTGGTCGCCCGAATCAGCATTCCTATCTTCGAGTAGCACCGCGATAGAAGCAGGACACCGTAGACTCACCGAGGCTCTGAGAGACTGAGACATCATCGCGGCGGGGTGATGAATGAGGGGAACCTGGAGGGGGGTTTTATGATGGGTTTCTTGCGAGGGAAATAATATGGCTTTGGTCCGTGAAGCCGACGTTGGACGTTCGATGGATTCTTCGGGACACTTCGGCTTGGCAGCTGACTCAGCACCCTGCGGCTCTTTCGAGTCACAACGGCGACCTTTCTGACCTCAGTCTTGCCTTTCACTGCGGTTTCTTTCTCCTCGGGTCTTTGTGCCTCTCTCCCTCACATACTCGGCGTGTCTCCTTTTTTTTTCATCCCCCGTTCTCGACTCGATCACTGAAGGCAGCCAGGAAGACCGAAGTCCTTCGGGGGTGAAAAAAAAAAAAAAACATGGCTAACGTCTCAGCATCCGTCCGTGGTGACATGAGCCAGTGGAGGAAGAATCTCTCTGCCCATGTCATCTGTCCGGAGTGCAGGGAGGTTCCGCCGAATCTGGAGTTTCCTGACTCACACGAGACGGTATGTGGTTCGTGTGGACTCGTGCTCGCCGACCGGGAGATCGACATGCACTCGGAGTGGCGGACGTTCTCGAACGATGACCAGAACAACGACGACCCCTCGCGTGTGGGAGACGCCACGAATCCTCTGCTGAACGGCGACCAGCTGGAAACGCAGATTGCGAGTGGTGGTTCCGGCCGTGCGCGTGATCTGTACCGCGCGCAGAACAAGCAGTCGAGCGAGAAGGCGAACAAGGCGCTGCTGGCCGCCTACAAGGAGATCGGTGCTCTGTGCGACGGCTTCAACATCCAGAAGAACGTCGCCGATACGGCCAAATACCTGTTCAAGATCGTTGACGATGCCAAGGCGTTCAAGGGCAAGTCTCAGGATGTTATCATCGCAGGCTGCATCTTTATCGCCTGCCGGCAGTGCAAGGTGCCCCGGACCTTCACCGAGATCTTCGCCGTCACAAAGGTCACGCGCAAGGAAATTGGCCGCATCTACAAGGCGCTGGAGAAGTTCTTCACGGCCCAGAATCTCGAGAGAATCAATGCCGTCGTGTCAAGCGGTGGTGTCCCGGATCCCAACGACACCTACACCGCCACCACGTCGACGAAGCCCAGCGATCTCTGCAATCGTTTCTGCAATCTCCTCGATCTTCCTTACCAGGTCACGAGCGTGTCGTCCGCTCTGTCCGATCGCGTAACAACCATGGGAGATCTCGCCGGCCGCTCTCCCCTGTCCATCGTCGCTGCCTGTATCTACATGGCTTCGTACCTCATGGGCCACGGAAAGTCGGCCAAGGAGATCTCCCAGGTCGCGCACGTCAGCGACGGCACCATCCGCGGCGCCTACAAGCAACTCTACGCAGAGCGCGAGCGCTTGATCGATCCGGAATGGATCAAGGATGGAAAGGGTGACATGAAGAACCTGCCTGCCAGCTGAACTGCTCCTCCGAATCTTCTCCTCTCTTTTCCTCCTTGCCCTCTCGCTGCTACCACGGCCCAAGGCGAAAAAAACAAAAACAAAAAGAAAGCGAGCAACCCCCCCCCAACCTCGCTCAACTTACAGGCTTTTTACATATTGATTGTTCATCTATACAACATTTCATGATACCCCGTCCACTGAACTTGAACATGAATATAGCACCAGAAAAGAAAGCCCGGCCCGCTCAGAGCTCGCTGCCACCATCACCTTCCCAACGGAGATTACAGCCCGACTCTTCGAAACCGGGGTGCTTGAATACATCTACTTACATTATCTGAACATTACACGAGACTCAGTCAGTTCCTTCAGCGGAACTATGTTCTAAAATTGAAACTTTGAGTCTGCCATGCATAGAACTTTTGCTATCCAGCAGCTGGCTTTTGCTCCTTATTTATGCCTAGGGAACTTTGTCCCATTTTTCGCCTCTTTTCTTGCTTTAGTGGAAAACAAAGAAATTTGTACTCCGTAGTAGCTAGATCTAATATAGCTGCGTGTCTTGCCTTTCTTTTTCTCCCTCTTTCGAGGGTCGCTGCAGCATTTCGGCAGCGGCTATCCGGGGAACATGAATAGATTGCGTTTGCAAGTTTCTGTCTTTAATGCTTGTTGCTTGTCAGGACAAACCAGATTGAATCCAACCATTTCTGAAAGTCGTATTTTCATGATAGTGGTTCATGTCAGCTGAGTAACTGTATTACGGAGTATTCCCAAGCTGAATTGTGAAGGTACAACAATCAAACAAACTACCCAGATTGATGTCACTGTCCAACAAACATCGTAGACACTCCAGGCAGGATGTAGTAGTCTACCTACAATAATACTAGAGGGAAAGACTTTGTTTGGTTGCTGTCTCAAACTAACTAAAGAAGGATGATGTTCAAAAGCTGCAGAAAACGAGAAAAAGGACAGCAGTAGTCTACTGGGCGTTCTGATCGGCTTCCAGGATAGATCCTTCCGACAGGCGTTTTCCATCCGCAGTAGCGGCTAAGACCTCAATGACCTTGTCCACTGGTGGTGAGGTACTAGGCTTGATCTCAGACGACATTTCTGAGGACACTTCCTCTTTCGCTTCGGGCTGCTGAGGAGACTCTTGATGGGCTGGTTCTGCGGCGGGAGCCGCGGCAGAGTCACCGTTCCTGCTTGATATCATCTCGACGGCCTCGGTTGTCTTGGGTGCGGGTTCCTGCACCGGGGAAGGATCGGTTGATTCACCAGCAAGGTTCTTCGATAAAGCCGGGGCCACTGTGTCCTTCGAGACAGGCTCGGATGGATTCGCCTGGACTCCGGTTTCGACGGTCAGATTGCCATCCTCGCCGACCTGCCACACATTCCAAGTCTCCGTAATCTTGATTTCGGGAATCGTCGGGAGCCTTGAGCTGACGTTTTCGGCCGCTGGCTTTCTCCGGGCAGGCCCACGAGCTCTACCCTTTCGAGCGTCACTCAATGGTGCCTTCTCGGCTGGAGCTGCCTCCTCTTTCTTCTCCTGAGGCTTCGGTGCCTGAGGACCCAGCTGCAAGCGTGAGTTCAAGTCAGACAGAAAGCCCGCTTTCAACGCAGCGATCTTGCCACCATTAGGACGAACAGGCACGGCTGGTTTTTCCTTGGCTGGCGCTTCTCGGGAATTATCCACTACTCCACGGGGAATAGCCTTGGCAGGTCGAACAGGAATCTGGGGCTTGGGTCGATCCGGTATATTGGGCGGTTGTCGTTTCTCAGTTGGGGAAGTGGCTGGTTTCAAGGAAGCATCCACCGCGGAAGACTGTTGCGGACGCTTCGCAGGACGAGATGGGATAGCCGGTTTAGATGGAACATCTGGGCTCTTCACCTCGTTCTCCGTTGATGGTTCTATTGTTGTGACAAGTTTCTGGCTTTCGGGCACGTCTTCCCAAATATCTCGGCTGGGAAACCGTTGCTTAGAAACTTCAGGACGTCGCGCTGTCTTTTCTCCCCGCTCCTCGGACTCGAGAATGTTCGTTGCGACCCCACGGGCATCAATGTGGGGGGTATGACTCCGGCGGAACGATTCCTGCTCCGGCGTCTCAAAAGCCTCGTTCTTTGTGGTGTCCGGTGTAGAAACGGTGGCATGCAACTGCAAGCTGTTGGGAGAATCTTCCCAAATGTCCTCGCTTGGGAATCGGTGCTTGCTCAATTCGGGACGCCGCTTGAAACGGTCTGTGGTCGACACTGGCTTTTTATCCTTGCCATCCTCGGGAAATAACGGCTCATACTCTTCGACATCATCGAGAGGGGTGTGGGTGTCCTCACGCTCATCACGCGAGTTGTACCTCACAAGTGCAGGCATTGCACTGTGATGACCGGTAGAGCGACTGTTCGAGCGACTATGGTTAATGCTAGGAGTGCGACTCCGTCCATCATGGTCACTTGTTCGCCGGTCAAAAGAGGGGGAAACAGCAGGATGCTGAAAGGCAGATTCAGGGCGGATCTCGTCAGCGGCCAGAATAGGTTCGTCTTCGTCCTCGTCGCCGACTCTCATTTCACGGGATTGTCTCTCTAGGGCCGGGGTCGGGGCGAAGCCGTCGGGGTGGTGCAGCTGATGGTATGGATCATTAACGTGGATTACACCGGCGCCCTCGGATTTGTGCGCATCCAGCTCTTTATCAGCCTCCGGAGCGGTAGTGTTCGCGGAGCGCAAAGGCGACTCAGCAACGAGCCGCGAACTACGACGCGATTCCGGAGCTGGCGTGACCATACGCTGGGTGTATTCATCGGAAGCGATGTACCCAACCTCCTCATCCGGGGTACCTGTGACCGCAGGAGAGGTACCTGATGCCTCAATTAGTTACTCCGCAGGTAAACGGGAACCATAGTAAATACTCACCGAGACCACAGCCTGTCACGGCCGAAGTACGGACAATCTTATTTAGATCGTCGCTGCTCAGGGCCCAGTCCGGTCGTGGGGTCCCAACACCAGGCCCATACTGTCCGTGCTCCTCCTTGGCGTACTCTTCGGGGTGCTTCTCATACCAGGCTTTCTCGAATTTGTCTTGAGGCACGCCGTGTCCATGAAGGCCATAGCTTCCGGGAGGTAAAGAGGCTTCCCGACGGCCGCTACGAGTGCGATGATGGTTACGCCCCTGCCGTTGGCCTCCATGTTCTGACTGGTACGGAGACGGAGACGGAGCTTGGACATCACCTGCGTTGGGATACATCGGGACTCTCTGGCCAATCTCCGGGATTCCGTGTTCTTCGGCAAGCTGACAAGAGCGTCGGCGATCGGAGGATGCAGTGGACGAGTCTGCACGAGAGCCACTGGCTCTGGAGTGCATAGAGCGACTAGAGCGCTCAACCTGATCATCGACTACTGGAGATCCAGCCATCCCAAGACCAGCAGCCGCTGCCTGGCGAGAGTCTAAACGGGTGACAGCCTGCACTTGCGCCTTAGCACTCGAACTAGGCAAAGATGGTCTGGGGGCATGGATTTTGAGATCACTGCCCACATTCCTAGTCTCTGAAGGAGCTGGAATCTGGCTATGGCTGTCCGAGACATTCGGAATATCCAGGTCTTGATACTCAATGCCCTCTTCGCCGAGAGACGGTATTGCCACACTGGGAGGGCGTTGTGGGAGATCATTAGACACGGTGCGGGAGATACCCGGAGCATTTGGCCGCTCGTTCAGAGGAGACGGGGCATAGCTGTCCCGAAGCGGAGATACGGAGCGATCAACGAGTCTACCGGGACGAGGAGGAATCTTTGGGATGTCTGATATCGACTTGGGAGCAAGACCTGGCTGTTGAGGGGATCTTGATGGTCGAGGAGGAATGACGGGAGCTGTTTGTGTCGTCATTTTTGAATTGTAAAGATATTATGGAGCGCTTCAAGGATGGCTAAACGAATTGAGCTTCGCAAAGGATGTTAGTTTGAAATTGACCGGTCAATCAGGAAGAATGTGCAATCTGAATGCTAAAGCGCTTTGACAAAGAAGTGTTGGGCCTCCAAGAGAGGTGACGCCAGAGCGGGCAGCTTTGCATTACTGAAGGGCTTCTTCCCCCGCACCCTGGATTGCACGCTGGATAATGAAGCAGAGAATCAACCCAGTCCAGCTTAAGGCTCAACCCCTGTGCAACTATCACGGTAGATAGCGCTGAGGATCTCAATGAGGCATCATTGCAAGGGGGAAAAAAAACCCGGAGCAAGCGGATAGAGTCATAAGCTTTAGATAACGCAGATAGACAGAACACAAAGCTGATAAAGCTCTTAAGAGGCTAGGCCATGGAGAAGCTTCCCTCAGGACCGCAAGATAGGGCCAGATAGATAATCATGACAGGGAATATAGTGAAAATTGATAACAAGATGCAGTATGATTTGCTTACCGATTGTTGGACCAAGTCAGGGCACTCACTGATGGACAGTGGATGGATATGAGCAGCTTTTTGATGGATAAGCGAATGTAGAAGACAGAACAAAATTGGCTGAGCAAATGAAGGTCAAGGAGAACCCCTAAGAGGGATATGATTGAGATATTAGAGATGCAGGGATGGTGATAGGATAGAAATGGGGTTCTGGGAGAAGAAATGGAATTGACGATAGAAATTGTAGTAGTAGTAGTAGTAGTAGTAGTAGTAGTAGTAGTAGCAGCAGTACTTGAAACTTGTAGTAGTGACTGCTCGCGGGATGATGTATGACTTAACTTTTTGCAGGCAGAGTGGCCGTAATAATCCAGCCTAACCGCTTTCCTTCCTGCCACGGCCCATTGCTCCCGTCGCGTGACGTCCACTGAGACTCTGACGAAATCAAAACACCCGCTGTGGTGACGGTGAGGCGCTCCACTGGGGCTGGACAACCACAATACTAGTACGAAGGACGGTATGGTTACCAAGTGTGGGCTGTGAGCCAACGAGAAGTGTTCGTTGCAATTACGAGGTCAGTTGCTTGCCAGAAGCAGTTAGACCGGATGCCCCACTATAATCATTTCCTTTTCTTGGACTGCCTGAGAGCCTGAGGTCAAATGATTCGATCTAGTTATACTCGGTAGATGCTATCTATCTATCATCCATGGACGCTTCTAGGAGATGAAGGGTGTCTCAAGATCTGGCAGGGTTCCAAGACGCTCAGTGAGCATCTACCATCATATGAATGCCTCAGGTTCATGGAGTTATTTCGTGCCAATGATACTATGTACATGGGGTGAGGGATATATGCAGCCTCCTGTAGTACATAGCGGTAGATCATATTTATACTTTTGAGGCATTTAAGAAAAAAAAAAAGAAAAAAAAAAAGAAATCAGGATCTCTAGTGAAGGGTACCCTGTAGAGTGTAGATACTCCGTAGATAACTATCAAGCGTTGAGCATTTCAGGGTGGCTATCCCCCAGGGGCATACCTCAACTGGCTACGGTCTACTGTGGTTGAAACTCAAGCGTTCAAGAAACCTTCCCTGAAAAACGTGTACCTGAAATAAACATGATAGACACAGCCTGAACCATCTTTCCATGATGTCTTGGTTTTCGACTATTATTGCCTCCTTTTCCTCTCAAATCCGGCTTTGTGTCCTTGTGAGAGGGAAAAGCCCCTCTGCCTCCTGACCTTCAGATAAAGCAACTTCGGGCCCAGACCATGGATCCAGATTTAGACATTGGACTCTAGCCGATACAGTATCCTTACAGTTGGTACATCCCCAACAATAATAATGAACCTGTTGGAAGCTCAGGATGATATTGGAACTTGAAAAAAAGATGCTGGTAGTCTGTGCATCTGCTCAATTGACCGATTACTTTGATGAAATCCTGAGGTAATTTTTACTATTGGCTCGGAACTTGGGAGCTGAGTCTCAGAATTTTCATCTCGTTCATCTTGTCTCCCCGTTATCAAAGGACTACCACTGACAACAGGGCTGAACTATTTCAAACACGTGCATTTTACTGGCCACAACCAACAACAACCATTGTTTGTATGGCCAACGCGGCCGAGGCGGTGACGATCTTTGACCTGGGAGTTAAGACTGATAACAGCCACATATACTTACTCTGTAGTGGGACCTCTCTGGCTGGTAATCAGAATACAAAGGCTCGGCTTTACGGAGTACTATACTAAAGCACAGTTCAACCATGTCCCCATATGTCGGTTTGTATACATAAATCACTTCACGAACTGAGCAACATTGATCCTGCTTCCTGTGCTATATATATATTCAATTACAAGCTTCCGTCGTAGTCTTACATCTCAATCCTCAGCCTCAGACCGGGTATACATATATATTCCAGCACTTTCCATCATTCTACACAACAACCACGATAGACAGACATGCATGCATGCATGCATGCATCCGAATGTATCAGAGAGACCACGAAGCCACGAAGTCCAGACTGGGTACTTGGCAATGCAGCACACAGACCTTAACGTACCCTGTACATAGCTCTATGGACTACCTACTACCTAGGTACTGTCTTGCATGTTAATACCCGGGCCAGTCTTAATACTGTGTTCAACTTTTCAAATCGCAGCGCATCGCTATCTTTAACGCGGGGTAAACGTTTCCAGGCGAAAATGACGTAACTAGGAGCAGGAGTCGCGATGCTCCGTATCAAAAAGGAAGCAAGCATGAATAGTTACTAAGTCCAGTTTCACGAGCTAGTCGTCAGGCTACATACCTAGGTTAGATATAGAAGCACAAGCTCAGTGTGGGGGCAGACGCAAGAACAAGGTCAACCCAATTCAATGGATTCCTAAATCTAGAGAGTACCTGTAGGAGAGAGAATGCGTCCAGTAGTGAGTTCTACTAGGGGCAAAGATTGGCCATGTCAAGAGGAACCTTTCTCACGGCTGTTAGCTGTATTTGTTACTCCGCTACCTACGGTGGTATATCTCGAGATAGGGATGCACGTGCACACTGCACAATTATATATTGATCGACCTCTGAATCACTTCTCACCCGGCTCTTCTGAGCGAGATCCAAAAGAAGGAAGCGATTAAATGCCAATCCTTTTTCTATGATAACTGATTCATCACCAGGATGCTAACAGGGTATTAACTAGGTATACTTGCGATCGCAATATAGGTTCCAGGGCTTAGCCAAAACCGGCAGACAAGAACCGATGCAAGTTCAATAAAAAAACATAACAATGAGCTAGGAAATGGAAATCCACAATGCCCCAACGTCAGACGAACCTCGGTATTCGCCGTATTAACATGGGATAGAAGTACAAGCCCTGGGGCGGTCATAATCATGGCGCATATACTGCAGAGATAAGGGTTGTCTTTTTTTTCTTATCTGATTGTTGTTGCTCTTTTTTTTTTTTTTTGTTTTCCGTTTCTTCCATATTCGGCGAGCACTCAACACGGCCCCAGAGGTAAGCAGGGCGAAATACCCCAAGAGGCAACTCGGTCGTATAGTTCCGTCACACGATCATTTGAACGAGGCCCTGTCCACCAAGCGTCTTGCTGCCCACAAATTCTTGGTTTTTCAAGCCAGCCAGAGCATAGAATAAACCGGCGATCAGGAGGAAGACGGCCGCGACAATCAAGCTGGATGCACCCGAACCAGGGAGGAGACTAAGCCATTGGATGGTGCTCATGATAGCGTACATCACCGCGCGCATGTAGTTGGTGGTGAATCGTCGAATGAAGGCATCAAACTTGGAGGAGGTAGGGCATATTCTGAGCAGCCAGGGAACTTCAATGAAAATGAGGACCAGGCCGGAGACACTAAAATAATTAGCTTGGGCTTTAGAAGCAACAATCGTGGAGTCTCGCTTACAGGCATAAGACACTGAAAACAATGCGTAGAACATGGATGGTGAAGATGTTTGCGATTCCCAGAGCAATGCACAGGATGATGCACAGCACACCCGTCCTATCCAATAGTCAGTCAGCAAGATGCGGCCAAACTGGTGACATCGCCTCATAGATCATAGTCGCCATCGAAGATGCTTCATAATCCTCTTGATACTATGTTCAGTACGGCAATGAAGGCCTCAGCGCGGCAGCGCGGTAGCGCCATGGAGACATGGCGAGGGATCCAGGCAGCCATTATCTCGTTCCATCGCACCTCCCGGGTGCATCTTTCATTGTCGACAATGTCACAGAAACGAGGGAAAATACGTCGAGAAGGGAGGCTATAACTAACCACTGTCCGTAAATACCTACATACAAGTCAACTTGGTTAGCATTCCGCAATCCTTGACCCTCAGAAGCCGTCAGAGAGAAAGATAGTACGCACTGAAGTTTCTCGACCGAAATTCCTCTGCCAACGTCATGATGAATTTTGAAGCGTCCTAACGAGAAAGGAAAAGAATTGTTGCTGTAGGGTATAGTTTATTCTCTCTGACGGAATGAACTGTTGTGTTCGTGCCGGTAGTTTGAAGAGGTTGAAAAGGCGTTATTGTTGATGCTAAACAATAAAGCTACCTAAACTACTGCTGTGGCTGAGTCGATGTTGATTGACAGGCGGAATGGGCCAGATTGCCAGATCGGGTCGATCCCGCTCACCGCCGTCGGCAAAATCCAGCTGTATCCAATTACCCCAGATACTTCAGGAGCTCTGACATCTGGATCTACAGCTCTGTTAACTGACCTCATAAGTTGAGTAGGCTAGTGAATGTGCTAGTCCATTCAGGCTTTCCACAAATATGGAGTCCATCGATTCCAAACACAACCGCAATCTGTCACGATGTAAGAAAAGCATATCCATGCTCAAGCCTCGCTTCTTGGGCTGATATCAATCTGCCGTCTCCAGCTTCAAGACCCCGTAGCTCGACAAGGGGACCACTAGACGAACCGGACGAGTGAGTAATGGGTATCCCTCACCCTAAAAATAAGGACATGCTGACGACAAATCAGTCCTTTGCGGTCTTCTGAGCTAAACATACCGTCTGCGCCGCTTTCGCAGACAGCAGCCGAACCTGGTAATTACTCTGACCATTCGTTCACGGCGCTCGATCCACTGGCCCCAAGTGAACTTCCAACGGGCGTGGAAAAGGATCTGTCGTACCTGCTTAGATACGACGTCTACCATTCTCTGTCCCAGATCGATATACCCCACCCATTGCGGTCGGAATTCGTCACACCAGCACCAGACGATTTACTACCCACCTCTTTGGGTAAAGTAGAGAGGCTGCTGGCTGAAGGTCACTTCCTACTTGCGGCGTATCTTTGTGCAACCATTTTAACATCCGGTGGCGTCCCACCTACTGATACGAAATTGATATTTGGGCTCTTTTATACACGCCTAGCATGCTTGGAACTCTCTGGAAATGCAATTCTCGCAGCGCAAGAATCAAAGGCTCTCGAGGATCTGACCTCGGCCTTTTATTACGTGGACTTTGATGTCGACACTAACGACCAGGAAACGAGTCAGAAACAACCGAGCCATCACCGTCATATCGTACCGTGGCCACTGCGCGTGCTGGCTGTGAGACTCCAGAGCATCGGGTTCGGGGATTCTCGACGAGGTATTGCTGGCTTGTACGAGCTTGGTCTTGAGGCACGAAGGGAGTTTAAGCGTGCGGGACCGACAATCGCAGAGCAGCAGATCTGGAAAGAAAGACTGGCAGATTTGGGGATTAGGAGCGTGAACGCATTGATAGAGATGAGTGATCTCAACGCTGCTCGAAGATCTCTACACAGCCTGAAAACACCCGCTTCAGAAGCCGGGATCAATAAACTGAGAAAAGTGCTGCTCTTCCTGATGATTGGCGACCTCGACGCCGCAAGGCAAGTATCTGGGGAATCGAATGAGACTATACTCAAACCTCTCCTTAGCATGGCTGAAGGCCAATACAGCGATGCGGCAGTGGAATGGCGTGCACTATTGGAAAATAAAGATAAGAAACATGATACGGCTTTGATTTCTCAGAATCTGGCTGTCTGTCTATTGTACTCGGGGAAACTTAACGAGGTTTGTTGCAGCACTCTTGCCACAATCGTTCTCAAAATAGCTGACACATAATCTGCAGGCCCGGCAGACTTTGGAGTCCTTGGTTGCAGAAAATCAATCGTTTGGCAGTTTGATCTTCAACCTGGCCACTGTCTATGAGCTCTGCTCCGATAAGGCTGCAGTTCTGAAGGCTACTCTGGCCGAATCTGTTGCCCAGCAGCCAATTTCAGGCGATATCAACCTTGATCGGCCAAATTCAGATTTCAAGATGTGACGCGTGTAACCATCATACCATTTCCTCGCGATTTCTATAGCTGCGATCGTTGAAGGAGTATAGTTCAAGATGCTTCGAATGGTATCTAACAATCCGGATTGCTAATTATAATGATCTGATAAGCACTCGCAGCTCATGTTGACTCACACTAACATATCCATCAACACCATGACCGCAATACCTGCAACTGCATCGAAAAATATATAAAAAGGAATAACTTCTTGAATGGAAGGAGTTTCCTTATGCACTATCCTTTTGGCGGTGCCACTCGTGGTTTAGGTTTGCGAATGATGACCTTGTCACCTTCCAGTTGCCAACCCAGGCCTTCTTTGTCCACCAAATGCTCCCATGTCCACTGTTTCTTGTCACCCGTACACCCCTCGACAATCCAGTCAACATGGACGTTGAGATATGCACTGCCAACGGCTTTCAATGCATGCCTCCTGACACGGTCCTCAGCCCAGTCCATCACCGCCCGCATGGCTGAATCTACCTGCTGCCGGACCCGCCAGAACACAATCCAATTGTCATGCGTCAACGCGGCTAGAACACGGTCGACGTCATCCGACTGAAAAGCATATTGGATTCGCGAGTGTGCACGCAGCTCGAAGGCAGCCGTCATGTCCCCTTGCCGACAAGCATAATCGAGGATCAAATATGAAATAATATCCCTCAACTCCGACTCGGGTAATGGGTGCGACGTTGAATGTAACGTCTCCAATATATAACGAAGGGAAGGGAAATACGATGGTGGATGCTTGGCTCGTATGGAAAGCTTTATGGAGAAGACATGAACTTGCTGCTGGAACGAAACGGGAACCTTGGACGCAGTGGCCAGCACGGCTTCTCGAAGCTTGCGGAGAGACAGGAGAAGCGTGGATAGCTCCGCCGCGGGGGAAGGACCAGTCTGTCCTGTTGGCTTGCTAGACACTTGGGAACGGGATGCCGGCGGATTCCTTGTCGCGTCTGCCGACGCATTGGTTGGGAGAGATGCAAATGCATTCGTCAAGTTGTTGCTATGTCGAGCACAGAAGTCCATATATCGCTGCTTAATGCTTTCGAAGTAGTCTTTCTGCGCTATGTGCTCGAGTAATCTGCAAGGCGGCGGCCTCGTCAGCAATCAATAGCACTGCATTGTCTCTAATGTCTATCTGCATCGCCAACGTACTTACGGTCCCCCTTGGACACAAACCCGACTGTCTCGAGCGAGTCCACCACGGGTTTCAAGCGGCTTCCATGGTATCGACCTGAGCGTGCTGCTGGAGCTGGACCCGCCATGACGGGCAACTTGCCGTGGTGATGATAGAAATGAGTAGTTGCGTCATATCACGAGGAAGGACAACTACAGAGTAACTGCTTCATCCTCAACACCAGCTGTTGTTCCATCTCGAGGAGTATCGTCATCAGCGCGTGGAAGGAATCACTCTGCAGCAGTTGCCACATGTTTGCTGTGTTTGTTCTGTTTGCGACGCCGAGGTTCGTTTGGTCCCAACAGGTCAATCTGGAGCCATTCCCAACGATGGACATCTCAACAACATTTTGTTAGTGCTTCAGATGAGTTCTATTTTATCTCATTGCATCCTGTTTCCTTGTTATGTTGCTGAGAATTGAACTTCTTGAAGCGTGGTGATCTGCCGTGTTGCTCTTAGATTATCATTCCACCCGTCCACCCACCTTGTGCTGACCTGGACACATACTACACGTGAAGAAAACATGTCTGTTCGCCAGCGTCACCCTGCCGAGGGCTCTGAGAATGAGCCAAAAACAAGTCAGCCTGCTGCCATTGCGGCTGCGGTTATGGAGCAACCACCTCAGGTCGTGAAGAAATTGCTCCATTGGGACGATCTGCCCCATTGGCAGCGTGATAACCACCATATCCATACGGGATACCGGCCGGCCTCGTTTTCGTTCCTCATGTCATTCCACTCGCTCACGTATCTCCATAACGAGACGGTCAACATCTATTCGCACCTTCTGCCATCAATACTATCTATACCTGCCGCGCTGTTACTATACCGCGAGCTCGCACCTCGCTATGAGACTGCTACCCGGGACGATATCATCGCCTTTGGCTGCTTCTTCACCGGAGCTGCGTTCTGCTTGGGGATGTCGGCAATCTATCATACCATTTCAAATCATTCTCCGACTGTGGCTCGCATTGGCAATGCCTTTGACTACGTCGGTATCGTAGGACTCATTGTGGGAAGCTTCGTGCCAAGCGTTTACTATGGATTCTACTGCGTCCCTGGTCTGCAACAGCTGTACTGGATGATGATCTGCACCATTGGTCTTGGCTGCGCTGCTGTATCTGTCCTTCCACAGTTCCGGACCCCTCGGTGGCGGCCTTTCCGTGCAGCCATGTTCGTGGGCATGGGCCTGTCAGCTGTGTTCCCCGTGATCCACGGCTTACGATTGTACGGCATGGAGCAGATGACACGCCAGATTGGGCTTGGATGGCTTCTGCTCCAGGGTTTCCTGTACATCTTGGGTGCTACGATCTATGCGGCTCGGGTCCCTGAACGTCTGCGGCCGGGCAAGTTCGACATACTTGGAAGTTCACACCAGATCTTCCACGTATTGGTGGTTTGCGCTGCTGTGGCCCATTTGACTGGGCTGTTGAGAGCATTTGACCACAGACGCAGTGGGATTGCAGTGAGCTGTCCGGTAGATTCAATCTGACGCCTCTGATTTGCCAGCGACAACCATAGGATCACACGAGCAAGGTAATATGCGTGAACAGCCATGTCACCGTCGAGAAATGTAGCCATAAGCCATGTTAGTAGAGGAGATAAGTTGACGTGTGCTGATGCTGACTACATGTGGACGATACGAGACTGTGTTCAACCCATATGTGCCCCCCTTGCTGACGATGCTCCATGTGCGGGAGAGGCGCTGTTCTTGGGACTTCTTGCGGTTGAGAGTGCCAGACGGTGCATCACCTTTCTGGAAGCATCACCTGGCTTCTATCAAGAATCCCCAGGAATGCTCACCGCTTGCTGCGCTGGCAACTTTATCCGGACAGACGAATAAAGATCTTTTATGCCGCAAGTCTCCAACTCACATGGTGTGCTGTCATGCAGCTCGGTGAGCATCTTCTTTGGATAGATGGCTCTGTCATTGGACACAGGGTGAGACGCCAGTGGTCCTGCTTCAGTAGTGGCTGCTTCGAGGAATAGAGTTAATTGTCATGAATTGCCCTACGGTGATTGCTGGTGATGTTGCATTTGATCCCTCCTCCCTTCTCAGCTGTCACTGCAAGTCGCGAGTCCTTGCCGCTTAAAAGCTCCAATCCTAAGCAAAGCAGCCGGTAGCCAAGTCATCCGGCAACTGCCCCTTTGGATCAGCTGAGCCGGGAATACCGTAAGGACTGGCTGTGATTGCTGGTCGGTCCCCGTGCGTGGTGGATCAGATGGAGCATTTGGGTTTCACAGCGGCTGACTTCATCTGCGGTTGCCGTCGGTCAGGGAATCTCCGACTCGAACAATGATTCTTGAGAGTGTTAGTCGAGCATATATAGCGGCGGGTGGTGGGATGAGGTCGCCCGCGTGTTATCATGTCTTCCCATCACAACGATCTTGGTTGCCCTTGGTGCTCCCTCAAGTGCGGCCGGCAACCGGGTAACTTACCGACGTGTGGATTTCTCACCACGGTACAAATGTTTCACAGAGCCGGCGGACACGAATCACCAGACCATTCTCGAATCCAAACAATCAGCGAGTCTGCATAAATGCTTGCAGAATCGGGAACCCCCTCTAGCACGGGTGGGGACACCCCCAAGCTTCGGGCTGCTTGTGAGAACTGCAGACAATCGAAGGTGAAGTGCAATCTGTCTGGAAAGAGCACCTGCATTCGGTGTCTCCGTCACGGACTGGCTTGTCGATACCGGCTGGCGAATCGATCCGGCAAGCCAAAGGGTAGCAAGAACCGCGCTACACTGAGGAAGCTGAGACAATTTCCGGACCAGCGGCCTGCATTACGGGCTTTGAAGGGCAAGGACGACCTTGTGGCGGTCGTGGATAATCATTACCATTCGGAATACAGCGAGGCCCGGGTGCTCCAGCGCGATGAAACGGTGAGTGACAAGCCCAGCATTCTGGGCGATGGATAGCTGACTGGCCGCAGCTACAGGGAAGCCCGAGCAGTCAGGACACCAGCCCGCCTGCGGAGGGTAGCCCTGAAGGGCCTGTATTGGCATACTCTTCTATCCAAGAAACCGTACCGCCTGCGGGGTCGGAATACCTCCAAGCATCCATGTCGCCGACCTTTCTCCAAAAGGAGTTCATCACCAAAGGGCTCACGAGCTGTCCCCTTGCGGTCCACATCCCCGGTGCGATGCAGCCAACATGCGACTGCAGGGGCACGCTGGCATTCCACGAGAACCAGCTGCGGGATATGGTCTCTAATTCGATGCCCCTGCGGTTCGACCAGAGTCTGCAGAGTGTCAAGGTCGCCCTGTCTGTCTGTCTGGGGTTTGTGCAGTGCAGCATCTGCGCGAAAGACAGCACCAGTCTGTTGTTGCCCGTGTCGACCTTGGATCTTGTCCTGCAACTGCTTGATTACTGTATAACGTACGGGCTGGCAACGCCGCACTCTGTGGGCGAGGACTCCAAAACGAGCCGATACGGCTTGTATGAAGTATGTCCTGCCGAGAGTTGGTGGATCCGTCGTTTCCTGATCCGAGGGCGGCTCGTCCAGTGCAAAGAGGTGCTCGCGGGGTTGCAGGAGGCGATCGATATCTGCCTCGGGTCACCCTTTGGCGCACTCGGGAATGGAACACTCGAGGGAGGCCAGGGCGACAGTTGTCTCGAGCAGATCGTGCGGGGATACGAGGCGACGGTGGAGGCTTTTCTACACTGCTTGTCGGGGAACGGATGTATATGCACCTGAGAGGATGTACGAAGTAATTAGTATCATCATACCATGATAACATTAGCATTAATCAAGCGTTCTTATCACAGATCAGCGAGCGCAGTGACAAAAGGTACCTAGATGGGGTTCTCGGCATTAACAATGACGGGCCTCGGCAATATCCCATATGTGGAGAAAGCAAACCCCCCTCCGCAAACAAAACAATATAACCTCAACTCTTGGACCAAGTATCCAAGTATCCAATATCCATGAGATAGAAGCCATCACCCGTACCTCCCCAACCCAGAACCCTACACGGGAACAAGCAACCAGCCAAAATGTCCCACCGCCTCGCCCAACTCAACACCCACCTCAACTACCCAGCCGGCCTCCTCGCCAACCAAGTGGCCATCATCACCGGCTCGGGCCAGGGCATCGGCGCCGAAGCCGCCCGGCTGTTCGCCAACGAAGGCGCAAAGGTCATCATCGCAGACATTGACGCAGGTACGCCCTACGCCCTACACCCTTTTCCTTTCCTTTCCCTCCCCCTTCCGCGGGGGAAACGATCGACAAACAAGGCCTCGCTAACAAACAAGTTAGACAAAGCCTCCGCCGTCGCGGACAGCATCAACCGCGCGGGCGCCGGCCGCGCCCTCGCCGTCCCCGGCGATATCCTCGACGCCGACTACATCGGCGAGCTGGTGCAGAAGGCCGCGGCGTTCGGGGACGGCAAGATCCATATTATCGTGAATAATGCCGGGTTTACGTGGGATGGGGTGATTCATAAGGTAAGTTGCGTGCCAGTGCCCCCCCCCCCTTTTTTTGTTCTTACGCTTGTTTTGGGGATGAAGGGGGGGGGGGGGTTATGTATTTGTTGACGCGGACTAATTGGGGATGGGGCTACTGCTGGGCTAGATGACGGATAAGCAATGGGAGACGATGCTGGCGGTGCACAACACGGCGCCGTTTAAGCTGGTGCGCGCGGCGGCGCCGTATTTCCGGGTGCGCGATGGGGAACCGCGCGTGGTGGTGAATATTAGTAGTACGAGTGGGATCTATGGGAATGCGTATGTTCATTTCCTTCCTTGCCCTCTTTTGCCCCTCTGTTGGAAACTTTTTTTTTTTTGCTTTATGTTTCTAGGGTTGAGAGTGCTTACGATTGTGATGTGCATAGTGGACAAGCAAACTACGCCGTGGCCAAGGCCGGGCTGGTCGGGCTGACCAAAACCATCGCCAAGGAATGGGGCCCCGCGTACGGCGTGCGCGCGAACACCATCGCCTTTGGGTTCGTCACGACGCGGCTGACGGCCGCGAAGGAGGAGGGCGCGTTCATCACCACGGCGGACGGGACCCAGGTGGCGCTGGGAATCCCCGGGAAGCAGCTGGCCGGCCGCAAGGGCGCGGCGGAGGGCGGGCAGGCGTATCCGGATATCCCGCTGGGGCGGCCAGCGAGCCCGGAGGAGGCGGCGCGGTCCATTCTGGGGGTGTGTAGTCCGTATTTCTCATATGTAAGCGGGGAGACGATTCGGGTGACTGGGGGGAGGAATACCTAGAGAGAGAAAGAGAGAGAGAGAGAGATTTTTTAATTTGTCTCGTATTCAAATTGTGGCCTGCGTAGATATACAATGTTTTACAGCTATGTACAGTCAGTCAAACAGTATGGTTGGCTCGTGCTTTCGTACAGATAGACTCTGCCTCGTTGGTACACTTCGTTGCACACAACTTGCACACAACTTGCCCTGACGTGGCATGTCTCTTGGAATTCGGATAGCTGACCCAGAGTCTAGGCCAGGAAATGCTCATGGGTGAATTCCCACGTCAGCATCAGTTAATCAGTCATTATTGTTAGCCTTACTATCAAACACATTGGCCATTGGTTAGGCCGAGGCAAGAGCATCTTGGTGAGTTGCGCTGAGTGCAGACGTTGCTGACGAGGCTGCGAACAGGCAGACGCAGGTGGGTGTGGAGTCAGCAGCATTGGCTGAGGTGCGAGAACATGCAGAAGCAGCGGTATGGCAGGCAGAGAATACACAAAAGAAAAATGGAGAACAAGTGGTAGGTTGTCATCTCTATCTGTAAAAGATCCAGACCCGAGAAGCCTCTCTGCTGAGAGAAGATCCTGCATGTAGCGTCGATTGCTGAGATCACACCTGTGCCACGATGCCACGCTGTTGGTGATCGTTGAGCTCTAGGTAACACTTCTTGTCTGACAGAGAAACCAAACGTGTCGCATCGCGACGATTGCGAGAACAATTATCCAAACATCTTATCAAATAGTAGTCATGGTAAACCTTCCGAATGCCTCCTCCAAGGTATCAATTCCGCTGCCATCTGTCCAGTTTCGACTCCAGTCGGGGAAGGTTAATCAAATAAAAGAAGAAAAATAAACAAGGACATGCGATGCTTCTTTCATCCGGGGTATTTCTTTTCTTTCCAAAATGCGGGTCATCGACGCCAACACCAAAACACCAAGACAAATAAAATATCAAACATAATCCAACAAGGTATATGGGCCAAGTAATCATCAGAAATCCTCCCGTAATTGATTACATATGAATGAAGCAGAGCAAAGGGTGTCTGAAAGCTCACGGAAGAGCCAACAAAGCCCAGAATCCAGGAAGGGCCAGTCCAACACTGACTGGGAAGATCCAGCTGGCAGACCGGCAGATTTTCCAGGGTCCATAGAGATGGGTCTAATTAGGGTGTATGTGCAAAAATAAAAAGGGGAAAAAAAGGAAGTGAAAGATGGTATTTCAAGTTCCAGAGTGTTGTGTCCCCAATGCAAGGCAAGGGCGAGAAAATGGTCATATGGCTGGCCAAGGGGAAAAATCCAGTTCCTTATGTTGAATGGTTGGCGTAAATCATCAGGCTGCGTTAACTTTGTTTTTTTGTGATTTTTGTTTTTTTTTTTTCCCTTCGGTTGACAGCATTACTCCCTCTGCTTCAGCAGACGGGAAGTGGCTGTGGGTTTGACTGTGGCTGAATGAGGATGGCCTCGGAGATATCCTTGCAGTTGAGCGAATCCATTGGAAGCTCATCTTCAGAATCAAACTCCACAGAAGACATCGATGGGACACTGTCCATATCGGTGAAAACTTCGGTGAAGCAAGAGCCATCCGAGTCGCCCGAGTCGGAGAAGTCCGAGTAGTGAGACGAGTCGGAAGAGGTTGACTGCTGGGCCGTGAAACCATGTACAGGAACAGAGACAGGGACCTGAGGTCCACTGACGACCTGGAATGGCAAGGGTCCGCTGGGAGCGACCCAGGGGGTTACCGGGTTCAGAGTGAACTGAGGGCAATCCAGGATCAACTGGCGGAGCTCCGGGATGGTGATCCGTTTCATCGGGTCACATTCAAAGATGCGGCTCAGGATACAGACCAGTTCATCAGACAAGGGCAAGATGGACTTGAGGAAGAAGGGATCCTTTAGATAGGCCCGGAACGTGGAATCCTCGATCGAGGCACGTTTCCAAGGGTTGCGCCCGCAGGTCAGATTGACTAGAATAACTCCCAGGCTCCATACATCATTGGGGGCCGAGGCATAACACGACAACGGGCGGGGATTCGATTGCTGACATTCTTCAGGGGAAGAAAGAGCTTCGAGTCAGCCAGCTGGCACATCACGAGTCAGAAGAATTGATGCCTTACCTGGGGACATGTAGAAGGTGGAACCGCAACCGAAATCCGAGGTGAAATAATCCGTGGTAGCCAGGCCAAAGTCGGCCAGTTTGACCGTCAGGCCCTGGTCGGTGACCAAGATGTTCTCCGGCTTGAGGTCCCGATGGTAGATTCCTAGGGAATGACAAAACTGGACGGCATCCAGGATCTGGAGGAAGACCCGCTTGACCAAGGGATCATTGCCCACAAAGTTGCCCTTTTCGGTGATGCTGGAGAACAAATCGCCCTCCGGACAGAACTCGATGACCACATAGGTGCAGTCGACGGAATCCATAATGCGAACCAGGGAAACCACATTGGGATGTTGACTGGCCAGATGGTGAAGCTTGATCTCCCGTTGTTGGAACTTGAGCTGCCGGGCATCAAGTCCGACCTTGTTCAGGGCTTTGACGGCATAGAGCACATTGGTGTGGATGTCGACGGCGGTGTAGACCACGCCATACGCACCGACTCCCAGAATGCTTGTGAGTTCCAACCGGTTGGCTAGAAGGTATCCCAGGCGGTCCTCCGGGGTAAAACAACGGGTGACGGGGAGAGAAGGTGGAGGAGTAGGAAGCACGGGGGGATACATGCTATATGGAGGAGACGGGGGAAGCATTAAGGGGGCGAATAAGGTGTGTTGAGTTGAGGGTTGAGGGAAGGTAGGTAGGTCCAGTGGAGAAGTACTAGGGCGTTGTTGATCGTATAGAGATCCGTCGGAAGAAGGGTCCTTGATGCACACGGTATGATGGGCAAAAGATCCAATATCCAAATGGCCAGTGGGATCCAAAAGGGGGGGGAAGGACAGTCGTATTGATAGAATAATTATTAGAGAGATATTGGTTGAAGATCTGTTCTTGTTCTGACTCAAGGATCCATTGGGATGGCAGAAGAGAAAGGATCCAAATATAATTCAACTCCTAAGGGGGGGGGGATTGTCCGTTTGGGGAAGAGCCAGTATTGATTGAAGATGGGTTGAAACGGGGCGGTGGTTGTGGATATTGATGTTGTTGTGGTGATGTGTGTGGGTGATTGATGGAGAGAGGATGCGCGTTGTAGTATTAAAAAGGAGAGGTGGAGGGAAGCAAAGGAGATATATCCAAGATCCAAAGAGAAGCAAATAAGAAAGAAAGATAATGATAGGAACAATACACCAATAGCCAGAGAAGAGAAAAAGGAAGCGCGTAAACAGCAGCAGAAAGCAAGTGAAGAGCACAAGACGATACTTTAAGAGGGGAGGGGATGATGTGTTTTATGAGGATCGAAGAAAGGCGATATTAAGTTGAACTAGACTGGAGAGAGGCGAAAGCACTTGGAGGAGTGAGTGTATGAGGATTGGAGAGTGGGAATCCGATCCTCCGTGCTAGTAATCGGGCTAGTTTGGTGGAAATAAAGTCGATAATATTACAGTAATTAAATAATAAATGATAATGATCATAATAATCAAAGACCCCGGACCTCGTGGTCAATAATAGTAGTTGCCCCCTAAAGGCGCCGACTACTCAGCAATTGATCCTAGGTAACTACGCCGTAGAAAAGATATGATTCAATTTGACACCGTCACACCACAGAATCAGCGTGAGTGAGTTCCACACCCCCCCGCCACTCATAATAATAATAAGAATAATTACCACTTACCAGAGTCCCAAGTTCCAACAAACATTAATAGTTGGGGAGTACCTAGTTGATGGTGATTACTTTTCACCGACTAGCTACCTACAGACTCTACAGCTATAGGCAGATAGCAGATGGCGATGATCCATGTAACAGGACAGTTACATATTAAGCGCAGCACAGCACACCCCCATCCATTGATTGGAGGTTCTGACAGGAGCTGTGGAGGGGGGACCCCACCCGACTAAATATGTATGATGCTTAGACTAGTTTAGGGCCCCACCGAGAATAGGAATAGTCGAACCGGAAGGGAGGTGGGCAATCATTGATGATTGGGAAAGGGGAAAAACCAGTGGAGACAAGCCTAGGTCAGTAGTCAGTAGTCAGTCGTCAGTCTACTTGGGGCGCCCAACTTTGGAGGTGTTCCAGGCTCCACCCGTCTGGGTTTCAGTCACACCACTGACCACTCAATGGAATCATCCAGCCACGATTTTACATAGACTAGAACAGTTCTCCAACATCCCAGATCCGTGAGGAGACAGACAGCCTGGAAGTCATTATTTAGCATTTGGCTTTCTTCCATGGATCCCCGGTCTTATGGGGAATGATTGCATCGAGACTAGAGAACCAATCAGAGTCCTAGAGCAACTGAAGAACCTTCTCACATTTATTATGATGCCCCAAAGGCGTCACAAGGTCCTGCCTGCTTTCCTATCCATTCTCGTCATCCAATCAGACTAGCTGCTCCAAGGGTCCGGGACAAAGGCCAGCCTCTCCGCCAGGATCCGAACTGATGGGCAAGTGCAACAAGTAGTAACGAGTAACGACAACAACAATAACTACTAACTAGTAACTACTCCGTAACTGACTAACAAGCACTGGCCGCCGTGGCTGTACCAGTCAGTGCAGACTCGATCGACCGGGGGACGGCTCCTCAACCAAAGTCACTACTAGTAACTCACTAGTAAACTACACAGTATGAACTTGATTTGCTGCCGGAGAGCGAGAACATCCTTAGAGGCGGTGAACGGTGTGACAGGTTATAGGAGGGAAAATACCTAGTCAGGACTCAAGGACTCAGGAGTCAGGACAGCCAACAAGCAAATCCGATCCATTTGATTCATCTTTGTACATCGAATTCGAGTATTCCATACTTACAAGGCTACTAGACTACTTACTTCTGGAGCTGCAGTCATACCGTGGCGCAGTCTCATCATTGGCTGCAAGCGGATGATATCCGCTGCCATGACAATGATTGGACCATCATGCTGCTGGACGACAATAGTAGTAACGCCCTATTTGCCTTGGCCCTTGAGGATATCCCATGTTCTATCTCCAGGCCGAAAGGAGTAGTCTGATTCTTAAGCCTCATGGGTGATGAATGATGAACGATGATGATCATGGTGAGAGTCGACGACGCCAATGAAGTCATCTACCGCCGAAAGGAGCCCAAGGCTTTTTTTCTGGATGGAGACTGGGGATGACCCACTTGTGTATCGATCGCAGTCAAACATCTCCGTCTCATCTGAGCATTTCTAGTTTCTCCAATCTACATCCTTACATCCTTACATAGTTTTCTAGTTCCCTCCTGTCCATCGGAATTCCCTCGCTATTGCTAATGGAGATTGGATAGATACTTGCCAGCGTAATTCTCCACCGTCGGATGGAAAAAACAAGATAGCAGGCCAGAGTAGCCAAAGTTCACCAGAAGATGGTGAAAGTCTATCTATCTCAATCTCACAAATCAGGCCCGACCCCAGTAGTCGGGGGCAGAGCGCTGAGCGGCACAGTGTGCACACACAAAACCTGGAGCCTTTGTCGCATCACCAGTTTCACCACTCTCCAGACCGACTTCTCTGCCTTCCCCCGTCCCATCACAGAGAGAAGTGGGAAAAAATAAATAAATCTGCGACAGGATAGATGATTGCTGTTGCAGTGGCGATTTCAAAAAATATCCGTTCTGAGGACCGCGTCTCCTTCTTAAGTCTTCTGCCTTCATCACACCGTCTTTTCAAGAATTGCGGTCAGCTCCAACCACCCTCCACAATCAGCACTCTATAGATGTCTACTGTGTAGATACTGTGTAGATAGATAGATAGAAAGATAGAAAGTGAGGCAAGTAATGGAGGGCCGCCACAGCCAATGATTAGCCCACTCGCACCCGCTTCGAGAACCTCCAGTCATCCACCCGCGCAGGCCACCAAACCCCATGATTGGCTGCTTTGCTGCCACGTTTGCGCTCGAGAGTTTTGGTCGGTGGAGACGAATAGTGGATAGGGATTGGTTGAAACGTGGGGCTGTGTCCTCTTGTGTTGGGGGGTTTTCTTTTTATTATTATTATTATTATTTATTGCATCAGAATAATGGGAAAAGCAAGGCTGGCGACTGCGAGACTTACAGAGTAGTGCATCTAGTTATTCGATTCCTTTTGGTTCTTTGGATTTGTTCTGTTGTGCGTGACCCACCTACTACTAGTCTACTACAGTACTACTGTGCTAGAGTCTAGAGAAGGGTGGAAAATGTTAATGGATGGAGTAAATATAGTTAATTATCCTCAGGGCTCAGGCAACAATCGCCTGTAGGCTGTATGCTGTATGCCTTACCCCCGGAGCGGAGATTTTCTAATTGGCTGGGTTGCGATTCTCTCGATCGTTGCTTTTTTGCCTTGTCGATCTTCATACTGTTGACTGTACTCCATACGTAGTAGTACTATTAGGCGGTAGGCAGGAGGCACTAGATACTATTCTTGTATTCAGCATCTAGGAGTACGGAGTAGATATACTTGAAGTGATAGATGCAGTTAGTTCACTATCAAACATTCATACACAAATATACATACATAGTCAGGTAACCATTGCTCTACTGTTCTTATCGCTGAAATACATCACATCTCCCCCATCTAGAACTACCTAGACGACAGAGCATCTAAGATCAATACCACCCGTAGAACCCATCCAGGAAGTTCCAGAACACCCAGATAGACGCTCCCATTCTTCACACACACAGATCCAATATCCAAATCCCCCATGTGGCGTCAGCCTGCACTGGACCGTTTCTTCATTCAACACCCGTTGATTTTGATCCAACCGTCTCTGTGTCCATATCTGTGTCCGCGCGTATCGTTTGACATTTCGCCACCACCGCCGTCCCGCGATCATCGAGTCATACAATCCGCAAAATCATCCTTCGTCGATTGTATGTATGCTCTTCGCCTCCATGACAGGTGGTCAGAGTCAGACATGGTTCGAAATTTTTTTTATACTTGACTTCACGGATCATCGATACCCCTCTTAACCGCTGTGGCAAGAGTCGATAGAAAAGCCGCCGTGGTGCTACCTGATCTTCATCCCATGGCTTTTAGGTACCCCGTACGTTCAAACACATCCTGGGTATGGGACTGGGGATCCTAGCATACAATGCAAGGTTAACCCCGATAATCAATCGTTCCCCTGGGATAATCCAAACTTTAAAAGGAAGAAAGGAAAAGAACAAAAAAAAAATCCCTATGAATTCGAGTGCATCGCTCTCGCTTCTCGCCCTCAGCCATGACATAACGGTATGACTAGAGAGGTATGACTATATACGATTAGATCAGAATCTTCCCACTCATCCCAAGGCACCCTGTCCTACGGCTTTGGCCGCGCAATGAACGGATGCTTCAACGCCTCTGCCGGCGTGCACCGCTTCTCCGGATTAAGACTCAGGCAGCGATCTAGAAAATCCACAAACAGCGCCAGCTCCTTCGCCTCGCTGTCCGTCATCCCTCTGGTCTCCTTGCCCATCAATCGGGTCCGCAGATCACGCGTGGGTTTCTTGAAATCGAGGATCTTGGTGGACAATCGCCCCGTGATCCGATCCTCTTCCGTACTGTGGAAGTTGAGCATATCATCGAAATGGTGATGCGTCAGCGACCCGCGCCGTAGTAGCTTCGGTGGGTATTTGCCACGACACTCCATAATCGACCGTAGCATCTGGTTGTTATTCCGTCCCGTAAACAGAATCTTGCCCGTGTAGAGTTCAAATAGCGTGCACCCGATCGACCACACGTCAATCGCATAGTCATACGGAATACCAAGGATGATCTCCGGTGCCCGGTAAAATCGACTGACGAGATACGGCGTGATCTCGTTCTCCGTCGCCGACGACGCCGAGCCCAAGTCGCACACTTTGAGCACATTGCGCTGCTCGTTCACCAGCAAGTTGTCGGGCTTCAAGTCTGCATGGAGAATGTTGCATTTGCGGAGCAAGCTGAGACCGAGAAACATCTGCTGAGCATATGCGCGAATGGCCCGAAGATTCAATCCAACGTCCCGTCCGAACTTCTTCAGAACTTCGCGTAGATTCATGCTGAGATTCTCAAACACCATACATAGATGCCCTTTGTGGTCGAAATAGCGCTCGAATCGGATGACATGCTTCTTATCCTCCGGATCGGCCTCGCGAAGCTGTTCCAAGATGGCAATCTCTTTCATTCCCGCCTTCCTCATGGTGTCGTTCTGACGAATGATCTTGACCGCAACAAGACCGCCTGTCTTCGAATCCGTTGCGCGTACAACCGATGAGAACATGCCCTTGCCGAGGTTCTGCTGCACGTGATAGCGTCCATTGATCAACTCACCCAACCGGACATTGTAGTATCCTTCAGGATCGTCCCAGTTGTCCATCATGCTGATATCGAGCTCCTGGGGTTGAGGAACCGGCACGGCCGAGGCATGTGTCGGCTGCGTAGTTTCCTCCTTATCCTCAGCGAACATATCATCGTCATCCTCAGCAAACATGTCGTAGGGATCCTTCGCCTTGACCGGGGGTGGTTGCAGCTCAGCAGCGTCCGGCATCAGAACGTCCTGTTTGGTGGTTTTCGTTTCATCATAGCGAGCTGAGGAGACATCCCCATTCGAATCTACGTTATCGTGCTTTTGCCTCTCTGCTTTCATGTCAATGGTCGGATCATAATCCGCCGCAGATGGCTCATCCTTGTCCGCGCCGTTCACGGGTGCATCGTGATTAGCTAAATCAGCATCATTGCCAACCTTGAACTCGAACGCATCGCCAGCGCCATCGTTGGGTGCCTCGGAGGCTGATCGCGGGGGGGAGACTGTTACCAAAACCATTAGTTCACTGTGGTTTGATAAACTACATCAATCGGACTTGTCTCACCTGAGGCGACATCACGGGACGTAACTGCATCCACACTCGGAGTTGACGAATCCGTATCGGCGCCAATATGAAGAGCTTGTAGTTGCATAGGTGTTGCCTGGCCTCGATATTTGGCTTTAATCGCTTCGCGTCGCTTACGGCGAGCCTCTAGACGAGCTGCCTCATCAAACGCCCCGGCGGGCTCCTCAGTTGGACCTTTGCTCTCCTGTATCGGCGGCAAGGTTGCACTGGGAGGTTATCAGCAGGCTGGATATCCAGAATAAAGAATGGAAAGGGGCACCAAAAATTACCTGTCTTCAACGCGAGGAGCCTGAAAAGAAACATGCTGCACCTGATTCTTTCGAATTTCAGCCTCTTGTTTAGAATCTTGAGCGACGATTGCAGTGTTCCCTCGTCCGCTCACTAACTGTTCAGTAGATGGCCTCCTCCTGCCAGTGTCCCGAGAAGCTACGCTTCCGTCTCTACCTCGTTGAGAATCCCACTCATTGCCCGCGTACTGTTTAGGTTTCCTCACTTCGCGATATGGCGACCGACTTCGAGTTCGAGGGCGCTTGTCCCCCCGTCGATCATAGTCATCCGTATACCGCAGCCCACCACTGTGATCATCGTCTCGGTCGTAATCGTGGTAAGCCCTGGGGCGCCTTTGCGAAGCGGGACCTCGACCATGATATCGGTCATCGTCGTACCTGGGACCACCGCGTCTCGACGGTTCGTGTCGATAACGCCCCTCGTCATAGTCATCCTCGCGTCGGCGTTTGTGACCTCTGTAGTCTCGATAGGGAGAGCGGGAACGGGATCGCGATCGGGACCAAGTCCTCGTCCTGGACCTCCGTTGGCGTGGCGATCTACTCACGGACGATGTACTGACTCTGGTTTGACGGTCAACGCTGGTGCCATTAAGAGAAAGTTGCGACGTAGTTGCCTTCGTCTCTGAACCTGATTCGATGATCTCACCCTCAGAAGGGGTCGATGGAGACCTCGACCTGCGTGACGCCATTGTTGTGCAATGGGCGCTCACCGGATATTCAAGAGAAGGACCTGAGATGAGAGATTCCCTTTGAACACAGCTTCGGAGAAGAATTGAGGGAGACAACCCCGGTTAGCAAGAATGCCTTCGACAACAGATAAATTTGAAGTGTATTGAGAAAGTCCAACCGGCTAGAGATGCCACGGCCTTTGCCAACTTGACTACCGCCTCACAGGGAGCATACGCGTCTGAAGAAAACTCGTTTCTACAAGCTGTATGCTGTAGAACCCACTGAAATAAGGAATCCTCCTAGCTCTTCTTAAAGATGAAAAGAAAACCGATGGAAACCTGAGAAACAAGAGATGAGTGAGACAGGAGAACCCAGAGAGAGCAAGACAGAGCCAGAACCAGGAAACCCAGATGGTCAGTCACAAGTCACAGTCACGTTTGCTGGCAAAGGCGGTCAGCGCGATTTTCCCTCTTGGCTCGATCAGGCGCTAGCGCCACCCCGCAGATAAGCATTTCTTTTTCCCTCATCCCTCTTATTTTTTTTTTCTATTAGTTATTCTGCTTTCTCTCTCCAGTCTCTAGGCTCCACAGGTCGCGATCGTCCACCATCTGCTTTCTTTCGGTTCTAGTGAGCGTTATCTCCCGTTTTTATATCGGACCTCTACAAAATGGGCGGTGCAAGCAGAGAAGGTACGGTGTTTTCCCTACGCCCGGATATAGTGAGATACCCCGCTAACAAGGCGCATTGTTTAGGTGGCAAGGTCAAGCCCCTCAAGGCCGCGAAGAAGGATAAGAAGGAACTCGATGACGATGATCTCGCCTTCAAGGAGAGACAGAGAGCCGGTATGAATACCTCAATAACCTCCCGAACATCGAGGGACGGCGCGATTTAACTAACTCTGCGGTTGTGTATTCTAGAGGCCAAGGCTAAGAAGGAGCTGATGGACAAGGCGAAGGGCAAAGGCCCGCTGAACACTGGTCAGCAGGGTATCAAGAAGTCGGGAAAGAAATAGATTGTCTCGCTAGGATTCGCGCGATCATTCTTATGAGATACAACGAGCCATGACCTACGATCGCCTTCGTGGCGCGCATTCATGTTTGGCATTGATTATGCCACTTTTATTACCTTGGATTCCTTTCTTGGCATATGTATAGCCATTTGTTTCAACATATTTCCACTGCCGAGAGATATTCGCGCGCAAGCTCGCTACCTAGTAAACCGTACACCAACCGGAAGAAGGAAAATGAACATATATGTATTGACTTGATTTTCTGATACGAGAAACCTTCTTTAAAACATGGAACGGCGGGAATCATAGGTGCCCCCCTGGTTTTGTTAAAATTGAGTCCTGGATAATGATAATCTGCCAGCAGGGTAACCGTAAAGGAAGAGAGAAACAAATCCCCTGAATCAAATGCGCTAACGAAAAAGGGTATTCGCAGGCCCAACACACGATATCTTCCAGCAGCAGAGGCGGAGCAGTGAAAAAGATAAGACAAAGAATTTCAATCCAGCTCATCCAAATGCAAAGACAAGAAGCGCGACTGTAGAAAGAACGGGATCAAGGTGAACAGGACGGATGCCAACGCTTGCCTTTCAGCTAGTCACCCGCTTAACCCATAAACTGGTATCTCCACCATACAAGGCTCGCTCATCGCGTTTCTTCCATGCTCTGAATAGCTTCAAGCCAATTTCATGCTCCTCTCGCTTGATCTCCGCCAGTTCGTTGTTGAGACTGGCAACCGTCTTTTTGACCTCCTCCCGGGCAGCCATGTCATAGGCAAGAGAGCTAGGCTGGATGACCTGGGTAAGTTCGTGGATAATCGTATCAATGTTTTCCCTCCGCCGCGTGAGGTTGTCTCTCCTTGCTTCTAGCTGCTCAATGCGGGCATGAGCTTGTTCCTCCGGAGAGCACTGAGACAATTCGCTCGTGTTACCAGCTGACTGGGATGGAGTGGGCTTTCTGGTGGGCTTCTTGCCCGGGACCACCGCACTCGCCACCGGCCTCTTTCTGGACATGATCGACGGGGCGTTGTCTGTATTCTGGGAGGCTGCGTCGATGCTATCCCGACGGCTGGGTGTAGAGCAACGCGTCTCGGTCGTGGCGCATGTGGTCGCACTGAAGCGACTGACGGGCTCATGCGCTTGATCCCCCGTGGAAAGCTCCAGTCCAGCCAATGTAGCTTCTAGGTCAGGCTTGGGGAGGTCGATCCGAGGAGGAGCATCGTTTCTAATGATGGCAGGAGAAATTGCCCTTTGCGGGGTTGAGTCTTGGTGGCGGCTTCTGCTAGGCCAGCGTTTGACGGTACTCGCAGGATTATTCTTTTCTGCACCGCCCGTAATAGTAGTAACCACAGATGGGACTAGTCCAAGATATGCATGATTCGGAGACGTCCGATCCTTCTCGCTCGATCGAGTGTTGCTGGATCGTGGTCCACGTGATGATGATCTGCCCCTTGGTTTCTCCTGGATTGGATTTATCATCGGCGTTCGCCCACTCTGACCTTTCCAGGGCTCCCGCATTGCCAGTGAGAACGGATTGTCATTTTTTGATGACGACCGTCCGCGTCCGCCCGCGTTCTGTTCTCTTGTATGATATTGATCTTTGGCCCATCCAGTGAGCCCACGTGATCTCGTTGGCTGTGTTTCAAAAGAAGCATTTCCGGCAGTCCTAAGCGCAGGATTATCTGAGTGTTGGACGGCAGACGGCGCGGTGAAATCATCCCGTCGTGTCGTGCGGTTCCGACTGGACGGATCCTGCGTGGATGGCCTATCGTTTAGTTGTGCAGAATCCGCGCGTTGACGCAAGATCGGCAAGTTGCTCTTGTACCTCGTTGTTTCTGGGTTTCGGTCGAACGCTTGTTTTGAGTCGATCTCCAGAGATGAGACACGCGAACTTTCTCCGCTGTGGTGTGCCTTGTTGATGAAGATGGGCGAGTCGGGAGGCGAGATATCTACGCTGGCACTCTCTGCGGCGGTTCCAGGGTCGCGGTAGAACCTGTCTTCGTTCTGATAGCTCCAAGTAGTCGAGCGCTGACGACCTTGATCGACTGGGGCGCGAGCCTGCGCGGAAGATGCCACGCGATGATCTGAACCCGGCCGACTTGCAGAGAGAGTTGAGTGCGGGGGTTTCCTACGATCTGTCAGTGGGGCTGGGCGACGGAAGAGCTCGTCAGCGTGTATGACTGATATTTCGCACTTACTGTGGTAAAGGTAGAGCTCTAGGAAGTTTTTCGATGTGTTGAGCGCCGGGTCCGGGAGGGGCCTAGTACATGTTATCATCCAAGGACTTGTTAGGCAACGTAGGGGTGCTAATTACAGGTTTCCGAGACCGATGGAACGACACCTTTCCCCACATTTTGCTTGCAAGAGATATGCTAAAGAACAGAAGGTGAGTACTTTCTCCTGAACGTGTTGGTGGTGGAGAGATGAACGAGAGCTGACAGATTTCGTCATGACATACCTCTTATCTACAAGGATCAGCAATAAAGGTAACTAAGAAAGAAACGTGATTCTGCCCGATGATTATTGACTTCATGCACGGACATGCCAGCATGCCACTTAATGGAAGGGTCGAGTCAGAGGAAATGCCCAATCACGCTGAGCGAAGATGAGAGAAGATTCCAAGCAATGCAAAGAAAAAAGCAAGGAGTGAAGGAGAAAGAAAGAAAGAGAGAAAGAGAGAGAGACAGGCAGAGACCAGCAAGCCAGATGAATAGAGAAAAGAAAGGAGAGAGAGAAAAAAAATGAGAAAGAAAGACAAGAGACAAAACAAAGATGCCCCCAAGACTAGATAGAAGAGAAGAGAGAAGAAGAGACGAGAGGAAGAAAAGAGAGGGAGAGAGGGAGAGAGGGAGTACAGCCTACAAAACCCGGGCAGAGCAAGAAACCGTTGAGTCTGGAATTACGATTTAGACTAACTAATAATAATTATTGACAGGACAAGAGGACATGCTTGTGCCCATTGGCACTAGAGAAGACATCTACACTATATATAAATATAATAAAGGACCCTGTTTCAGATGCGTTGTTGGATCTTGACAGAGCAGTTCTTGAGGTTATTAATAGGTCCTGGTCCGAGGCTGTTATGTAACCTGCGTGCCTGCGTGCCTTATGGAACAGGCTAGAAGGTTGGGATCCTCAGGTTTCAGGCCGCCACAGCCGGTATCCGTATTACGGAAAGATTCTCCGCAAAATGAAATAAATTCCAAGCCGGGATTGACGTCCGTCATAATCAACAACGAACGGCTTACTCTCAACATCACCTCCCATCATTCTTTCTCTCGACGTTCTTGTCGTTCATCTCCACCAGTTTCCCAGACACATCTATAATCATGTCCTCAGCAGGTATGAAGTCACTTCCCTTCAAAGGCTTCAAATATCTAAGCAACTAAACTCTCCATAGGAAACGGCGCGGTCCCGCCGCCCGCCGAAGTGTACCACTCCCCCCCCCCCCCCCGGTCTCCTAAACATTTCTCAGCGCCATAAAGAACAAACTCCATCTAATCTTGCCAAAAAAAACCCTTAGGATGTCAATCGCAACCCCAATCAACCTCATCCTCCTCTCCCTCTTCGGCGTCCTCGTCTACATGCAATTCCGCCCCAAGGCCCCCACCACCCTCCCGCAGGCCCCGCCCCCCGTCGTCTTCCGCACCTTCACACCAACAACCCTCCTGCCCTTCAACGGCGTGGGCGATCAACCCGTCTACCTCGCCGTCCGCGGACGGGTCTTCGATGTGACCCCCGGCAAGAACTTCTACGGCCCTGTGCGTTTCCCGCCCATGCATGCAGGGGAGATAGGATTGAAAAGAAAACTGACGAGTTTTGGACAGGGCGGACCGTACGAGAATTTTGCCGGCCGGGATGCGTCGCGCGGTCTGGCGCACCAGAGCTTCGACGTCGAGATGCTCACGCAGGATCTGAAGGGGCCGCTGGATGACCTGAAGGATCTCACGGCGGATCAGCTTGAGAATCTCCAGGGCTGGGAGGAGCGGTTTTCGGAGAAGTATCTGGTTGTGGGAAAGTTGGTTGCCGAGGGGGATCCGGAGGCGCCCAAGTCGTAGGTTGGCGATCTGGGTAGTGGTAGGCGTCGCCTGCACTGTCCGAGTCATTTTGGGGGGAGGATGGCTGATCAATTGATCTGTGGGCTGGGTATTTGCCCCGGGCCGATTGGGGTGCTCATGGCAAGGATGGAACTGATCTGATGGGTGATTTGGATGCTGTATGAGCTACGATCTCAGTTGACTATGATACGATCATGCTCATCTTGCATTGTTCTGAAAATCAAGTGTCGCACTGTACTTGGAGCGTGGATCGCCAGTCTACACTTGATATGTTGATAACTTTTCCTTGCCATTATACCAGACTGAATGGTTATTGCAACATTTGCAAGTGAGTTAGTACCCCCAAAATATCATCTCAATCATCATAACATTCATAAAAAGCAAAACCTCAGAAGGAAATTTAAACCACTTTGTCCTGTCTGCCCCGCGGAACCTCTGTAGATGAAAGCAAAAAGAAGATCATACATACATGATACATTAGCGGAAGGTTAAAGTTAGCTTAGAGTTCGGACCGGATCCGCTCGGTTTCAGCCGACGCCTTCTCCTTCACCTTCTCCGCAGCCTCCTGACCCTGAGCTCGACCGCTCGAGGCTCCAATCTTCAGCTGGTCCATGACCCACTGAGTCCATTCATGGAGCTTGCTGTACAGGATGCCCTGGGGGCTAGTGGTACCATACCGGAAGTACTGGGAGTTACGTCTGGCCGCCGCACGAAGCTCGTTGACACCAGAGCCCTGGTAGACGGGGATACCGTAGGAATCGAGGTATGCCTTGAGCTCGGAGTGGGACCAAGTGTCAAAGGTCGTATCCTTGGCTGCATCGGTGGCTTGCGCCATGTATGAGGTGGCAGATGCCAGGTTGACTCCGCCAGACTTGGAGGCTTTGGCGTAGGCGTCCTGAGCCTGCTTCAGAAGTTCGTCGCGGGTGACGTCTGCACGGTGAGCTGCCTTGGCGTTTAGAGAAGAGAGGTACTTCCTAGAGACCAAGTTAGAAATTAAGATCATACGATTAAGGCACGGTCGTATATTGCATATCTGCACTTACTTCAGCTGTTCGGTGTTCCAGGTGTCAAATGTCCAGGCAGTCCATCCAGTCGCAGCCTTGTGCTTGTTCAGCCTGACCTTGGCAAGCAGCTCGTCGCGCTTGCTAGCCTGAGGAACGGGAACCCCGCGAGCATCCAGGTAAGCCTTGAGACGGGAGTCCGACCACGACTCAACAGCTGCATCGAATGCATCCTGCGCCTTGAGAGTGGCATCATCGGTGGCCCGCGCATACTGGTTGCCGGCCTTGGAAGTAGCGGCGCCAATCAACTCAGTCACTGACTGGGAGGCAGTCTCGGAAGCAACGGATGCCTGGCTGACAAGGGAAGCACGGTGCTTTCTGGCCAGAGCGATGAGCTCGTTGCGCTTAGATCCCTGGGGCACCTTGACGTTGTGCTCATCAAGGAACTTCTTCAGGTCAGAATCGGACCAAGCATTGAACAAAGCCTCACTCAAGCTCGACTGAGCCGCTTCCGCAGATTTCGTGGCAGAGGCTGCAATGTTGCGAGCCTGCAGACTGGCCAATCTGGCGTTGCGGCGCACGGATGCAATAAGCCTGTCCCGAGTCGTTGGCTGAGGTACAGGCCATCCGCGTTCGTCAAGCCATTCCTTCAAGTCGGACTCGGACCAATGCTCATACAGCCAGTTACCGGGGTATGCTGCGGTTTCGCCAAACTTCTTCGCGATCGATTCATAGTTCTCACGAGCGGTTTTCAGAAGCACGTCACGCTTACGGGGTTGAGGGACGGGAACACCATGTCGGTCAAGGAATGCCTTGAGCTGAGAGTCTGACCAACTGCAAGAGGGTTAGCAACGGCTGCTCCAAGCTTGCTTCGCGAACGCCACAGAGGTACTGACGTATCAAAGATCCATTCCTTGGCATGATGCCAGTTGTGGGTGGTATGCTCTGCCGCCTGTCCCAGAGGCTTCTGCACTTTCGAGTCCCAATTGGCCTTGACCAAGCTCTCCAGGTCCTTGCGGTCGGCAGGGGTGGGATAAGGGATATCTAGGGATTCGATCAGCTCTAGTGGTTTCTTCAGCTCGGAGAACAAAGAAATATACCGTGGTCGGAGAGCCACCGCTCCAATTCAGTCTCGTGCCATCTGTTGTAGACTGAAGTGGTGTGGTCAGCAACAGAAAAAGAAGCCGGGTCAATGACAATTGCGTCAGACCTACCTGCTTTGTGGAGCCAGTTGAACGCCCCGACCGCTTGAGTCGATGCGAGGAAGAGCACCAGGCTGGAGCCCAGATTGAGTCTCATCCTGACTGATCGTCTCGACTATGCAGGCCGAATGGATTGTAGTATTTGGTTTAATGGTATCGTGTCAAAGACTCTATGAGGTTGAGATTAGCTCTATGAAGCTCGATGGTAACCTAGGACTGAGATGCCAGTGAAGGAAGGGGAGATCACCTACAGTTACAGGAGCTGGTACTTGAAGAGATAAAGAGGAGGTCCAGAACTCAGGGAATAATGGTCAGGGATAGCGAGTATTTAAGCCGGCCCAGAAGTGAAGTCCAACAGAAGCAACGAGGGCGAGCAGACGTTGGCAAAAAAAAAAAAAATGATGCATCTGGAGAAGATGATAGACGAGTGACGTAGTGCTGTGTGCTGCCCATGTTTGGTGGCCAGTTTTCCATGCTTCGCGGGTGTTGGCGTCATCGACAGAGCATCGCTTTGTGTCCTAAGAGGAGGATGAGACTATATCTACATATGTAACTAGGTCGAATCTCCTGTACTAGGGAAGCCTAGATCCACCTGGCTACGAACAATTCCAGCAGTAAATCAGATTGTCCAGGTATCTAGAAATCTAACTAGTAACAAGTAGAAATAGATACACCCCAATGACGGAGCCCACTGTCTTTAATTAAGCTATGTTTAGTCGCTGCCTTAGGCTGCCAGTCTCCCCGTTCGGGTTAGCGTGGTCCCTGTCCCCGTTTAGGAAATGCGGAGACCTCAGGCAGGTTGTTATCGCCATATCGATCAGCTGTAAGGAGTCGTCGTGGCCACGCCCATTAACCAGCACATCGGCTATCTCTGGGATGAGATGAGATGAGAGAGGGTAGAAAGAAAAAAAGGGGCACTGAATATGCTTCTGAAGTCGACGGCCTGGATTAGGAATCAGTCTGCGACTTGTCTCCCCGTCCGATCAACGACTGGTATCGAACCTGCACATCTTCAGCGATAACATACAACAGCGGGAAATCGATCTGGTTCCTCAAGCCTCCAACTTCTCGTTCTATATAAACCCTCTACTCTGGCGGGCCTGAACCTGGTGCGCTCGCTGCTACCGACATGGATTTCTCCAACCTCGAATGCAGGCATCTGGTCTCTCCAGACTACAAGAACTTTGTCCTCTCCATGTATGCTTTCCAAATAACTTTCTAGGCCCATCCCTTGTCCCCAATGTTAATGAACACAGTTTGATTATCTTCGGGATTCTCCTCTCCTATCTTCCTCAGCATATCCGCATCATCTCCCTCAAGAGCTCTTTCGGGATCTCTCCTTACTTCGTACTACTGGGAACGACTTCGGGGACATCAGCGCTCGTGAACGTTGTGACACAACAACAAAGCTTGCATGATGTGGCATGTTGCAAGAGCATCAACGGAGTGGCTTGTTTCGGGGGACTACTCGGGATCTTCCAAGTCGCAACCCAGTGGTTCTGTTTCGTCATTATGTAAGTCCAACCCCGTCGCTGTCAGATAACGAGCGCGCTGGCTAACAGGGCCATCACTCTTAGCCTTCTGCTTTTCGTTCTCTATTTCCCTCGAGCCACTTCGCCAAGCTCGCCTACTACCTCGGAGTCTTCAACTAGAGATGGCCCAACCCACAAGACAGCCTTGGTGGTGGGCGGTATCTGTATTCTCCACGCTTTGGTAATGTTGATCATTACCGCCGTCTTCGCCCTCCAGCGACCATCGCAGCTCCAGGCCTGGTCCAACTTCTCGGGCGTGGTCGCCGCGATTCTCGCGTCAATCCAGTACTTCCCCCAGATCTACACGACCGTCAAGTTGCGCTGCGTGGGCAGCCTGAGCATTCAGATGATGTGCATTCAGACCCCTGGAAGCCTCGTGTGGGCAGGCAGTTTGGCTGCCAGATTGGGGCCGAAGGGCTGGAGCACCTGGGGCGTGCTGATCGTCACAGCATGCTTACAAGGCACGCTCCTGATGCTGGCCATCTTCTTCGAATACTTTGGTCCCAGCAAGCAACAGGACCATCACCATGGCAAAGATCTTCCTCCAAATGGCGCAGATGAGGGCGCAGATGAGCATCGCGACGAGCAGCCGTCGGAAGAAACCCCGCTCCTTCAAAGCCACTGATCGACATTCAGTGGGTACGAATCGTTGGGTGCCAACTCGAGTCATGGTATTAGTTCAGACCTTGACCAGCTGATCAGGGGTGTGTGAGATGATGAAATCAAGAAGGCAGCTGAGCGGCTTCAAGATTCAATTTGACCAAGATATGGGAGGGAAACAGGTCGTTGGAGGAACCACTCTGTGCCCTGGAGAGCACAGAGTTTCATCAACTATATTCATGGAGCGAAATAAATAGAATAAAACGCGTCTTGTTGCAGGGAAAAGATCTAGCAAGCATCGAGCAGCGCCCTGTGGATGCATGCCCTGTCCTCCCTTGTATTCATTATCGTAATGTAACCATTGCCCTTCGCCTGATTCTTACCCACCCATCGCTTGCCGCGACCACCGGCCACTTCACCTCGGCTCCGCACCCTTTCTTTACGCGGAGGGGTAGATCAGTCGGAACATGTCGTTCAGGACGAAGTAGCTGCCCTGGCCGTCAGGGAGAAGCTGGAAGGTCTGAGCATAGCTCATGGGCTTCTGCTCCTCATCAACCTATAACAAGAATCAATACACACAAGTCCCGCCGAACAGCGAAAAGCGAATCGGAATCAAAAAGAAAACCGAAAAAAAAGAAAAAAAAAAAAAAAAAAAAACATACAAGGAGACCGCCGGTCACCATAACGAAGATACCACCCTGCTCGTTCGAAGGCTGAGCATCGAAAGTCGCGATCTGGTGCTGGACCTTCTGGAAGGGAAGGGCCTGTCGCACGAAGGAATCTCCATCAGCACATCCTCGTCACCCCCCGCCTCTCACAAAAACCACCGCCAGATATGAGCACCCACCGTCAGCTTCTCGATGATGCCGGCGACGCCCTGGACCGAGGAGGTCTCGAAGGTGAGCATCGACTGGTCACGCTGTAGAATGTGCGGTTAGTCCAGTTTCTTCGTCTTCAAACCCGGCCACGCGTTCCAGCCCGCGAGGCACGAGGGTACGGGGTGCTCATACGTAAAGACCAGCCAGAGATTGTCTGTTGCTATCAAAGGTCTGATAGTAGAATTGCACGAACTGCTCTGTTGGTCAAGAAGGAAGGGGTTTGGTCAGATTCGCCGGGTTGTTTGGGTGAATGGATTTGGTGATATCGAGGGGACACGCACGGGCGATGCTCTGGAAGTCTAGATCGAGTGTAACACATGGTTAGTTTTTCATCCTGGCGAGAGTACAGAGGGAAAGCAAATGGTGGTTGTTATATGCGACCAGGCTCAAGCAGCTCGGAGGGGCTGTCAAGGAGGGGCAACAAAACATCAATGCAAAAATAACGGTATCAACAGATACACAACAGCCATTAGAAAGCAGGGAGAGGAGCAACTTACCGGCCATTTTGATATATGGATGAGTCTGGTATCTGGTTGCAACGGAAAGAAATGAATCGAAAAACAAGGTATCTGGATGGGAAGAAAGAAATAATGCTGGACTGATCGCAAATCGATATTTGAATCGGAGACGAGAGAGAGTGTGTGGGGCCTGAGGCTCAGAGCGTCTTTTTATCACCCGCAATTCTTAGTCTCTCCCTTCCTAGTACTATCTATCTACTAAGTAGTAATAACTACTGCCTGAACGGCTCTCTCTGCGCCGCCCGATGCCGCCTTGACGAACATAGATTTACTGGATGGTTTCATTGGCAATATTAAGTAACTTCATCAGGAGTCGTTATTTGTAACTACCCAAACATCACTCCGAATCAGAATCCGCAAACATGTCTTCAGCCTTGGGTCGCGGTTTTCGAACGGGCGCCCGCGGCTCAGGCTGAGATTGCGACTCAGACGGTGGTTTGACTGTTTCTTCTTTGAGGCCAGTCTCTTCCACTAATGGTTCCTCTTCCATTGGGTCTCCATCGGGTACTTCTTCTAGATCACTATCTTCCATAGGCTCACCGTCGATATCACTCATCGGCTCGCCATCGAGACTGTCGCCAGCTGCATGACTGGGGCGCTCATAGTCCACATCCATCCGGCCCTCCTCTGTTTGCACAGGAGGCCGACTCGGGTCGAATTTTCCAGTCGATTCATCCTCTTCCAAAGTCTTCCAGCGACTTTTACCCTTGGAAAAGGCTCCAGATGTCTGTTCTGCCTCTGCCTTCGCCTTCTCTTCCCGTATTTCTTCGGCCGTAAGTGGCGGCTTCTCGAAGACCTGGGAGAAGTGCTCCTGACTCGATTGTGGGAATACGCACCACCCTTCCCAAAGATGCAAGAGTGAGCCTACGCTTCTCTTCCATTTTTCGGCTCGCAGCCGTCCCCAATGCAGGTCCTTTTCCAGTCTCGCAAGGTGCTCAAAAACTTGATGGGACTTCAATGCTGACTCAAACAGCTGCCGATAACGCCAGGCATGACGGACACCGCTCGTAGCGGAGGATGAGAGAATGTCAGAGATAAGGTAAAGGCCGACGAGCTTAGCAGAAGACGTATCCATGTTGTTCTGTGATGACAATCGGACTTCCTCATCGGGCAGGTTTTCGGAGCCATTCCTTGTTGCCTCCTGCCGCGCGAGGCCTTTTTCAATCTCACGATCAGGGTTAGCCCCGGTGTAGGCAAACGGAGTGATGATGTTCATCACAATCAACTCGACTACCTCGTCCGCCCCGGCGCCTGCATGTTCAATGGCGAAAGCAGTAACACGCGCAACATCTCCTTTGCGTAGTTTTGCATGGGTGGTCGGAAGTCGCGCAAGTAGATGAGTGAGTTTCGCCTTTTGTAGAGGATTCATATGGCCGAGTCCTTCGTTACTGCTGCCGACCCCGTCCGCTGGCGGGGCTCCCCCAAGGTTCCGTCGCTCATCCTCCCCATCCGACATTTCCTCGTCAGAAGAGTTGTAATCTTCATCCGAGACGAATTCATCCATGCGCGTGGTGTATTCGAACTTCATACCGCTCTCTGGAGATACCCAGCTCGGGCCACCCTCAAATATCAATGATGCTTTCTGGTTCCTACCTCGATGAGCGCCCTTATTGTGGCGGTTGGTGAGAATGTCCCATAGCTTCCACCGATAGTAAACTCCGCCAGCACTCCTCGGGTCCCACATCCAAGCCCACTTTTCGTCCCTTTGCACCTCAGGTCGACTCATTAGCAGAGCCTCAAACTCTGGGCCGTAGTTCAAAAGATTCTCCAAAGTCTTGTGTATGAGTTTCAGCTGCTTCAGATCTGACGGCGGTTTTACCTCCACCTGCGTGACGGAACCACTTCGGCTATACGACGGACCATAAGACGTCGGCGGTGCAAACGCTCCCCGATGAGAACCCGGAGGCGGCGCTCGATTCATACGGCCGCCATATTCAGATGCAATGGTCTTGGCACCAAATGGAAGAGAGCTCGTTGACGATAGACCCACGGTGACCGGGATCGAAGAACTGATTGCGGCGGAAGAGAGATGCCTCGAGATAGACAGATAATAGCCCCATCCTAGGTATCGATTTTGTAGTGCACTGACTGCAGAATCTATGTCCGAAGCAGCAGATTCATTCGCGAGGGTCACAATAGCGGAAATTGACTTGCGATCGGTCGCAGACTGGCCAGAGGGTCGAAGGATTTTCACGTTGTCTACCGACAAGACCGATGGTATCAGCGATTTGATGACGGAAGGAGAAGTTCCCGGCGGGAGCGAAGCCAGGTACAACGTAGGTTTCGCGGCTGCTCTTTCGGCCTCCTTCGCTTCGGCTGTCCTGTCCTCTTCGTCGTCCGAGGTGCGAAAGGCCGACGCGGCGGGTGAAGACCCTGGGCCTGCGTTTTCGAATCCTAAAATACCCTGTGTAGAATCTCTGTTCCCGCGAAACGGTTGGAACCCTTCATGATTCCGTTTGCGAGATAGCGAGGGTGGAGGAGGGCCCAAAGTCCCTGGGCCGCTATTGCGAGGTCCGGAGCTGGTGAAATGTCGTTTCGCCGGACCACCTCCAAATGCTGCCCCTCTCCCCCCAAACTTATTGAATCTGTTCTCTGTATTAGGTCGATCCGTATTCAGAGAATCGTCCTCGAATGATTTGACAAAATCCTCGTAGACTGCAGCTGTCTCGGCTTGCTCTCGGGCACGCTTGGCTTCGGCTTCGGCTTTCTGACGCTCAAAGAGAGACTTCTTAGGTAGGGCAGAGAGTTTGGCTGAAACTTCCGAAAAGCCCTTGGGTTTTGCGTCGTCAGGCATCGTGGAGAGAAGCTGCCAACGCAGCGAATTGCTTGTCTTGGTATTCACAGGGACCGTATAGAGAAGGCTTGGAGTAACTTGCGACCATACTGTTGTCCAGCTATCGGAGCGGAGGCGGAGATGGTTGCAGCCTGAGGCATGAAACACCTACTTCGTAATCCTCACATGCACTGGCAAATTGTATTTGCTACAACAAACACAATCCTTCAATAATAATCAGTGATGGCTACGGCTCAGATACAATCTCTACTGCGGTTCCTGTCGCAAGATGCCAAAGTCCCATTGGCGTCTGCCATGGCCAAGGTCATGGATCTCCAAAAAGCCAACCTGACATCGTATGGGAACCCATCCTGCATCCATGCATTTTTATTAATACATGAGCAGTGTCGAGCAAGTATCAAAAGCAGAGCTTAAGGCTCTCCAGGAGATATTTGGAGATGTTAAACTTGCGAAGCAGGTGCTGAACGCAGGAAAGAGGGTTTCCAAGAAACGACAGGCGCCAACTGGTAATGCAGAATCACCACGCAAGAAAACCAAGGGTCCAGCTCTCCGTGAGACTCTATCTCCATTTGAGGTGGAATGTGGATTAGCTCTGCCCACTTCGTCTGCGTCCGATGATGAACTGTCGCAGGTTGCTGTGCTTACTAACCGAGCACCTCTTGTGCTTGCTTTCGCAGTTTGTGCCTTGAAGTACACAATGCCGGAGCAGCCGATCTCAAGCAGGCTCAGCCTAGCTCAAGCTGTGGTCAGTGCCAACAGCCGTTCCCAGGCTATTAGCTTGGGGATCGAAAGTGGGAAAAATGCCGAGCAAGAGGGATGGGGTGAGGGTCAGCCGGTGATCAAGGTGTTAGGACGCGAAATAAAGGTGTTGAAGCGGTGGGATTACGACCCTAGAGAAGGCAAGCCCACAGAAGAACTCGGTCCAGAGAATGGCGGGGAGGCTGCACCAAGCTTGAATGATGTGATTGGTATGAGAGGCTCAGATACCTTGGGCTCTTCACCTCCCCTTTGGGGCATAGACCTCGAAGCCATGCGCACTTCCCAGAGCAATGTCTCGAGAGGTGCAGCCAAAACTGATAGCAATCTCCCGATTTTTACGCCAAACTCAGCACGATCATATCTGTTCAAATCGTTCACGGCAGCAACTACCGAAGGTGACAAGATCCCGGGCACAGGGAAACGGAAGACTGTGGCGCAAGTCGAGGGTGAAAAGGAGGCTTGTCTGGGGCACTTGCTACGAGCTATTGACAGTGTCTGTCAATCTTGGGCCAGCACTCTCAGCAGGGAGGAGCTGGACAGACGTGCATGGGCCTGGTATCTTCGCGTACGACCAGATGTTCAGAGTGGTCCAGGAGGGTGGGGGGAAAAGGGGCATGTGAGACTGTCTGACATTCTGGAGCTTCGAAGAGAACCTTGAGCGCCGGCTGGCTACCATTTCTTAACCAAGCAGGAAGTCGATGAGGCTAACGCTTCGTACGCGCTCATGATGGAGAAACAGCCACATCTACAGCATCATGCTCAATGACACTCTTTTCGACTGGCACGATAGAGTCATTCTATTTGGCACATGTTTCGCTTTGTCGACGAGAGGCCCAAAAGTGGATGTCCATCACCGCGATATTTGTGGTTCCTTTGCTGACGAGTTCTATCCCCAATTTTGTCTCGTTCAGCTGATATTGATCAAAGGATCCATCTGCCGCCAGATATGAGCGAAGCTTAATCATTTACACTCCTTCTCTGGGATGCAGAGAGGATATCGTTGGCTTGGCTCATAGCTGCCCACTGTCCTTATACACCGTTCTGAGTTCTGAAAAATTATACCCGCCTGTTGCCTCAGGCAGCACATGGTGACGACAAGTATACAACTGCTTTGCAGGCTGCACTTCAAAAATATCGATTGTATGCTTCAACCTAGCCAGAACCATGGATTCTTTGCCAGGTAGCAGCACTGGGGGCTGCCACCTACACTCCTCGTTGTCGAACAACTACCAACCCATCCCCTCGATCTCCCAGCTTCTCTTTTTTTCAACTTCAATCCTTGTCTCAAACACACTGTTGCTCGCCGTCTACTCAATTCTTCCAACTCATAATTTGTCTGAAGCGTATATCTATCCAGAGTCTTGCTAAAATGTGGTCTACTTCGGCACCCAATCTCACCACTCGGTACAAGCAGCTCAAAGCTCTGCAGTCACGGCTTGAAAGCCTCCCTGAGGGTTCCCTCTCTGAACCTCATCTCGGGAGCCTTGGTGTCCACGTGTCAGACTTCGACATTGAGTCCGACAAGGCGCCAGATCTACGGGCTCGTTTCTTCTCTCCCCTCCCCCGGGAGCATGTCAAGAATTCTCCATGCAAGCTTGATCCTGAAACGAAGGAAGCTCTGCGAGAAAAGAACCCGGAATACCTCAAGCCAGGCCACTCTCAGGATTGGGATGAACTACATTGTCTGGATTTGGGGCAACTGCGAAAGATCTACGCCTCTCTCGGCTTGAACGACCCTTTGCTCGGCACCCTGGGCGTTCACGCCTTCACGCTTCTAGAGCAACTAGACCCTCAAGCTAAAAGACCTTGGGAACCTATCGACGAAGGGTACGAAAATGCAGCCTCCCGTCCCAGCATCACCTGACACTGACAGACTCGTCCAGCTGCGACAAGTATTACGGCCGCCTCCCGCGGGAATCAGATCCCAATGCACGACTGCGGTGGGAAATTGCTGCTGCCTTCAAAAGCCGTCATGGCAGAAAGCCTCATGTTTACCTCATCCTGGAAGCAGACTATGACGGTGACAATCTGCTCAAGTGTGAGATGAGCAGCATTATCAGCTTTATGCTGGCCAGTATGAAGCTGGAGTCCTCCAGGCGGAAGTCAACCGATTCTTGCCAGCGCTGCTATACTATCTTTCCAGTGAGTATATCAATGCCAGCCCCTCTCTCACCTTAGTGCTCCATTCTGACCCATCAACTAGGTTTTCATTATATCGGTCCTCAATCCCGGCTATGCCCGCGTGATCCAGGCATATTTTGATGGTACGCTGAGAATCCAGCGCAGTGCCACCTATGATATTGAAAGCTGTGATCACGAATCAGTCATGACTCTATTCTCTCGGTGGTTGGATATCGCACCTAACGGGATTACCACCTGGATCCCGTCTCTCTCATCCATCGAGGAAAGCTCCGAGGAAGAATCTTGAATGCGTCTCCTGGCACTCTTTCCTGGTTTCCCCACAGCGGTTTACAGGTTTTAACGAGGTCAGTGATGTGAGCATCTGAATTCCAGTTCTTGTCCCCGTCGAGCAAAGTTCGAAGAAAGCACTTTCAATCTCCTAGCACTCTTTCCTGGTTTCCTATCGAGGTTTTACGGGTTTTAACGAGGCTAGCGATATCAACATCTGGATTCTAATTACTCCCGCGGAGGACATCTCCTTGAATCCTTCTCCTGGCACTCTTTCCTGGTTCCCCACAGGGGTTTACAGGTTTTAACGAGGCCAGTGATCATTGAGCAATCTGAGTCTCAATCCTCATCAACAATGAAAGTCGAGAATACGTCTCCTTTCTAAGATCAAAATTTATATTCGACTCATTTCGGACAAGACCGCCATTACGAACCGCAAATTTCAACGAGAATGCCAGCTCCACATAAGCGAACGAGAACTTCGACCAGCACATCCACGGATGCAGCGAATATCTGAAGACAACCGAACATTTCCTTTTCTTTTGGGAGTATTCACAGCGAGGTCAAAACAACCAAACAAGCAAGGGACACAATCAATCAATCAACCAATCAATCAATCATATTTTCGCCTCCTAACCAATGTCCACTGATTGTCATGTGTCTTCGTAGCTTCAGCTGCACATAAGATGTTCATACGGTCCGCTCTATTGGGTAGTTTGTAGTCCGTAGTTAACGGTAGTAGAAAGAAGCTCGTCCTGAAATCATTCCCAGTCTAGCAGGTCTCCGGGTGTATAATACTGAGGGAAAAGCCGAACAGTGGATCAAAACGGTTGTGCCTTTTCGAGATCCGGCGAACCTCGTTGTCGAAACCAAGAACGGTCAAGCCTTTGACCCAATGAAGCCTCTACCCAGTGGCCCATGAGATCAGAATGCTAAGTTGGTACCTGAGGTCTACCAAGTTCATCGTTTTCAGGGTCCATCGAGTCGTCGAATGTGGTTGGTGATAGCACTAGACTGTGATGATATAATCCCGGCTTGACTATTTCAATGGATTCGCCAAAAGTCTGTACTCTGTACTCGGTAGATACTCTGTACCATGATTGCCATCGGACTTGGGTTTCTCCTTTCGGTTCCTGTGAATTTGCTGTGGACCCGAGTTGTGGTCTCAATTCTAATTCTCAAAGCTCACCCAAGACCCAACTCCGTTTGACAACGGCGCTGCACTGTCAGGTTGTCAGCTTAGTCTTAGACTATTGAGTCTCTCTATCCGTACTCGCTAGCAATATCACATTCCCAGAGTCCAGAGTCCAGAGTCCAGGATCCACTGGCCTTCCGAATTCGGACGGATAGAGATTTCCGTTCCAGGTAAGTTGATGGATCATTCATTCTATGAGTTCTTCAAGGCAAGGCTATCTATCTATGTCATTTGCAATTCTGCATTGACGATATTTGGGTTAGGCTCATAGGGGTCCGTCCTTGTCCTTGGTAGTCAGTCATGATCCATCCATCTAACTACTAGTAGTACATTAGGTACTCCGTAGGTGACTAAATAGGTGGTGGGGGTCGTAATGTTGTTAACTTGCTACAGATATTCCCTTGAGTCCTCCTCTGCAACATCAATGCAGTGACAGGTATTGATTCTCTTGGTCTATTCGCGAGTGATCGGGTGATATGCCAGACCGGGTATGTACATTGATCCATCTCATGACTCTAGACAGGGATGCCGCAACCAGTTAACCTGCTAAATACATACTCCGTAGTTACTCTACAATGTCTGTCTGTCTGTCTGTCTGTCTGTCTGTCAATCCTCAATCCTCAATAGGCGCTGGGGCCTGTGGGAATTCCTTCCAAGTTAACTACGGCAGTCTGTGTATTATTATTTGAGAGTGTTTCAGAGTTGAATGGTGTAAGGCTTTGTAAGCTTGGCATCGTCATACCCCCATACCTTAGTTCCTTACCGTACGGCTAAGGCATTCAGGCTGCACGGTGATTTGTGAAGACTGAAGAGGCGGTTCGTTGTCTTGGAGGAAGCCCCAAGGAATAGGATTCTAATCCTATGGTAACGATGGAATAATAATGGAAGAGTTATGGATGAGATGGATGAGATGGATGAGATGGATGAGATGGATGAGATGGATGGTTTTATTATTATTATTATTCTTATTTGTAGAGTGGAAAAGTCAATAGACTACTCCGTAGATAGATTCTTCTTCAATGTGGCAATCTCAAGAAGTTCCTTCGGCGCAGAATAAACATCACAGATCATCTCGTAGATTGTACCTGAAGGTATATGTGTATGTATACTCCGTAGTAGATAGATAGAGCCTGAGACCTTTAACTTTGAAGAAACCTTTCCGAGATCAAATCAACAAATAATCATCAACACAAAAATCCTTCCTCATCGAACAGAGGGATTAATTGATGAATTGAAGACTGATCACTAATAATAGGAGCCCTTTTTCCGGGATGGTGTCCAGGGAGGAAAAGAGCCCACTTTGTTCTGCGCCTCCCCCGAGACTAAAAGCGTAGAGAACAGAGAAAGAGAGAGAGAGAGAGAGAGAGCCTGAGCGACTGTGTTGTGAGCATATGCCATTAGGATTTACGTAGGATACTGTATCCCAGGACTTGTCTACCAAGTCTTCTCCTCTCACTCTCCTCTCCCTCTCTTTTCTCTTCCCCCCCCCTCCCCCGAAAGAGAAGAATCACTTCTACCATCCACCATTCCTTATCTCGACCATCAATAATTCTCTCTTTCACCATCAGGAGGAAGGGAGGACATAATTTTACTGCTCTCTGGGGTCTTCTCCTTCATTGTATCGCTCTATAAACTTCTGTTCCATTTCCGCTTTCTCTCCCCATCTCCATCTCTCCATCTCCCCATCTGCCTAGTATTCCAGTCAATTCCCACAGGACACTCTCGTTCATCTGACAGGATTCCAAACCCCTCCCCTCTCTGTGGCCGACTGATCGGACACTACAGGAGGCCCGACAGGGCTGCATAACGCCATGTCTGGACATCTCCCATCCGATCACTCGCGTTCCCTCTCGCAATCCTCTCAGTCTCTCTCTCGACGGCGTTCACAAGGGCCGGATTCCGACTCAATGCATTATCGCTCTCCTTCCGGTCGCTCTTCCAACCCCAACGTGTTCTCAGACGAATATTCGCTCGACCCGATCGATTCTGAACGGTCCACGCACACCCCTCGCAGTCCGTCGATTGCCTCGATCGCTTCGTCTCAAACCCTTCGCTCCAATACCGTCCATCACCAGAAATCATATGGTTCTGTACCTAATGACTCGCCAGAAGTGACAGAGAACCCGTTTGGCGACGAGGCTCGGGTCTCCTTCGACGAACCGCCTCGTCGATCGAGCTTACCACAGAAAGGAGTCGAGTACACCGCCGCCCGCAATTCCACGGCGTCCAGTAACACGGCTCCCTCCATAGCGCAGCGCAGTCAGAGCACCTCTTCACGTTTCTCCTTACCTCCCCGGGCAATGAGCCCCTACACCGGAGCGACCGGTCCCAGCCATCCATATGCGATGTATCCGCAGGTCGGAGTCAGCCGGTCGCCCAGCATCACTACCATCTCTACCGTTCGACCATTGGAGCAACCGCTGGGAGATACAAACGCGCCGCAACACCCGTACGCCATGTATCCGCAGAACGTCGTGGTGGAGGAGGGGATGGACGCGCCAATGGACAATTCCATCATCCCGCTCGGTTTTCCCGGACATGAACAGACCTATCAACGACCCATTGGCCGTGCCGATGACGACGTCGGGGATCTTGTGGGACCGGACGGTCATACCGAACAGCTTCCACCCTATTCGCGATATCCCGACGGGGTGGTGCCCAAAGAGGAAGATGAAAACCTTGAGTCTGGACTCGGTGCTGGCATCGCAACAGATGAGGTAGCCCCTCGCGTATCCCAGGAACATCCGGTATCGGAAGTGTCTTCAGGGACGCTGGTTGCAGGACCTGAAGGAACTGCAAGAACCGCACCTAACGCTCCCCCTCCGCCAGCACCAGTGGAACCGCCGGTAACAGGAGTGATGGCGTTTGAAGAGAAACTGAAGAGGAAAGGAAAGAAAAAGGCGTGCTGCGGGCTGCCAGTTTGGACACTGGTTCTTGTCGGCGTTGTGATCTTCGTGGTGGCCTGTATCGCAGGCGTCATTGGGGGTGTTCTCGGTGCAAAGAAGGCGGCAAGCGATGAGAGTGCGAAAGACAAGGGCCCACACATTGTGACTGTGACTGCGACACCCCGAGGAGACGCAACGCCTATAACGTCCCTGCCGACGGGTCTGCCCCCCGTGCCGACTGGCGAGTTCGTCATCCCCGCGGGCCCTAAAAACCAGTCGAAATTCTGCGTGGCTGAGCTGGATTACACCTCATCCTGGAGCTGCTTATCTCACGGGAAAATCCCCATTGCCGTGCATGGAAAGGGCGATTACCGCAATATCACCTTTGAACAAGCACCCATCAACTCGGACTTCAGCTATGGCGCCCAGGCGCCGATTCTACATGCGACCCAGGAACTGAGCCCGGCCTACGACTCGAACGACATGAATCTCGGTCCTGCCCTTACCTTCTTTACCCTGTTTGACAAGCTGGTTATCTTGCCCCAGGATACTCTGTCGTCGAGTGCGGCTTCGAAGCGATCAGTGAGCGAGAGCGAGATTATGGTCAATGCTTTCCACCGCAAACAGACCGTGGAGGCTGGCGACCGACCATGGTTTTGTTGGTGGAACGGCACCGTGATTGAATTCTTCCTGTACATGAATCAGACTACCAAGGATGCCCGCTACAAGTACCGCACCACCACGACATCGCCTCCAGGAACCATTGGAACCCCCGTGTCGCACCACAAGAAGCGAGGCACCATTTCTCAAGACTCTCTGTTCGATTACCCCCGTCGGATCAAGGTGGAAGAGAAACGGAATCACCCTGGATCTCCGGCGCCCTACTGCCAGCAGATGCAGGTGCTGGACAATGGTTCGATCGCATCGGCGTCGCCCGAGACGATTCAGATCAAAGAAGTGGAACCCACCCCGACAACCACCTTCAAAGGGTTTGGCAGTGCAACGCAGACCTATACTGCGAAGGCACAGTACGAGAGCGTGTGCTACTGCGCGTCTCTGACCGATTAGCTTGTTTTTTCTCTTCTGCTGCTATTCGTGAAGTAACAGTCCCTTCAGACCCAGGCGTCGGCGTTCCTCGAATGGTCGTTTCCCCTTCCCCCTGCGTGATGCGCATACGAACGATTCCCTTGTCAATTTTCTGCATGATCTCACGAGTTTTATCTGCCTGGGGCACTTATACTACTGACATTGGCGTGGCGTGCATTTTCTGCCAAATGAGCTTTCCCTGTACTCGTTTTCTCAGTCTCTGTTTGATCTTTTGGCTACCGCTGTGGTTGCGTGGCTTGTGGCTCTCTATTTGCGTCCTGAATATCCCTTTTTTTTTTCGTACTGGCATTATTTTTCTGTGGGTGTTTTTGCTTCGACGGCGTTGTGCAGGCGGACTATCGTGCATCAAAAACACACATTTGTTTTGAGTCGTGCTTGTGGGCAGACGTATTTTGCCTATATCTGCTTGCGTGTCTGAGATTCGATACCTACTTTATCGGTGGTGTTCCATTCATGGACAAGAACTGCTCTGTCCATCCGCAGAGTACAGAATCCATAATTACCAAATGAACCACGCAACATCTTCCATGAAAATTTTTTTTATCATCTCTTTGTAACTTGGAATAAATCTTTTGAATGGAAGATGGGACAAGTTGTTGCGACTTCAACCAGATCCGCGAGGGAAGATGACTCTGTTTGCACGTCATTGTTGCTCCCGTTGACATCCACTCCCAGCAGAAAACAACCGACACGCCACCAGCATGCCCTGATGTACGGCTGGCGATGAATGATGTGCTGGTCGAGGACGATCGATCGATTCATTCCCTTCCATTCCATATAAAAATCCCATTGCCTGTATTCCAGTCGTGCTAGTTCATCCTCTTACCTATCCCACCCCCCCCCCCAAAAAAAAACACATCGACTAGTATTCCAAGTACAGCCACAATGAACTCGATTCTTGGCCGCAGTCTTCCCTTGAAGACATTCCAGCCTTCTGGCCTCTCCATCAGTCGCCAGAGAGCCCTCTACGCCCAGTCCTGGCGGTTGTACTCTTACAGCTCGTACGGCGGCGAGGGCGAGCAGCGCCCAGAGGATCAGAAGAACCAGGCGACTCGCGACATTGAACATCCAGGTACGTACTTACTTACCTCTCGACTCTCGATAAGATGGAATCCACAGTCGTTCGACGAGTCAATCGTCTAACAGCCAGGGCAGGTCCCCCACCCCCAGACGTCAGCAAGGGCTCGTCCTCTTCTTCTTCTTCTTCTTCCTCCTCATCCACGCCAAGCTCTAGCCCATCTTCATCGTCAGGTTCAAGCTCCAGCTCCAGCTCCAGCTCAACCTCGCAACCGCCTTCCGACGAAGAAACCCGGCGTGCCAACGACGGCGCTGAGGTGAGCCCGCACGTCACAAACCGACCGTCGAATAACGCGCGCCCGACGCTGAACGACGGGCGGCAGTCGCCCAACATCGACGCGCAGGGGAAGACGCGGTCTGATGTGCCGGAGGACGTGAAGCGGCATAACGCGGAGATGGAGAATCGGCATGATCGGCCGTATAACCAGTTGGGAGATGAGGGGAAGGTGCAGAAGGGGTTTTGGAAGATTCCCAAGTAGACTGGAGGGTTAGTACTCTGTTTGTTGGGTTGTATTTCATGTGAGGATGGTTATGGATTTATATTTCTCGTGTAATCTGGTCTTTGATATGAATCGATTTGGATGATTGACATCTGTTGACATCTGTAATTGTTGAAGTGCTCTTGATAGTTAGATAGAGGGTACGATGTCTCAGTAGTCTGTCTATGACTATTCTGGCCACTTGTACTCCGAATGATTCGGTCACCACGAATGCGGAGCTCCGCTGCTCTCAGGGGACTCGAACAACCAACATCAAACACATCAACACCAACACCAACACCAGATTTCCTCTCCACGCTTCGGAGTACTTTGTTACCAGACATTATCTATTCTCTTGCGCAAATCCCCCCCAAAACAAAAGAAATGGGTGCCACCAAGAACAAGTACTCGGTGATTCTGCCAACATACAATGAGCGCAAGAACCTCCCTATCATCTGCTGGCTGCTCGAGCGGACATTTCGCGAGAAGTACGACCGACGCTGATCTATCTTTTTTTTTTTTCCCTCTCCCCCCTTTGTCACTCTATCACCTTTTCCAAACTAACGCGCTCTCCTCCCTCACAGCAACCTCGACTGGGAAATCGTGATCGTCGACGACGGCTCTCCAGACGGCACCCTCGAAGTCGCCAAACAGCTGCAGGCGCTCTGGGGCCCGGAGCACATCAACCTGAAGCCGCGGGCCGGCAAGCTCGGGCTGGGCACGGCGTACGTGCACGGGCTACAGTACGTGCGCGGCAACTACGTGATCATCATGGACGCGGACTTCAGCCACCACCCCAAGTTCATCCCGGAGATGATCCGGATCCAGGGCGCGACGGACGCGGACATCGTCACGGGGACGCGGTATGCGAGCCGCGACGGCCTCAGCGGCGGGGTGTATGGCTGGGACTTGTTCCGCAAGTTCACGTCGCGGACGGCGAACCTGATTGCCGATGTGATGCTGATGCCCGGGGTGAGTGACCTGACGGGCAGCTTCCGGCTGTACAAGAAGAGCGTGCTGGAGAAGGTGATTGCGAGTACGCAGAGCAAGGGGTACAGTTTCCAGATGGAGATGATGGTGCGTGCGAAGGCTATGGGCTACAAGGTCGCCGAGTGTCCGATTACCTTTGTCGATCGCTTGTATGGCGAGAGTAAGCTGGGCGGCCATGAGATTGTCGAGTATCTCAAGGGCGTGTTGACTTTGTGGTTGAAGGTTTGATTCTCCTTCGCGCCGTTTCTTGACCCCCTCTTTCTACCCTCTCTCTCTCTCTCTCTCATCCTTGCCTTACTGCGCGGGTTCTCTTTCTGCTTGACTCTTGAGTGAAAACTCCATATCCCATGCATACCCCGTGTCTCTTATGTCTCTAATACGTGTCTGCCACGTCTTCCTTACCATCTGTCTGGCCGTTCTGGCATTTTTTCCTTTCTATGTCTGTGTATAATAAAACTCGAATCCTCATGACATGATCATCCATTACTCCCAACCTTAGGTCGGTAGGACCTCAATCACAAGGATGGTGCCTAGATCCCCTCCAGATAGCGAGAGACACGCTCCACCAACTCAGCCTGCCCTTCATCCTTGACAGTATGACTCGCCCCAGCGATGATCGCACTGTTTCCATCCCACGCGCCCTCCTGCCCAGCCTCTGTCGCCAGCCTCCACCGCTCCATCAGCGCCCCCTTATCCGCCCACGGCGCCGCATACTCATCACTCCCCGAGTACAGCACCAGCAGCCTCGACCGCAGCAGGCCTTTCGTCCTCACCACCCCAAACGTCTCCCGCAGCCTCTCGTCGCTCAGATCCGAGCTGAACAGATCATCCACCGCCGGCGCAGCAGGGCTATCCGGACTCGCCAGACTGAAGAACCGCGCCGCGCTGATCGGGTCACCCGGCAAGCCGACCTTCCGAGTCAACCCCAGCGGCAGGATCTCATTCTCATCCGCGCTGCTCTCCAGCCGCGCCTGCGCAACCAGCTGCTCGAACGCGCCGCGGGCCTCGGCGCCCGCAGGCCCGGGCTTGCGCGTCTCCGCAAGCATCGCCTCGCGATCGGAGACGGGCGCCTGCAGGATCGCGCCGTGCACCGGCGGCCGCGGGCGCGACGCCGGGTTCGCCGCGTACAGGTAGTGCAGCACATCCTGGCTGCCGGTGGAGTGGCCCATGATGACGACTTTGCCGTCCGGCGCGGCAGACGCCTGGAGCTTGCGCACGTACTCGACGCACTGCGCGATCTCGGCCACGTCCTGGTCTAGGCTGCCGGTGCCCCAGCCGCCGAAGGAGGAGGAGAGCTGAGCCTGGAAGACGGACCAGGGGGTGGGCTCGAGGGCTTTGGCGAGGGCGGGCACGTAGGGGACGGTGCAGAGGCCGTCTTGGAGGCCGCCGATGAAGATGAGGCTGTGTTGTTTCTCGGGGGTGGAGCTGGTGAATTCGAAGGCGACTCGTCGGGGTGCCTGGGTGGGTTTTAGTTGGGAGGTTGTTGGGTTTGGGTGTGGACTTGTGTTTATGGGGGGGTTGACTTACATATTCATGCAATGTTCCTGGGTGGGCTGCGCTGGCCATGGTGACTTTTCTTTCACGAGTATGGACGATGGGTAGGAAAAATGCGGAAAATATTTACAGATTTGATAGAGAACAGAGAAGAAGAAAAACAAAAGGAAGCTGAGACCCTGAGATGGATAGTTGTAGATGGTGAAGTGCAGCTGGAGGACATGAATATATATATATATATGTCACTGCTCCGTACTTAACTTCACGACTTGCTCCACCTGAGCGGGGTGATTCTGTGATCGAATCGGTCTTTTGGCGGCTGCATGGATATCCTGGGGAGATCCATATTGATCTCATTAGCTTGTTGCTGCGAATCTCAATCAGGAGAATTGTCTACATATAGGAGATCAATGCTGAAAATGTCTTCTATCAAGGCTGTTAATGAGTTACCCTACAGTCGCCGTACAAGCAATTTCCTTCGATGAGGGAATCTATGTACTTGTCTCTCACAACTTAAATGATTATAGTGATTGGCGTCTTCGGGGATAATAGCCTATTGACAACGCTATGACCAACCACGTCTCCATGTCGAGCGGTACCTGCTGGATCAAGAGCAGGAGAAACTGCAGGAACTGACAGAAATGAGGGATGTCATCGGTATCGATGCTGTGGGCTGGGCCCCTGATGATGAGCGCCTTGAGACTTACCAGTACCAGAGCCCCTGCACAGTCTATCAAGGCGAGCCTGCTGGAGCACTCGAAGAAGGATGTTGAGCGGACTGTTGCAATCGCTCATTTTCCTTTTGATGGTCATGATGAGGATGTTTCAACTTCTCATGAGTGTAGTTTGGCGATCGATACTTCTCGACTATATATTTGCAAGGCTTGAGGGATGCTAATCCGATTCAGCATGATAACCCCAAGCATTTTGAGCGCTGACCGTTGCTCCCAAACTGAGTACAAGTACCCTAAGGCCATCAATAGGGTTCAAAAATAGATAGACTGATAAAATAACTTACTCCGTAGTATCCTGGATATAAATGCCTTGTTCTCTCAACCGATTGGTATTGAAAGCGTTCTGCGATGTAATATTACGCCAAGACTCAGTACAGTACCCGTCAACAGCAGGATATCTCAATGTATTAGAGAACAGCTAGAGAAACAAACTCCAGTCTACTTTAAAACGCAAACAGCTGTTATAATTCTCGTCATCATATTCTGACATCACTGAACCCTCAATTGTACAATCATCAATCCAGGCGCACTAGAAACATTGGAAGTTGCAGAAGGAACATATGCTGGGTGCCTGGTGCTCCTTGACCTCAATCCTATCCGTGTGAAATCCGTGTGTTCGTCATCGCCGCCAGATGCCTCGCGCACGTAGGTCTACCCGCCTCTCTGGCGCAACGACCAAATATACCAGTGATCCGTTTGAGGTCGCTGGAGTAAGCGATGACTTCGACTTCGCAGAGGGACCGTCTGTCCCGGGGCGGAGAGAAAAGCAGCCTATCTCTCCAGAGATCTCATCAGATGAAGAATACAAAGAAGCCCAGAACGATGCGACGGAAGGGCGGGGAGCTGAGGACGAAGACGACGATGAAGACGGAGATGTAGAAATGGTACTCGAGGAGCCAGATGATGAAGACGAGCTTAATGACGATGACACCGACGCCGTCAAGCCGAAGAAGGCAAAGAAGGCGAAGGCTCCAGCGAGGGCTTCTTCAAAAGCAAAACCCCCCCGAAGCCGGCCTGAGGACCGCACGGTGGCGATCGCCGAAGATGAGACGCATTTCAGAGGCACCTGGAACCCCATCGAGCATATGGGCAAGACCATCCATATGAAAGTGACCTTCGGGACTGACGAGAGAGACCTGCTCTCCATGGCGTACACGAGGGACCGGTTTGCCAGGGGGGTGGACGCGGCGTTTCCCACGCGGGCGTCGCTGGATGAGGCCCAGACACTGCCTGATTATAAGTATGGGCCTACTTTTGGCGCTGAGCCGGAAGACGTCAAGAAGGAAAGTACACGAGGATGGGACTGGTACTACGCTGATGATATTGGGGGTCGGGCTCGCAAGAGGCAGCGAATTGAACCGATTGGCGAGGAGGAGGCTCGCTCGCGGTACATGATGCGGCAGGAAAAAAAGCTGACGGTGTTTATTGGGCCGGTCGATGAGCAAAAGAAGTTCGAGTTGCGGCAGAATGAAGCTGCCGATTTTGGTGAGGCTTGGAGAGATAAGGGGAAGAAGAGCGATTTTGAACCGAAGACAGCGACGCGTGAGGGATGGCTTCTGAACATGGGGCAGAAGATTCAAGGTATGGCTTGGGTGCCGAATCAGCCAGGTCTTACGCAGTATCTGGCGATTGTTGCTCCCATCTCCGACGAGCAAAAGGAAGATTACCCGGATCCCATGAAACATCAGGCTGGGTTGGCATTTCGACCGTCGCCTCTTTATCCTTGTGCACTACAGATCTGGGCATTCAAAGCCAAAAGGGATGATGTCCTGACGAAGACCCTCGATATGAAATTCAAGCCGCGACTGCGACTGGCGCTCTGTACGGATTGGGGGGATCTTCGTCGAATAGCCTGGTGCCCTATGCCTCGAGCTCCACGAGACGAGGACGACGAGGACCCTTTGAAGCATTTGGGCCTGTTGGCCGGAGTCTGGGGGGATGGCTACGTCCGAGTGATTGACGTGAAGCTCAGCCGAGATCCCAGTGCAACGGAGTTCAGTAAGTGGATCAAGTCTGATTGACTAAAATGCCGGCTGATTATCTGTAGAAAGAGTTCATTCTCCGGTCTTCGAGGCCAAGCCACCGTCAACAGTGTGTACATGCGTAGCCTGGCTTTCTCCCACTGACATCGCCGTCGGCTGCGCCAACGGGTTTGTTGCTATCTGGAGTATCATACCTTCACCGGAGTCGCCAACAAGCCCGATGCCCTACTTCTACGAGCCACTCCATCGGACATATGTTCTAAATCTCACGTCGGCCTACCCGACCCACCCTCATCTAATCTGCACGACAGCGATGGACGGAGAAACCCGCATGTCATCGATCATTGACTACCAGAAAGACACGGTTGAAACGAATCGTATGCGGATGGGATCGCCTCACGTATCCTACTCCCCCTGGCTTCACTCCTTCCTGTCCAGCGATGAGAACGACTTCGTTCGGCTCCTCGCCGTGCGACGCTTCTACACCACGAGCGCGGTGGCACGGCTCTCAAGCACGGCTTCCGCGCTCGCGCCATGCAGTTCCTGGCACCCAAGTATCCTACTGGGCTGCGCCGGTGGGGCGGTCATCGCGACAAACCCTATTCGGCGCTTACTTCACATCAAAGAGAAACAGTGGCAGCAGACGTGGTTCACGCATGAATGGGTGCGCGGCAAAGAGGCGGACAGCGCAGGGGGGGTGAGCCGGTTCATCGATGGGTATCGGGCCGAGAGCATCATGTTGTCGCGCAATATGGTGGGAGACCGCAAGATGGTCAACGGGATCATGATGCTTACCATCTTCGACGAGGGAACGCATGTTACGGCCTTGGCATGGAATCCCAACCAGCCATGTGCAGGATGGGCCAGTGCTGCTCTCGGGTCTGGGTTGCTCCGGGTGGAGGATTTGGCGATTTGAAGATCGTTTGTTGATCGCCTGTTTTCCTCGGCGCTGTATGCTTTGACCCGAGCCGAGTGTCTCTCTCTGTCTCTCTTAGACGACAGCCACTGTAGGCCCCTCGGGCTAGGCAGCTCTCAGCCCACAAAGGGGACTAAAGATAGAAGCGAGAAAACTTCTGCCTTTGGAGTATCTACATATGTTTGTTCTCTCGTTGCGGTGAAGATCTCAGGATACCACGATCAACCATATGGAGTTGCGTTGCGATGATCGACCCGATTCCCTATCTATAGACCCCGACCAGCATTGCCTCGTCATCCTACAGTACCTATGGTCTTCTTATGTTCATATCCTCTCATCATTACGACTCTTCTTCTATCAATAATAGAAGTGAAGTTCCATGAGAGCTAAACCCACAGCAACAGTGGATTCCGCCAGCCACAGTCGTTGCTTGGCAGTGATGCCTCTAGTCTAACCTCCAGTAATTCCAGTTGCCTTCAGCGCTTCACGATCTTCAAGTGCCGGCAGGATCAATTTGCCCACGATCGTCAGCTACGGCACTTGTAATGGTGATAGCCATGTCAATCCTGTGATTTACCGCGGCAGCGAAGCCAGTAATGAGTTTCAGAGTGTAGTTCCAATCGTGGCTGGGCCAGTGCGATTGTGCTGCTGCCTTTTTTCCCCCCCAGCCTCCTCGTGTGGATCGTGGATGGGTGGATTCACTTCAGGCCCTGATTCCGTGCCGATGGTTGCCAGCCTGCAGGTTTTTCTTTTCTCTCTCTCTCTTTTTTTTTTTTATGTTTCTAGTTTGATTGTGAGGATGATGGTGATGATGATGATAATAAGTGTGCGAAGTAGTCTTGGAATCTGAGTGATAAATATCGCCGTCTGTATCTCCGTCTTGGACATCAAAACAATCTATTCCATCTCATCTCTCAAAGACTCTACGAAGATACGATCAGCAGTTGACAGCATTATCGCCCACTGAACTTTCACAATGTATTTCTCCTCCGCTACCGTCTTCCTTGTCCTCTCTGCAATCGGCTCTCAGGCCGTGCCTTTTGCTCTCCCCCGACAGTCCAACAGTACTCTCGCACGCAGACAGCATGAGCCTTATTCGGTGGTCAACGTCGGCGGCACCAACATCAACAGCCTCACCAGCTCAGCCGCTGAGACTGTCACCGCTCCCAGTGTTCCCCAGGCTCCCGTGACCGTCACGGTCACCGACACTCCTTCGTCGACTCCGGTCATCTCGCCCTCCAGCTCTTCCACTCCATCTTCCAGTAGCCTGGCAGCCTGGCCAACATCTGTTTCTGGTGAAGAGCACCCCGTCTCTCCCCGGAGCTTCAACCACACTCAACCCCCTCTGCCCCTGAAGGAAGCCAGGAGATCGTTCCTGAACACCAACAGCACTCGAGCTCATACCTTCGGCACCCGCAGCGTCAATGGAACTGAGGGTCTTCCCATTGCGGCCCGTGGTCTGCTGAACAGCACGATCACCACACGCCAGGTTCTCAACCAGACCGGTCGTGTGTACTAGAACACCTGCTCGTTTCTCGAAAGACATTGAAACAGATCTATTATGCGATCCGCAACTGTTGAGGATAGACAACAGGAGGGGTAATATGACGACGAAACGAACACTCATTTCATGAGCTTCAATGGGCCCATCCTCGGATCTCGGCCTTCGACGGAATGATATTTCACGGGACGATATGACATGATTCACCGCAGCGTTTTCTCTCTTTCAGATTTCATGTCTTGTTGTCTTTTTTTTTTTTTTTTTTTTTTTTTTCCCCCTTCCTCTTTTCGATGGTTCCAATCTGGAGATCGTCCTGTGTTATCAACTTGGGTTTTCTGTATACATGGGGGTTAGGGGCGAAGGCTAGACTTTGTTATTAGATAGTATCAGCTAAATTGAAGATGAATTCTGGACATATCATCATTCCAGCAGTAGACAGCATGTTTGATGTTGATTTTTCCTCTGATGAAGAAGAAGAAGAAAGAGACTTGACTCGCAGCCACTCGGCCAATACGTCAGTCACGTACCTGCAGCGGATCAACCAAACATCCGCTGCGTTTTCATCCACATCTTCTCTTTGACTGCTGGGACATCGCCAAGTGTAATAATAATAATTCCTAATATCATTGAAACGTTCATTTCTCAGTCTTCAAGCTCTCTACCCTGAGTCGGTGGCTGTTTTTCGGGATCACATCTTTGTACAGAATAGCTCTGCCTAGTCGGTGGGAGCCTGAGGCAGCGAGAAGCTCGTCCGACCCGCGATAAACCTCCCAGACTCCATCCTCTCGATTCGCTGACACCGTCTCAAGAATCACTTGGCTGTGACTTCTGATTCTACGTTTTTATGGAATGATAACGATTGCATTGCAAGATTCCCATCCGTGCCTATTCCCCCCCCTTCCGCGCCCGTCATCGAAGCATTTCCGCCGCATCCCCCCGTTGTTCTCATCCTCGTCATCTCTCTCGGCCAGCTAGCTGTTTACCGCCTGCATTGCATTCAGCCACTGAGACTCCCCCCTCACTTACGCCTCTTGAGTCTCATCGCTCAATTCCAGCATGACAAGCCCTATCTCCGGGCCCGAGGACCAAAGTCGTCTCCTCGAGGAGGCCCTGGGGGTCGTCCGACAGCAGTCGCATCTGATGCGAAAATGTCTCGAGAACCCCGGGAAGTTGATGGATGCGCTCAAATGCGGGTGAGCCTTGAGACTCTCTAATCCCCATAGCGGATACACGGATATTACAAGAGACCATCCGAATGGAAAAAAAGCAAAGAGAAGGGGTAATTGGGACGACGGGGCAGGCTAACACTGATTCTCAATTGCTCTAGGTCGACGTTGGTTTCCGAACTCCGCACTCCTAGCTTGGGGCCCAAGCAATACTATGAATTGTACATGGCAGTGTTCGATGCGCTGCGACATCTCTCCGTCTACCTGAAGGAGAACCACCCGGTCAATCACCTGGCGGATTTGTACGAGTTGGTTCAATATGCCGGGAACATCATCCCACGACTCTACCTGATGATCACGGTCGGCACGGTGTATATGTCGGTCGAGGATGCCCCGGTCAAAGAAATCATGAAGGATATGATGGAGATGAGTCGCGGTGTGCAGCATCCCATTCGTGGGCTGTTCCTGCGATACTATCTATCCGGGCAGGCTAGGGATCATCTGCCCACCGGCTCCGGGGACGGGCCCGAAGGTAACCTGCAGGACTCGATCAATTTCGTCCTAACCAACTTCGTGGAGATGAACAAGTTATGGGTGAGATTGCAGCACCAGGGTCCCTCGCGGGAAAGGGAAAAGAGGATGCAGGAGCGCCGCGAGTTGGAGTTGCTGGTGGGCAGCAATGTCGTCCGGCTCAGCCAGTTGGTCGACCTGGAGCGGTACAAGTCCGGTATCCTGCAGGCGCTGCTGGAGCAGGTTGTCCAGTGTCGTGATATCCTGGCGCAGGAGTATCTGCTAGAAGGTGAGCTATATGTCGATTGTCTCGTGATGGACTGGTGGGTTCGATGCTGAGCTGCTCTCTAGTCATTACCAAGGTCTTTCCGGACGAGTTCCACCTTCACACACTTGACCTCTTGCTCTCGGCTATCTCTCGTCTCAATCCGCACGTGGATTTGAAGAAGATCGTGATCGGCCTCATGGACCGTCTTTCGGCCTATGCTGCTCGGGAGACAGAAGCGACCGCGGACCCGGAGACAAGGAAACAGAATGAGGAAGAAGCCGTCACGAAATTTCTCGAGAACCTGAAGATCACTGAAGAGTCCAAGAAGGAGGAGCCGGCGGCAGTTGAAGAGGCACAGGTAGAATCAGCTCAGGAGAACGGCGAGGAGCAACCAGCCACAGAGCCTTTGCAGGAGGCCAAAGAGCCAGAAGCGAAGCCGGCTGAAGACGAGGAAACACCGAAGGAGAACGGCGAGAGTGCTTCCAAGCCTGCTGTTCCAGCCGATGTCAAGCTGTACGCCATATTCTATGATCAAGTGGTGAACCTGATCAAGACCCGCGGTTTGCCGATCCAAGACACCATGGCGTTATTAGTATCCCTCGTCAACTTGGCCCTCAATACCTATCCTGGCAAGCTGGAATACGTGGACCAGATCCTTGGTTTCGCCACGCAGGAAACCGCCAAGCACGCTGACCATGCTGACCTGCACACACCTCCAACCCAGCAGAATCTCCTTCATCTACTCCTCGCTCCCCTCCGCTCATACGTATCGATCTTTACGGCGCTGGCGCTGCCGCACTATCTCCCGCTTATGAATTCGCAATCCTATCCCACACGCCGATCCGTCGCGGGTGAAATCGCCCGAAATCTGCTGAAGAATCGAACATTGATCACAACGACAGAGAACTTGGACCGTGTCCTGCAAGCCTTGAGAGTATTGATCAAAGAAGGCCTGCAGCAGAGCGTGGGTTACCCTGGATCCCAACGGCGCGGAGGCGAAACGGACGAGACCGTTGAAGAGCAAGGCTGGCTTGCTCGGTTGGTGCATCTGATTCAGGCGCCAGAGAACGACACTCAATTGAAGGTTCGATACATCCTTGATCAAGTGCCCATGTAGAGATACTAACTACCATAGCTCCTCCAAGCAACACGCAAAGCATATGCCGACGGCGACGAACGCATTCGATACACAACACCGGCCATCATCACTGCCTCGATCCGACTGGCGCGCAAACTCAAATCCCGAGAACATTACGACGACAACTGGCAGTCACAATCGTCGGCCCTCTACCGGTTCATGCATCAAGGTGTAAACAACCTCTACCAGCGCGCCAATCCGGGATGCGCCGACCTGGCCCTGCGCTTGTTCGTCATGTGCGGCGAGGTAGCGGACCAGACCGGTTTCGAAGAGTTCAGCTACGAGTTCTTCGCGCAAGCCTTTACGATCTATGAGGATTCCATCAGCGACTCGCGCGCTCAGTTCCAGGCCGTCTGCATCATCGCAGGGGCCCTCCAAGGCACACGAGGGTTTTCCAAGGAGAACTACGACACGCTCATCACCAAGGCTGCGCTGCACGGAAGCAAGTTACTCAAGAAACCCGATCAATGCCGTGCAGTATACCTTGCTAGCCACCTCTGGTGGGTGGTTGAGAACCCCCAACGAGGCGAAGAGGATCCCAAAAACGTACGTTCCTTGCCTCCCCCACCCAGTTCCTCATAATTTCCCAGCCGAAACTAAACCTCATTCCAGCTCTACCGCGATGGCAAACGCGTCCTCGAATGCCTCCAGCGCGCTCTCCGCGTCGCAGACGCCTGCATGGACACCGCCGTCTCCGTCGAACTCTTCGTCGAGATCCTCAACCGCTACGTCTACTACTTCGACCAGCAGAACGAAACCGTCACGACAAAGTACCTCAACGGCCTGATCGAACTCATCCACTCGAACCTACAGACGAACGAGGACGAGCCGAACCCCAGCCTCGAGGGCCCCAAGCGCCACTTCCAGCGGACACTGGACTACATCCGGTCCCGAGATTACGAGGGCGTGGTCACGGACCCGAGGCAGTGATTTTTTTTTTTTTTGCTCCAGGGAAAAAAAAAAATCAAACAAACCCAGTGGCTAGCAGTACGCCGGAATCCGATCCGTGGATCCCCGGCGCATGATCTTGTATGAAATTGAGCGCGTTGTGTGTTTCTAATGTTCTATTGTCGCTGTCCATCCAGAGCTTGTTGATGTTTGAGTAATTGCCGGAGACGGTCTGTAAAACCTCTTACTTATACTTGGCCCCCTTTTGTCTCTTTCTATGCCTCTCTTGCCGTATCCGATTTTTCTTCCCCCCTATTCTTGTTCTGTCGATATAGGTGCTGCGTCGTCATAAAATACCCTCCCACAAGGTCATTGAATGAATTGCTGCAATAGAATCTCATCCAATTTGACCTAATTCGGCGATTCCCTACTCTGATTGCATACCTCGAGTTTCTTGAACGGACGTAGCGTGAACATGAACATGCGACTGACTACGCTCCGCCGGACTACAACCGTAAATCGGCCCCAAAGAAGAATAGGACTCGTGAGATAGATCAAACCGATCATGCAATTGGTTTAGCACGGAGGATATGTGTGCTCCATGGGAATCGCCGCATAATGTGCAATAAGACATACGTAACATGGTAATGTCCGTGGTGACGGAGGAGTAGGAAAAAAGACTTGGACCATGAGGAGGCAAGAGGGTAGAAAGGAGACAAGAACGAGCCCAAGACGCAGGCAAACTGAAGACGTGAGACATGACATGACGCTTGACAACAATTGGAACAGTGTGATGATGATGACGATGATGATGATGATGATGATGATGAGTAGGATGAGGGTAGGATGGGAGTAAAGGGGACGTAAAAGAAGAGAGGCATTTAGTCAGTGAATCGTCCAGGGCGCAGAAGCCCAGTAATGAGGAATGGTGGGAATGATAAAAGCGAAAAATAGAAAACCAGAACCCTGTTCACAGCGTGTAGAACGCTGGACCCAAACGCCTTAGAAACCCATTGGTGGAGAAGAAAACTGCCGCAGCACTGACGGTGTGCCGATGCCGCCAAACGCTGGCAGACTACTGCTTGGGACGGGACTGCCAATCTCCCCAGGAACAATGCTGCCTCTGTGACCTGAAGCAGCACTGTTGTTATCCGGCTCGAATTTGACGAACTCCCCAGTTTCATCCTTCTTGGTCGAGAATGAACCACCTCCATTTTGCGTGCTGCCCTCCGTATCGCATATGTCCAGCATTTCCTTTAGGGAGATCGACGGCTCGTTTTGTGGCCGCAGTTGCTCCACCTGACGAAGAACAAGGCTCACGTCATGGAAGCCATCGGCACCCTTGAAGGGACTCATGGTGTTGAGCTGTTTGCATGCTTGGATCACCAGCAATCGAATGGCAACAGGCCTTGAGGTGTGAGCTCGGTGATGTACTCCTGATCCGAACGCGTTATTAGACCAGCCACTCGCTAGAGCCCAGTCAGTATCGATATATTGATATTGTTCAAGCAGGAAAGAATAAGGAAAGAAAAGAAATCGCTTCGCAACTGACCATGCCCAGTTCCCCATGTTGGACCGGTGGGAAAGGTAGACGTTCCGAATGGAAGCTGCGCACCCCAGGTACCACCAGCCACTCCCGCATTGACGGAGAAATTGGTGTGTTTCGATGCTAAAGAAGCTGTCAGCACAATTGTGCCACTGTGAGCTTAACTCAAAAAAAAATAAAAAATAAAAAATAAAAACAATACTCACTACTAAGAGGATCCGGAAACAACGATGGTCCACCAAAACTGGCTCGTGCCGGCCCGGGAAGAGGGCCTGGGGCAGTTGCACCAGGTAGTGACTGGGACAGGGTGGACGCGAACGGAACATCGGTGTCATCAAGAAGAGCACTACTGCCAAGATGTGCGCTTAAGTCGTCCACATCTCGCTGCGCAGTTCGATCACCATTCTTCCGCTGATCTTGCTGGGTGCTGGAAGGTCGTTTGATCGGACTAGGTCGAGAAATTGGCATCGGCTGTGTTTGACCTTCCAGTGGAGATCGCTCAAAAGAACCGGAGGGTTGCCGGGAGTGGCCATGCGGCAGTCCGCTCTGCTGGGCTGAGAATGCGCCGGGAATCTGTTGCTGGCCATGGAATGGAAACCCATGTGCTGATTCAAGTGGGAAACCTCGCCCAGGTGGCATCGCGCGCGCGCCGTTGATGCCAGGAGCCGCCGGAATCCCGTTGGGTGTCGGATAGCCTCGGAACTGGCCGATGAAAGGCCCAGAGTGCGGCGGATAGACGGGCAACTCATGAGCCATTGGTGGACGGCCCAAAATGCCAGTTAAGCCTGGGGGACCGGGAGGCAGTCCGTTCATGGCTGAAAATCCTGGCGGGATAGACCTACCGAGAGGAGACAGTGGCGCAGAGGGCTGCGGCTGGTGAAACATTGCATGCAGTCCATGGACATGCTTCGACGCTACGCTGGAGGCTCCCGATGACTGAGAAATGGGCATAGAACGTGGCGAGACAGAGGCCTGCGAGGGATCTGTGCTAGCAGGCTGAGAGTGCGGAGAGGATGTATGTGAGTCTTGTTGGGATGGCTGACGGGGCCTGGCAGGAGTAGGAGCTTTAGGTACCACAGGTATCCCTGACTGGATGTGTGGTGAATGAGCGACGGGCGAAGAGGAGATCTGCGGATGCTGATTTGAGGAAAACGGTGATGTCCGCTTGGCCTGATACTCGCGCTTCTCGCGTTCCTTGGCTGCCTCCTCAGCCTTTGCTGCATCCTTTTGGAGCTGTTCCTCTTTAGCCTTCTTCTCCCGCAATTCACGCTCTTCTTTCTCCTTCCGTCGAGCTTCCTCGCGTCGTTTCTTCTCTTCTCGCTGTTTTCGCTCCACTTCTGCCTGCCGCTCTCGTTCCTCGCGCTGCCGTCGCAGTTTTTCAGCCTCTTTGCGCGCACGCTCCTCTTCCTGGGCCTTTCGATCAGCTTCTTTCTTTTTGCGTTGCTCCTCTCGTTTCTTCCGCTGTTCCTCGAGCTTCTTTTCCTGCTCCGCTTTAGCAGCTGCTTCCTCTGCGGCCTTCTCGGCTTCTCGACGCGCCCGTTCCTCCTCCTTGGCTTGTTTCTGGAGCTTCTTCTTGTCCTTCCGTTTCTGGGCTTCTCGGGCTTTCTTGGCGTTTCGTTGCTCGTTCCGAGTTTCCTCCTCCAGAAGCTCTTCGATCAACTTCTGTTGCCTTTGCTCCGCAACCTTTTCCCGATAGGCTGTCAGGACACGCTGTTCGAACATGCGAGCTGCGAATATCTGAAACATTCGCCGCCCTTCCTCCATGCGCTGCTCTTCTGTCATCGTATCCTGGGATGAATATTAGCACGTATTGCACGACCAGTGGATAGATACCACCAGGGGGCAAAAGAGGGAGGGGGCGGGGGGCGAACAACTCCATGGCAGACCATTTCATCTTCCTCGTAGTCTTCGTCCTCCTGGCTGTCATAGTCTTCATCTTCTTCCTCGTCGTAATCCTCTTCGTCGAACGGACCATGGTTGTGGCCACTATGGAGTGATTGATGCGCAGCAGCGATGCCATACTGAGTGTCCTCTTCGCGTTGCATTCGACGCTCGGCCAGTTGCTCCATCATGTCAATAAAATGTTTGCCGTCATTCTTCAAAAGATCGTCTGCGACCGTAAGAATGCCATCTAGATTCCAAGAACGAGGAAGCAAGCAAAGAGATCAGCCGTGTCCCGTCAAAATCCGCGCAAGCCGGCGGCGCTTCAGCCTTACCTTTAACCGTCAAACTATTGCCGAAGGCGAAAAAGTCTGCGCGAGCCGCGCGAGCCTCATCATCTTCATCGTCCGAGTCTTCGTCACTATAGGGTTCATCATCCTCCTCATCTTCGTCGTAATCCTCCTCCAGATCATCATCGTCTTCTTCTTCTGGCACCTCATGGATACGGCCTCTGGAAGGGTGGAATTGGCCTTGCGTTCGTGTATGCTGTCCGGGCGATCGTAAAGGAGGCTGATACAAGCGTGGAGGCGGGACAATCGGGGGACCCTTCTCGAAAGAGCCTTGGTTGTGATTGGCGTATTGTTCGAGTTCTTCGTAATAAGCGTCGTAGAGTACTTCAAGTTCCTCCTCGATGGCGGTCCGCTTTCGCCCACACACCGTACAACTGCACGAATGTCTCTGCTGCTCCTTCATTTTCTTCAAGACTGCATCCTTTTCCACCTTGACAAGCTGCCGTCGCTCTTCCTCTCCAAGCTCAAGCCAGAACGTTTTGATGTTCTCACGCTCCTCTTGCGTCGATGTATTCCATATACTGCGAGTTTTGGCGGGTTTTAAAATAGGACGAGGACCGAGATGGGAAGGTAGAGTCGGCGGAAGAGGATGTGACATGGAGACGGAAGGGGTGGACGCATGAGTCGCAGTCTCGTCTTCTGGCGCATGGGTACCATTGGGTCCTTTTTTCCCTTTCTTCTTCTTCGATTTGCGTCCGGTCGGTTTCTGAAGCCCTTCCGAGCCGTTGCCTGGATATTGGTAGTCATCGTGCGCGTCCACCGAGTCCTGGTCATCCTTGTGGTTCGCATCTCCGTTCGAGAGCTGTTCTTGATCAACATCGCCAAACTCGTCAGAATGATAGCCTTCCGGATCGGCGGCGGGACTGGAACCGTTTTGCGTCGCCGCGTCTGGAGATATATGTCCATTCGACTGACGCTCGGCGGCCAGACGAGCTGCCTGCTTTTGTCTGCGCTTCTGCTTCTTGCGATTGACCGGTACGGAAACTGTATCTGTTGAGGGTGGTAAAGAAAACTCCTTCTGCGCTGGAATCGCGCTGTTCGTAGCGGAGGCTGCGGGCGCTGCTGTCGACATCTTGTTTGACAATATGGAGATTGGCGGTTTAGGTGTATGCGGCGGACGAGCCATGAGATACGATTTCGTTCGTAAAGAGATTAACTCTTGTGAGAGAACCGAGATCGTCTAGAGGGGGTCAGGGTGAAAACCCTGTGTCTCCTTGATCGTGCTACTTCCTAACCCAATGATGTTGCTGGAGCCGAGTCAGAAACAAACAGAGGACAAAGGAACAGAAAAAAAAGAGCTCACTCGCAAGCTGCTGACAGGTCGAAATGCGACAAGGTCGGGAGGCGAAGGAAAGATTCAAATCCAGTATCCTCAATCAAGGGGGGAATAAACGCTGGCGAGCGATGGGTGGAGAGTTAGGATAGAGAGGAGTGCAAGATCCTGGGCGGACACGATAGGGAATGAGGGCGGAAGAGGGGTGGAAAGGAACCCTGGCGGCAGGCAGGGGAGGCGGGCAGGAGCGACAAGGGCTAGGCGACCAGGAATGAGGTAGAGGGGATTTAGAGGGTGGATAGACCTAAGATCAAGAGAAGGAGGATGATTGAAGACGATCTAGATGGAAGCTGGCGAACGAACAAGCGCAGCCAAAGCGGGATGGTTTGAAAGGCTGGCTGCCACTGCAAATGGATGATGGTGGATCTTGACGCCGTCTGGATGGCTGGCGAGCCGCTGGCCGCAACAGCATAGCCGCTGCAAGCGATGTCGATGCCTGGACTCTGAGGCAGCAAGGCTGGACTTTCCAGGTACCCAACTTACCCATACCGTTGATTACACCGCGTAAATTTGGTAATGTCGATACTCATGACCTGGGTTACAACCTCTATACCTACAGTCTACAGAGGTACCGATCTACAAAGTACTGCTCCTACCTTGGTACCTAAGTACTCTGCCTACCGGGTACTGCAGCCAGGAACGACATCAGAGGGTATCTAAGGGAGTAGCTAGCTAGATAGGTTGACTCTGGGCCCTGATCACTCGAAATCATAGAGCGAAGAAAGAGAAGCTCCAACCCACCTTCTGGAACAATCTCCTTGTCGGATTTCCCAAGATCACTAAGTGATTGTTCATCTGTCTGCCCAAACCGTTTAATAAGCAATGCTACCGGCCTCGCCGAATGAGGTGTTCTATTCCTGTTGTTATGCAGGACCATCCCTTCTTGGCTCCCGACTCGAAGGGCATCATTCCCGTCTTCTGTCTCATCGATCTCTCCACTAGCATCCATTTATAACAACAGCTATGACTTGAATGGGTAAATCATCGAAGCTTTTAGCGGAATCCATCTGAGACAAAACTCTCAAAGGAAGGGCATGACAACTTGATGAGTGGGAATGTATGGAAGTATTTCTCAGCTGTGCCATTGACGGGTCGATCTCATCCTTTGCGTTGATTACTCCCATCGCATGAATCAGTTAGACTTTCGGCGGCTACTTCTCTTGGTCATTTAAAAAGCCTTCTTGTGCATCCTCTGGCTTTCTGACTTGATCCTCATCTCTGCGAGTCACGAATCTCTGGTGTCTACCCGCGAGGGATTACCCTGTCCAGGCCCTATTAAGTTGGATCGACTCTTTATACATTTCAGACAGTGCTTGTACCGTAACATCGTTACCAAACACTCCAGGATTACCTTACCTTACAGGTAATACCAAAACTTACACAGCCTGGTCGAACTTGTTCCTGTTGTTCTCCTCGAGAACACCTCTCTCTCCCCCCCCGTGTTGGTCGATCAATTGACTTAAAAGTCATCAGCCTCACCTCGACCGCCTTCCAGATCAACAGAAAAACCCCCAAAACTCGTCGTCATCCTCCTCATCCAGCAATTTAGGGGGAGGGGATATCTTATATCAAAAGCAAATTTCTCACCCCTCCTTCCATTCGTTGATCCTGTACTCGGCCAAGGATTCTCGAGTCTCTACGATTAGATCCTGACCTGGTGGTTGCCTGATCCTACTAGGTTTCGATATCGGCTGAGGCTGAACAGCGCTCTCCCCTTGTCTTTCCCGCGTGTCATCTTCGCTCGTTCAGGCCCCTCTCCGACACCGTTGACTCTTGAAGGAAGCCGTGACTGTTACGGTGTTTTGAGAGAACAATGGCCCAACAACAAAATGACAATGTGATGCGGAGGTATGTGCGCCGATCCCCTATCGATCGCAGGTGGAAATATCGCAAGATGGGTGGTATACGGCCTTGATCCGCTATACCAGCTTATGTCTACCAACAGATAAACAAGACCAATTTGCCGGTTATTCTTCTACCTGCTATCTCGATCGTGACTAATTTGACCTTGGAATGCAGGAAGCTGGTCATCATCGGAGATGGTGCTTGCGGCAAGACCAGTTTGTTAAGTGTGTTTACCCTGGGTTATTTCCCAACTGTAAGTGTCCTCTGGAGATCATCTCAAAGAAAAGAGGGATTCTTGGAAGATGTCAGTAACTGACTCTAACTGTCTTATAGCACTACGTTAGTACCCGTCCACTGATTTATACGATTCCCTGGTCGCCAATCTAGTTTCTGACAACCAAAGCAGGTTCCCACGGTTTTCGAGAATTATGTGACGGATTGCAGGGTGGACGGTCGATCCGTCCAGCTGGCCTTGTGGGATACTGCAGGTCAAGAAGATTATGAGCGGCTGCGACCTCTTGCATACTCGAAGGCGCATGTAATCCTGATCGGATTTTCGGTCGACACACCAGATTCGCTTGAAAACGTGAAGCACAAGGTCAGTCTATCTTCGTGTCCACGTTCCATATTTCCAGGATCTGACTCCCTGACTTTTGTCCATCATAGTGGATTGAGGAAGCAAACGAGCGATGTCCCGGGGTACCTATCATCCTTGTCGGCTTGAAGAAGGATCTGCGCGAAGACCCTCTGGCTATCGAAGAAATGCGGAAGAAATCCCTCCGGTTTGTTACTTCTAAGGAAGGAAGCGAAATAGCGACGCAAATCGGCGCCAGAAAATACCTTGAATGTTCCTCATTGACTGGAGAGGGGGTCGACGATGTCTTCGAAGCCGCTACGCGAGCCGCCCTCCTCACATTTGATAAGCGGAAAAGCTCGTGTTGCATCGTCCTATGATCGACAAGTGATTCAATTACATTGGCGCCGCTCGCCGCTCTTAGCATTGCATCAACCGCAGCATAATGATTCCAGCTGCTACAGACCTGTCTGCCCGTGTGTTAGCTTGGATTCTCTAAAAAAGGGGGAAGACGAACCACGCGATGATTATTGATTGATCATCACGTTTTGCATCATTGGCGTTTGGGAGGCCCTCTGTTCATATTTCTTACTTTGCGTCCTCGCTAGGGTATACCTTTCTTGGCCACACTCTCCTTTACATAAACACGCGCACTCTGGATTCCCCTCCTTTGGTATGTTTCCTTCCTTTTCGGTTCTGGAGCGCTTCGCCTCGATTCCTTCTGTCTCTTTTTTCTTTCTTCTTGTCTTTCTCTATATCTCCTATATTCGTTCCCTGTCCGATGCTGTCTAGCGACTTGCACTTTTCATCTATGTCTTATATCTGGTGATGGTCACATTCTGAATCAACTGCTGTCAATCTGGTCGAGTGTGTCAAGAAGACCGATTGCATGATATAGTTTTGAACCAATCAAATCAAGACCCAAGAATTGTCTATACCAGCGGATCAGATTTCCACGAACCCAGACCGTAATACAAGAAAACATATGGTACATGCGAAGAGTAAATCACACAGAGAACCCCACCCAGGTCTCCCAGAACGTGGTAAAACACGCAAACCCGATCCCATCCCATCAACCGCCTTCCCCCTACTTCCTCTCCACCCGCTTCCACTCATGATTCCACCCCTCCTTACTCGGACTCTCGGTCTGCATCCGCCCATACTCAATGGGGAACAGATCCCTGAACACGCCGCGCTTATTCATCGAGATCCGGAACAGCTTGCCCCCGTCGCCGGCACCGGTGCGGAGCTCCTCACACGCCGCGTTCATCGCCTGCCACTGCCGCTGCAGCTCGAGCTGCTTCTCACGGCGCTGCTGCGCCTGGTACAGCTGCCAAGCACGGTGGATGGTCCAGTGGCGCAGGTAGCGGGTTCGGGAGAACCGGAGGGGACGGGGCGTGAGCGGGTGCCAGAGGAAGTAGCGGATGAGAGCTGTGCAGTGTGAGACGTTAGCTTTAGCTTTAGCTTTGGATGGTTTCCCATTGGGATTGGGAAGACAGAGGGGAGACGGGGGAGAACGTACTGATTCTGCGGTCCCCGCGGGGCGCGTTTCCTTTCCTTTTCAGCAGGGCGCTTGTCGTCGAGAAGGGGCGCGATGCGGCCGGGGCTGCGGCTGGTGAGTGTTGGAGGGCGGAGAGGACGGGTCTCGATGTGAGGGTCTCGGGGCTGAGCCGGGAGAGGGCTGGGCGGGAGGGGATCTGGGAGAGCGGGATGCGGAAGACGTTCGCCAGGGAGGCGAGGACGGGGGAGAGAGGGCGCATTGTGTCTATGGGTGGGAGAGATTTCGGGGTTGATGGGTTGCGTTGAGGTGTTTTGAGGCAGACTGGAAATTAATGGAGAAGGGCCTTTTTCGGGGTTGGTATCGCCGGGCGGAAAGGCTGCCTAGCCGCGCGCTTGTGGAGATTGGTGTAAGCGCGGTATACCTCTGTACAACATTTGAGAAGGCAAAGAATGAAATTGAAGAGTTGAATCATCAGTATTGATCATTACTGGTCACTGGGCAATATTATATTGTTGAAAAATGTTCAAATTAATATTTGTACAGTTCATTTAGACCCAATCCGTGGGAATCGAGAAACTACCTACACCTCAAAAGACTTCAATGTCCATTGAATGGACACATCCCGTGATTGCCGAGTTACCCCAACCAACGCCATAAAATGCATCGTCGTTACGTCCGTAGTCGTGAGAAATAAAAAGAGCAGAGAGCAGCATGGCTGTGAACCCAAAACAACACCCGGAAAACAGCCTGTCAACCGCCTACAACTTTCTTCTTTTCCCGGTCGTAATTGAGCACTTTTCGTTTCCGATGTGTCTGTGCAAGCTTCCAGCGGCAATAGAGAACCAGTGCATCCTTGAGCAACACAAAGACACATCCGCCGACAACACTCCGTCCCCATCGTGTCTGCAGCAGACCCGGTCGCCCTCGCTCCAGAGCGGCCGGCGCGCTCGTCCACGATTTTGGCAGTATATACTTGAGCAGCCCTCCCATCGAGGCTGAAATGGCAGGGAATGCAAGAGCCCCGAGAATGATATCGGCAAGATTGCTGGTCTCGTGAATGAGGTCGTCTCGCCGCCCCAGCCCCAGGCCATTTCCATTCTGCTCAGCCCCTTGGTTTTGCCCGTTGTTCTGTGCATTCTCTCCGGCGTGTAGGCCGAGAACGTTTTGAGCATCATCGTTCCCCATGCCAAGCTGGAACTCCAGATCAATCTCCATCACTATCTGGCCGTTCCCACCATCGTTCCTTCCTTCCGGGTGCTCTGGTGGAGCATTATCGTCAAACTCGTTGACATCCGCTTGGCGTGGTTGCACTTCTGAAATCCACTTCCTTTCCAACTTGCCGAAAAACCGTTGATACATCGCGCTGTAGAAACTTTTGACATACGGCAGGGCCGCAAAAGTGATCGCCGCGCTAGGCGGCCAAAGATCGAGGTCGAATTCCTGCCCTGGGTTGTGCGTAGCGAAGAATAACACCGGGATGGCTGGCAGCAGCCCTTCGGCGTACCGGGTCCGGGAGAATATCAACACCAGCGGGATGAGCGGTAACCCGAGGTTCAGCCCCGAGCTCCACGTCCCATCCGCCGTCTCCTTCAGAATTTGTCGCGCCTCCTCCGTTCCAAAGACGAAATACATGGAATAGACACCGTGCGCGCAGCATCCAGCCCAGACAGTTCCTGCCAGCGTGAAGACCATCCCTGGCACCACCAGCCGCCCCGCAAGCCGCTCGACCATCCGCACAATGTCCACGATGTAGCTTCGCGGGCGCGAAACCACAATCTCAGACTTACATTGGGGACATTGCATCTTTGCACCGTGGCCGTTGCGCCTGCGGGACCGCGGGTTCTCGAGATCGGCGAGCCAGTCTAGAAGACACGCCTCATGGGCCGTCAGGGCGCACGGACAGGGCGAGCGCCATTCAGCATTCAGCGGCGACTCCTCCGTCTCATCGGTATAGCAGATCCAGCATTTGCGCGGTTCTTCGATCGAGGAATCGATCGCGGGTGAGTTCTGAGTGGGAGATGGGCTGGCGGTCGCGGTGGGAGTTTTATTGTTGTCAGATGCATCCTCGCTCGGTTCAATCGGTCTGTTGAGTATAACTGTTTCATCGTCCTCCACGGATTCAATTGACGACGTGCTTGTGAAACTACCCGTACTTGACTCCGGTATTGAGTCTTCTCGTGTGGCGGGTGTGGCATCCGATGATCGGTTCCTGCCTGTAGTGGCGGGAAATTCCGAGAAGGAAGCCATAGCGTTGTGAAGAAAAGGTGTGGGAGGAGAAGGGCGGGAGAGACAGCAGAAAGTAATATCTAGTGTCTAGGAGGAGATATGTGCGCCGAGCATCCTGCGACCCCGATGAGGAGGTTAGATTTGACTCACAATATCCACGCCCCAGAACTATTTAGTCTAATAATACAGATGACGAGAAGAGGGGAATGAGTTTGTTCATCACTCAGTCGTCAACTGGAAGGTCGAACCACTAATTATATTAGCGCTTTCCCTCGGATATGGACCGCGGCTGTTGGCTTAAGCTGGGTCTTTGGGGGGGGGGGGGGAGCCTGGGAGTTCGGCCCTGGGGAAGTCTCGTGAGAAACAAGAGGCTAAGTAAGAGCGACGTCAGGAAGCGTCACGTGGAGCGAAGGCTGCTTGGTGGTCTTGGCACTGCGCCGGCTGCAGATCACATGACGATGGGTGAGGATGGCAGCATCACGGCGAATTTAGAAGCAATGAATACGATGGGATTTACTCTCACCATGATTAAGATCGACAGCTTGCATGCCCTTATCCATAAAGGTCTGCGAAGATGCAAGAGTCATGTATCTACTCGTCCCGGAGTTCAAGTGTGCTAGATAGTGATACGAGGACATTTCGTATAATTCGTGACATCAATCGTCAAATTGGCATCCTGCCCAAGACGTGCATCTTGGAATCCAATAGAGGTAACTAGAGAAAAGAAGTAACAGTGACATGGATTATATACAAGCTAATGTCCGACAGAACCCGAGGCAGATTTTTTGCGAGCCCAAATTACAATTGGCAGGCCAACAGAAACACAAAAAACAAACGTAAAGGAGTAGATCAAAGAAATCAGGACCGAACAATGAGTATCACTTTTGGAACCCCCCTCGATCCTTTTGTGTTGGCCAGTTTCCTCAGAATATGAAGATCTGTGTGCAGGGCTGGCGATGTCTGTTCGAGCATGCATCTCCACCCGATCGCGTTATAGAACCCGCCCGAAACGCCGTGGATATCAACAAAAATATGAAATATCAGCGTACAGTGTTGCAGTATAAATTGCTTCAGCAGATTCAGCTGTGGAAGTACTTGGGAGAGGCTCTTCTGCGCAGAAGAGCCTTCCTCTCCTTCTCCTTGGCTTCATCATAGACCAGGAACTCGTGCAGAGCACTACCGGCGGGAACCATGGGAAGGACAGGCACCTTGCGGTCAGTGAAGACCTCAAGGAGAGCCGGACCTTCGCTCTCGATAAGCCACTTTAGCTTCTCCTCCATTTCGGAAGGCTTGCTGCAGCGGTCAGCGGCAACACCCATCGACTGCGCCATGGGCACGAAGTCAGGGTTCTGCTGGTGAGTGTGGGAGTAGCGGTCCTCGTAGAACAGGTTCTGCCATTGGGTGACCATACCCTGCTCCTCGTTGTTGAGCAGGAGGACCTTGACACCAATGTTGAACTGAGCAGCAGTGGTGAGTTCGGTCAGAGTCATGTTGAACGAAGCATCACCATCGATATCGATGACCAGGCAGTCTGGGCGCGCGACCTTAGCACCGATGGCAGCGGGGAGACCGAATCCCATGGTACCGAGACCACCAGAGGTGATCATGGTACGGGGATGGCGCCAGCGGAAGTGCTGAGCCGCCCACATCTGATGCTGACCAACACCGGTTGTGATGATGGTGCGGTCCTTGATGGGGGCAGTCAGCTCGCTCAGCTTCTCAATCAGAGCCTGGGGCTTGATAGGGCCCTCGGAAGTCTGTCTCTCATAGAGAGAAAAGGGGAAGCGCCTCTTCCAGTCATTGATCTGGGCGAACCATTCGGGTCTCTCGGCGACAGCGTTGACACGGGGAAGCAGGAGGCGGATGTTGTCAGCACAGTCGCCTTCCACCGCCTCGTTGGCCTGGACCACCTTGTTGATGTTCTTGGGCATGATCTCGAAGTGGACGATACCGCCACGGTTCTCGGATGCGGCCAGCTTGGCCTGGGGAGCGAACTTGGAGATATTGCCGGTCACGCGATCATCGAAGCGGGCGCCGATGGCGATGATCAGATCGGCTTCCTGCATAGCCATGTTGGCGTAAGCAGACCCGTGCATCCCCAGCATGTGAAGGGCCTTGGGATCAAGCTCATCAAATCCACCCAGACCCTGCAGGGTGGTGGTGACCGGAATGCAGGCCTTCTCGGCCAGTTCCTTGAGCACCTGGGGACCCTCGGGACGAGCAAGGAGACCCTGGCCTACGTAGAGAACGGGCTTCTTGGCGACGTTGACCAGGCGAGCAACACGATCAATGGCGGTTTCCAGATGCTTCATGCCGAGCTCACGGGCCGCCACGGAAGCAGCGCTAGGAAGGGAGGGGATGGTGCTGTTCATGGGGATAGGCTTACGAAGGATACCGGCAGTGATATCCTTGGGAAGGTCGACCAGAACAGGTCCGGGACGGCCGCTCGTGGCGATCTCGAAGGCCTCCTGGATCCGGCGGGGAAGTTCGGCCACGGACTTGACCATGACGTTCCACTTGGTGCAAGCTCTCGAGATACCAATGACATCGGCTTCTTGGAAGGAATCGGTACCGATCAGACTGGTGGGAACCTGGCCGCAGAACACAACCATTGGGGTACCGTCGGAAAGAGCATCCTGCATGGGGGTGATAACATTGGTGGCACCAGGGCCGGAGGTAACGAGGACCACGCCAGGCTTTCCAGAAGCACGGGCATAGCCTTCAGCCATATGTCCGGCACCCTGTTCATGGCGAGGGAGAACGAAATCGAAATGCTTGGAGTTGTAGATGGCATCGAAGACGGGAAGAATGGCACCACCAGGGTAGCCGACTAGTCCATGCAGTCAGAAAACGAACGTAGCCTTCAGGTGGGAGCTTTTGCAAAACATGACTCACAGATGTGCTTGACATCCAATCTGAGCATCATCTCATGGAAGATCTCTCCACCGCTGAGACCCACGAACCTGTTTTACCACTGTATATTAGAACAATCCTATACAATCAATCGCACAAGGGAACCTGAGAGTAGGAAGGGTTGGCGTACGAGTCATCCAGATCGGGGAGCTGGCGGTTCTGCAATGGCGAGACCTCATTTCGTGGAGGCTCCTGGTTGAAGGAGGGACTAGGAACAGGTCTTGTATTCCTAGGACGAAATACGACATTAGTATCTCTCGGCGACAAGATTGAGTCTGTTGTCCATGTGAGAGACTCACGAAGCAGCAGCTGTTGCGGTGCTCTGGCTACGTTTCTGAGCAGAAAAGCGGTGGGGCGCGACAGCGGCGACGGACGAGGAAGTGAAGGGCCTTCTTCCAGCGGCGATATACCGCTGGTAATGGAAGGAGCGCATGGCGCTTTTCGATGGTCTCAAAGGCATCATCTTGATGGCGGATGACTGCCAGGCCAGAGGAAAGGAGGAAAGGAGAAAGGGAGGGAAAATGGGGAGGAAGAGAAGAAGAAAGTAAGAATCGAATTGCTGGGCTTGAAATTAAATCCTCAGGGAAAAAGGAAGCCCCAGAAGAGTTCAGACCGAGTTAAAAGAGTCAGACTTCGGGGAGAGAGCAGCATCTGGCCCGGCTAACCGGGAACAGCTTAGCGGTGGCCCAAACCAACCCTCTTAGCGCCATCATTGGCTCACCGGCTCCGATCTTCGGCGTCCGCTGTGTAGGTTTGTCTGTCACCTGATTGGCAGTCTTCTCGGGTGGCCATCGTTTACACATCATGCGGAGTAAATAGTAGCCCCGGTACTACGGAGTACACAGTCTGTAGAGTCTGTACTCTGTAGTAGCCTACTCCGTAGTAGGTCCATCAACATATATCTGTCAGTGCTTCGGAGCAGCACGGTCTCGCAGCAAGGCTCATAAGTCATAATTGTCACTGAGGTACAAAGTTGTGCATATCAGGTCTAATTCCAGCTCATCCTCGCATGGTCTCCCCTGCAGCCCCATGTCTACCTAGGATCTCGAAGATGAGTACCAAGGGCGTCCAATGACCAGCGGCTTAATGTCGATCGAGATGGATAGTAAAAAAGGGACTCACCAAGATTGGCTCTTGCTCGAATAGGTATGCAGCTATGGTGTGCTTATGAGATCTCTTGAATATTTTAGCATATATTTGGATGAAGACAGCTGAGTATGTCGTCTAGTTACTGAGTCGTGCGCGATTTCTTCAATTCCAAGAGGAGCTGGTTCAACTATCTGCGGGTTCTCATTTTTGAGTCGTGATGGGGGAACAGTCTCCATTCAAGCCTCGGACTATCAATCTGGTGGTTAATAATAAGGCGTATCTGTAGTCTGTACACAATAGCTGCAGGAGAGGTGGAGTCGCTGTAGTTCCGACGCTCTCCAAGATATGGTGGCCACTATATGATTCTAATTTCTAAATACTCCTCCATAGTCCATAAGGTACACCTCCAAAACAACATTTTTCATACACTCATCCTCACCTACTCTTCACTTAAACCTTGTTAAAGATATTTAGCTTTCATAGCAACCTATCTGGCTATCTGAATCTAATTTATTTATATCTATTAGTTTACTGGATACTTATTTTCTACAAAGCACATCATCTTTAACTTGATATGTGTACTTTGATCTACATGGTAGTTACTATACCACATTGGGTAGCCTCACTTCTCCCGGGAGACAGCTAAATTTTTAGAGCGTCGGAACTACTCTGTACAGCAACTCTTGATATTTCCCCTGAGCTGTGCGGGTGGCACTATATGTTTAGACAGGATGGCATCCTTACTCCTTACAGATTGTTTTTGGAGCACATTGACCAATATCTTATCACATTAAAACGCCATGACATGGTGTTGCACTCCTGATTATTGAGGTGTTCTTGAAAGCTGAGCTGGAGTATTCTTTTGGTGCTTGTCTAGGAACGTTATCTATGTTGACACTTTAATAAATAATATAATAATGTTCAGATATAAGTAGAGCAGTCTCTGTCTCTGCATAGCTGACATGCATGTTTGCACCCTGTGTATCAGCTCTTTGATTCCCATTGTATAAGTGGGTAGCTGGGATTTGATGGCTTTCAGCTAATCCCTGTTGTGTCAGATAATGTCAATTCTTTGACATGAGCACTGGAAGAATTACCTTTCCAAGATCTTCAATGTAGAGATACTCTACTCTACCATAATAACAAGACCAGATTGGATACCACAGCTAGATCTGGTGTCTGCTAGATGAGGTTCTGCTTCTGGCATACAGCAGATCACTAGACTCTCACCACATTGCTATTCACAAATTATCTCTCTCTATGTACGGTCATCATCAGTGCACTAGGTGAGGATAAGCATGATATTCATATTGAAGATATTGTCTCGCATTACCATAGCAGCTGGCGGATCTAATACCTAGCTATATACAGAGGTGTGGTGCAAAAGTATCTGGGCTGCTAGTAAGCTTGGCTATAAAATTAAGGTAAGTCATAACACATAGTAATTTATATAGGAGTTAACTTTAATAGATTCTACTGAAAAGCTCTATAGATAAGATATTTCTCTAGATAGATAAAATACTTAAATCTAAAGCTATTTATACTAATAAAAGCTTATATCTTAGGGAATTTCAGGAGATAAGAGATCCTATCTTATAGAAAGCTTCCTCTTTTACCTATAGCCTTTCTAATTTTAATTATCTTTATCTATATAGCCTTTCTTATACTTATTCCCTCCTTCTAGCTAAATAATAAGCTCTATATAATAGATTAGGTGCTTAATCCACTATTAAATATAATTTTATAGGAGCTTATTCTATATTTTTATCTAGGTCTCTTTCCCTATTTTTTTATTATAGAGAGCTCCTTAAGAAGTTATATATTATTTAAGCTATAGTTAGGCTAGCTTAATAGTATTTAGATCTAGTAAATTCTCTAGCTAGTTAAGGATCTTCTTAACCTTATAAAGCTAATAAATTATCTACTAGAAATAGTAATAATAAGTTAGAGCTAAATCTTTAAGAATAATTATATTAAGCTATATAGAGGCATATTCTTTAGTAAAAGATATTAGCTTAGGGATAAGGACTTCCTAAATAGATATAAGATTTAATTAATTAGTATCTTTTTCTTAGTAAAATTAATAAAAAAAGAAATACTTATCTTATAATATCTATACTAGTTAATATTATCTTTTAAATCTTATATAAGTAGCCTATTCTTCTTATTCTACTTCTACTTAGGTAGATAGCTAGGCATCTTATTATTCTAAAGCTTTAGGTATACTAAGATAACTTCTATCTCTTATTTAGTTTTTTATATAAGCTTAAGCTCTTAATTTAAAGCTTCTATCTCTAGCTAAGTAAGTCTCTTATCTTAAGCTATCTTTAAAGCCTAGATATAAAGAGGCCCTTTCTTATTATATAAGAATACTCCCTATACTATAAAATTATTACTTCCCTTCTACTACTAATATATAATAGTAGAATTATCTCTCTCCTTACTTATATACTAGATTTATAGGGCTTTATACTACTACTCTAAAGAGATAGAGATTTTATCTATAAATATTATATTTTTCTAATCTTTAAGTATCTAATCTTTATAAATAAGATAAAAAAGAAGTCTTTTCTATATTATCTTATTAGTTAAACCTAGCTTTATAGTTATTTTTACTATCTTAAGCCTATACTTCTTTAGGATATATAAAATAATAGAATAAGAGATACTAGCTTTAAATATAAGTATTTTAGATAATTTTTATATCTATTTTAATCCTTTCTTACTAATTTAAGGATAGCCTACTTAATAGCTTTAGTAATCTCCTTAGGGCAGCCTATATACTTCTTATCTTTTATATATTTAGGAAAGATATATAGATTAATCTCTAGTTTATAGCTATAATCTATAGCCTTTTTAACCTAGTTATAAATTATCTAAGTAGGAAGCTAAAGAGAGCTCCCTACTATTCTAATATTAATACCTATAGTTAGTAAGGTAAGGGCTTAAGTATATATAGTATCTAAATAAGTAACATGCATCTTTAGCTTCCTTTTCTATAGATTTTAGAGTGTATAGCATAGAGATTCATAGGCAGGCAGGCAGGCAGGCAGGCAGGTAGGCAGGTAGGCAGGTAGGCAGGTAGGCAGGTAGGCAGGCAGGTAGGCAGGCAGGTAGGCAGGCAGGTAGGCAGGCAGGTAGGCAGGCAGGTAGGCAGGCAGGTAGGCAGGCAGGTAGGCAGGCAGGTAGGCAGGCAGGTAGGCAGGCTACTAAGGTAGTCTGAATGCTCTGTTAAATCTATTTTAATAGAGAAAAGGGGTTGTGAATAGCTTTAAATTAGTAGAAGTCTAACAGTAAGAAATTGATGTAACTAGAAGAACTAGAGAAGATAGTTGATTAATAGCTCTTCCTAGTAAATTTAGTGTATAAGCTATGTAAAACTATTACATTTAATTTTACTAGTGGCCTGGATACTTTTGCACCACACCTCTGTAGACACTGTGATATGATGCTTTATGGGCCTGGTGGCTGATTCTGCCAGTCCAAAACGCCCCAAATGTGACCCACTGCCATTTCCACCCTCCTGCCAGTACTCTAATATTTAAGTTAAATTATTTTTAGCTAATCTTAACTAAAGAGAATATTATACTCCATATAACTATAATATGCCATAGTAGAGTAGCAGTCAAAGTTGGTCTTTGATATTAGGGGTGGTTAAGAAGCATTCCCTCTTCCTCCTTTAGTTCCTTACTACTACTTATAGTATTATAATACATCATGATAGAGTAGCAGTCAAAGTTAGTGATTAATGTTAGGGGAGTTGCCTAGCCTGCCTTCTTCCCTTTAGTTCCTTACTACTACTTATAATATTTAGTACTATCTTATAAGGATCTATGATCCGCGAGAATTGGAAACTAGTGTGAAAGAAGAATTTTTATGAATAGATTTAAAGGTAGGTATCCTTATTTAAAGAGATTATTACTAAACTTCAGAGTTTAGTAGTTATAGGCAGGGTTTATATCTTTATATATTATATAACTATTTATATAACCTCTTATAAGGAGCCTTCTTATTAATAGGCTCCTCTATAAAGGTAGCTTTAATATAATATATAGTAGACCTTTATAATCCTTATAACTACCCCCCCTCCTTAAAAGACCTTAGCCCCTAAGGTCTATCTAAGATTCCTTATTCATAATAGGGTGCACCAGTAAAAACCATTATTTAGTAAAAACCCCCTTTTATAGAGGGAAAATCATAAATAATAGAAAAGGTTTACTACCCCCTTCTTTTAAAAACTCTTCTTATAAAGGCTTAGTCATGGGTAGACCCCTTTAACTATAATATCTTTATCACTATTAAAATCTTCTTATGGTGTGTTTTAGGTGTATATTACTTATTCTTATAATACTCCTAAAAATCCCTTAATAGCCT